CACTTTTTTATATCTTCATAAGCAATGTTCAAAATTATGTATAAATTTATAAGTCATGTACAGGGCCTTTAGAACTCAGAAGTTGTCTAATAATATTTTTGAGATGAAGACTATGAATGAGTTCTATGTTTCTTCTTCTAAATAGTATTTACATTAATTTCAAAGAGTACAAAATATTTTGATGACATTGCTTATGTAATTCTAGTGCTGTACATGAAAATTTGCATGAAAAAGGAAAGTGTAAACAGGTCTTGAAAAGAGGAGGAACGCCACTTGACTTCCAAGGGTGGAACCAGAAGTCGAATGGTCTTTATGATTCTTGAATAGCGACAAGTGCCTCTCACAATGCGACCCTCTGAAATCTTGAACGAGATAATATTCTGCTCCTCCCGTTTTACCAAGTTATTGTATTCTTCTCAAAGATTGTACAAACATCATCATCAGCTCATTCTGAGATTCGATAAAAATAACTAACGTCATATTTTACAGGTACTTTATCCTGTGACATGAGGGAAAGTATAATGCATTTTGGAAATAGAAAAGGATATTAAAATTCGTGCCACTTAACACGTAAGAGAGATAACGGTCAGAACGGTAGTCTAATCTGCCTATTGTTTTCAACGCAAATATTTTTCTGGCTTAATCCGAATTACGGGCTTGACTTTAAGATTTACCAAATGAGATTTACAGTTATCGAGCTGCATCTTCTAACTCTTCTCCAAACAGGAAGAAATCTTCTTTAAAATAGCATTACAAAGTAGTAGTAGTTTTATACAGAACAAAGATGTTGATAGAAGTTTAATTCCAGATGAACAAGATCAAAAGGAGACCAATCTGTTCAAACTATTCCTGAGTGGAATTTATTGCTGTTTGTAAATTGCCAAATGTTCGGACAATTGTTCAACAGGATGGCTAAGATAAGCAACGTGACCAGAATCTCATTAAAGGTGCACCGTGTGATCACCACGTGCACGCCAAATTTCTGCAGTCTGTACTTGCGACATGTGTTCGCCAGGAACATCGAAAGGTCACCATCGTCGAATTGCTCGGTGCAAACAGGTAGCACGTGCAATCACCTAAGGGTTCTCGTAAATTGCCAAGTCTAAAGAAACCTACAGTCCTTAAAAAACACCATGAATTAATTAAAAACTTCTCTGTCGAATATAATATAATTATAAGCTGAGACTAACACTGGATCAAGAAAGTGAAAAAGGTTTTATGCTCGGGACATTTTTACCGATAGCTGTAATTTTTAATAAAGTAGGTGCTTATGTTATTGGAAGACAATAGTACCAGCAAGGAAGATTTGGGAAGTACCATAAAACGAGAAATTCGTTTACCTGTGCTGCAGCCAATTTTGACCAGCAAGACTTTCAGGTTGGATTATGGAAGTTTATTAGCCCTGTACAAAAGTGGCGAGCATACGGCCGACGTATTTCCCCATAGTACCAGTAATCCATTATTTTCAACACGTTCCTTGCCTCTCCAAATGCTATGGTTAAAATTCACCAGCTCTCTGTTATCATGATAGAATGTTTTTTAAGGTTCTTGAATTTCTGATAATTAGACTGCAAAAAGAATACGAAATATAACATTTTTATATAATAATGATCAACAGATAAAATGTTTAGCAAAGCCAGGGAGATCCTAGGGTGGGTTAAAAAAGGAGAATATTATGTATCATCTAACATTGTTATATTAATCTCTATATTAATCTTTTTAATTGAAGGTTTCAGGTACTGACTGTCTATCAATTGAGGTACCAATAACAAATTCTGAAAGAACTCCAAAAATGTTTAAGAAGAATGCATTGAAAAAAATTAAATTATATTGGGTTTTTCCAACTTTCTGGTGATTCATGGATCAAGTTTAGTGTTTAATTTTTGGATTGTGTCCTCAGTCCATTTCATTGAGACCACCTTTTAATGGTCACCTTCAGTGACTAGGATTAGCTTTATTGCTGATGGCGTATTTGCTCAAGACCACGGGAGGTCCTACTTCTATCTTTGTACTACGATGGTCTTGGTGTAAAATCAAGAACAACATTTATTCCCAGCTAGATAATTTACATATAAAAAATGATTGTGGAGGAACTTTATTGGCTAATAAATAGCGTGAATGATGCTGGTCGACCAGGGTGGTCTCTCACGGTTAGAGAAACCAAGTTCTGGAACCGATGTATACACGGTGCACGCGTCGTCGACGTCGTGGACGAAGCCAGAAAGAAAGTCGACTCGAAAATCAAACAAACAGCCGACGACGACGGAAGTGCAGAAACGCGACGTCGTCGCCGTTTGTTTATTGGTATTCGTGCATCACTGTCCCGAGAATCGTGCACCCATACCCTCGCACAATATATCTCGCATTATATAATTCTAACCATGGTTCTCTAGGGAAATAGGAATATAAATGAAGACACGATTCGAATTTTTATTACAATTTCTTTACTCCGTTATATCTTGTCACATTTCAGCTCTCCAAAAAGAAGAGGTAGAATTATGGAGGATGATTAATAAAGGAAAGAAAAGAAGAAATTGTGTAACGTCGAACGGTTCTTTGCACCCTTGTAAGACGGACCTAATGAAACGTAATTCATTCCCATGCACCTTGAGGAGACATCGTCTGGCGAACACATGTCCCCGTCGGATTTTATCCATTAAGAAAAAGTCGTGCCCTTCGTCGCACGACATTGGCCGTCGTCGAACATTGAAACCCGAACTCGCTAATTCTACTTTGGTCCAGATGCTGGTTGCCTAAAAGGGTTATTAAACGTATTTCTACGGCGACGATTATATTTGAGCTCCTAGACTTCGATCAGACTTAAATTTAACGACGATTAATCTACTTAATATTAGATCTTTAATCACGTTTATAATAATTAACAATGTAATTGTTCTACTATTAATGAAATATTAACAAATACTACTTTCTACTAATATTGCAGAGGTAATGAAGTGGTGGTTGAAAGAAGAAATAATCGCTGTACAGTCACATTTGTTGTTGGATTATGAGCACGATAAATTTGACCCGGTGAAACTAACAACCGTCGGATTAGCAAAGCCTGTCGAGATGTCAGCGAGAGCTTCTAGTTTGTGGCTTGCAATTTATGTATGTCTTTAAAATAAAGCTTCGCTCCTCCACAATATCTCCACTGAAATAACACAGAGTTTACTACTACTTTATTGAGCCTATCAATTATTAATTATTCACAATTGTATTTTAAGGTGACTTGAATGGAAACATAAAAGGATTAAAGAAGAACTATTATTTTGTTAAGAAGAAAGCTTTATTTCTTCCTTTCGACTCCCTGTCTACGGAGGAGAAACATGATCCTGAAGAACAACGGCGTTGCAAAAAGTCCGGAAGTGAAAGAAAACAGTAAAAGCCGAATCACAAACAGAAGAGAAACGTTTCAAGAGTCCCAGGTCGTATTGTCTCTGCAATTTCAGAGAGACTACCTAGCGTTGCATGCGCAGATTCTGCACGCTCCTTTCAGAAACACATGTGTTCGCCATCAGGTTGTCCAAGTGGTTTGTCCTTTGTTTCTGTCCTTTGAACACTTTCCGTTGAGCCTGTTCTCGCAATTGTTGCAATTTGTTCATTATTACATATTATAGTTCCTTGAATTAGCAATTAAAATTTTAAGGAAAGAAGTAGTATTAACAAAATGCATATGTTTCTTGATACATGCAATCATAATGGAATCCGGATTGAATTTCTCGAATCAACGTCTTCGAGGGGGTATTAGACCCACGTGAGTATCGTGGACCCCGATGTCGAGACTGTGGCTTGGAAAAAAAGGGCCTCACGGGTTGTCGTGGCCTGGTAGGGCCTCTAAATTCCTCAGTGGGGGTCGCCCGGACGCTTCTTTCATTTTTCTTTCAATCCCCGAGGATCCATTGTCGTTTTTTTTCTGCTGTACTCTCCAACCGACCCCTGTTTGTATCTTGTAGAACTTGTTCAAGGTTTCATTAAAAACAGCGAGTTTTAACTCTTCTCTGAACGAAGAAAGATAGTAAAATTTTCTAACAATTATATGTATAAGTCTGGTAATATCCCCTATGTAAGTCTGATAAGTTCCCTTATGTAAGACAATTATTTTCTACTTTTAGGTAAAAGCTGAAAAGAAACGCGTTTAAGAAGCTTCATGGTTTATTAAAAGTCACAAAAGTTCAAGAATCCTGGGACCATTTGGGAGGACCTTGAAACATTAAATGCACATGTGCGTTCCTGGTAGTTTTCATTGTTTTCTGAAGAGAGCTGGACACTGCAGCGGACCCCTGGAACACCCAGGTCTCTCGCAGGATGTGTTTAAGTAATTAGAAAGCTGAGGCTTGAACCTACGTCAGAATACGAACTTCGGCTTTGGACCTCATGTAGGGCGACAATAACATAAGAATAAAGAAGAGGCCTTCAATGGCATATTTTTTGCTACAGAACGTTCTAGAGAAGGAACAATAATTCGGAGAACGAGCTAAATGCAGTAAGAGAAGAAGCATAAGAGAAGAAAAAAGACAATGAACCTAGCAACGTTTAAACAGTGAATTCATATAATGAGAAACACAGAGTAATTACAAAAAATCAGAAAATTGAAACTGGAGGAGAATTTTGAAGGCTGGACTATTAATTACCAATGAGATTTAGCTGGGTGGATACGGAAAAGTCATTTTGGAGGTTCTGGACACGGTGTCGAAGGTTGAGTCGTCGAATCTAAATGATCCTGCTTCTTGGAACAAGAAAATCGTCAGGACACGCGACACTTCCCGATTCGAAGGAAGCGTGCCCTTTCGTAGTTTTTCTCTGCGTGGAACCCCGCGGTTCTGAAGGGTCACCAGAATCATCTCGATGAAAGATTCATCGTTGCTGTTTCAGTAGGTTCTGTACATGCTACCATGCAATTTGTATAAACGCGTTGGAACTGATAAATCACTCGATGAAATATGATTTTTTAAACAGAGATGAAGTATCTAAAATCATTAAGTAAAATTCTCTTGAAATGGTAATGGACTTAAAAGATTACGAATAAATTTAATGATGTAGCAAGATATTACAAATAATTTTAAGAAGCAAGGGTTTCTTTAGTTGCAGAGGTCCACGCCATTTTGCTTCAGTTCTCCTCTTCGTCGACGTTGACCAATCGCTGCAAGGGAAGCCTCACCTGTGCAGGTATTTCTCGAGCTCTATTGGATGATGAAGAATAGGTGCAGGTGATGCTTTTCAATGGACGTCTGCTTCAAGATGAATTCCTTCCAACAATCAGAACTATTCTGTAATATTTAATTCTTTATTTGAAGCAAGTGCAAACTTTGAAGTGTTACATCTTAATTATCTTTGCAGAATTTTAGACGCCTATTCATTCAAGGAAATCATTCGATGCCAATGGAAACTCGAGAAAATTAATACGGATCTTTTTCTTACCGAAAGCTAAGAATAGAGGGACAGTTGTGGCCAGGTGTGACAGTCGCACTTGCATTCGTGACGGTGCATCACGTCATGCATGCTACTGACTGCTCCTTTTCGTTGGAACAGCTGTTCTCTGATGTCGTCTCACAGTTGGGTGGAACCATTACAACTTAGCTCTATCATTCAAACGTATAACTTGTCGCGAAACACAATTCTTTTTCTTTCTACCTTCATTTCTCTTTTACATCTTTAATCACCTTACAATTTTCTTCGTTCACCTTTCATATTTTTCTTCCTTTTGCTTTATATTTCCTGACTTTCTGCTTCTTCTAGGACGTATGGGAAACCATTGACTCCTCCCCCGATTTCTAAGCTCACAATCGGTGCGTAGTACATGCATCGCGTACCGTCGTTCGACTGCAGTCACGCTAAATGCACCGTGCTACGGATGTGTAACGAGAGACGGCCGCTCCTCCTTTTCTTTTTTTCCATGAAACCCCAGGGTCCGTGGCGCTGCTTTGAAATTGGCACGCGGGATGATTTTAGCTATTCGAAGCCGTGGAAGAGGAAGAGGAGAACGTCGCCTTCGACCCGCTGGCGCCAACGCGACAAAAACCTTTCATAATCAGCCGTGTCTCCCCTCGTTTCTCCGTTTCTGCCGCCCCCTTCAACGCCGATAACCAAAAATCCTCGGGAACCGTGAGGTCACCCTTCAAATTCTTTCCTGTTCATCCGAATTTCTGCTCTTCAAGGATTAGACTTCATTTCTTAATCTTTCTCTTTTCTAAAGTTAATCTTTGTTTCTCAGATGAAAGGACTTCAGTTTTCTTCAATGAACCTTCCAAGAACCTGATCCTTTGTCGGAACTTACTGGACCTTCTGAAACCTAAAACAGGAAGAATTTTGCCTGAATGACACAGAAGCTTTTTACGGTACAAAACGTTGCTAAAGATATTTATGTTCTTCTGAAGCTGTCTTTCTACTTTTACAACTTTTTATTATTGTAGAGGAATATATAGCACACAAGAAATTCTCAAAGAAAATAAGGAAGCATAATGTTGGACCAACGACTCATATGGAAAGGATTACAGTCGAAAGCTTCGTCTCGATTTTTCTTGGCTAACACCTTAAAAATAACGCGGTGTCCACGTGTTTCATAGAGAAAACACCGTGCGTTAGGGTTAAGAAGAAATTCTCTTCATTAACACATACTTCATCAGCAGCTGTTAATGAATCACGTGTTCATATATCAGCCCGAAACGACACTTGCTCGTGTTTTTCCAAGGCTGATTTATATATCGAAACTCATCGTAGACATTTTCAGTATCCAATCAAGAACTTTTCTTTTGAAGAACATGTTGAACATTATAGTAAGTTGCATTCTTATTCACTTTACTGTACTGTAACTGTAACTATACTGTAACTATACTGTAACTATACTGTAACTATACTGTAACTATTACAAAGACATCCACGTCGAAGAGATATTCAATTTTAATGGCGTGTCGTTGTAGGTTAACCATGAAAAGATGGACGAGCGGACGAAGATAAGGCACCCTTGAATGGGTTACGGAATAGGGTTGTTCTTTTGCGCTCCTTTTATGAAACCGACGATACGCAGTCGCGGAGGGGCGGCGCCTTCGAAGGCGCAGACGCCTTCGGTTTCACAGCGTGCTTCCGGTAAGGGTAGAGAATTCCTCGGGGTGCCTAACGCCCCCGCGACACTCCTCGTAAATTATCCAGGTTCTCAAGCCGCCCTCGACTCGTCCCGATTTATCTTTTTCGGACGCGGAGGGTTTCTCTCCATTCTAATTAAAATCCTCGTCCACCTTCGGATAAAAACTTGCGGCTGTAGCTTTGAAATTTTAAGATAAGAACATTTTCGAGGGACTTCAAGGTGTTGAAACGTTGAAAAACTCGCTCGACAGCTATCCTTAAGTTTACTTTCTTCTTTAAAAAAAGAAACTTAGTTTTTCTTGCACTACCTTGGTCTGTTTGTTCTTTGTCTTTTGAGTACTTTCAATTTAATCATTTGTGTGTTGAATTTTTCTTTTGCTCTCCTTTTTTCGGAATCGTCGAAATAAAGGTTTCGTTGTTGACTTTTATTTTAGTAGAATTTCAATGATTTTACTGCTTCATTGAACCTGAAAGTTCAGGTACTTTTTCTTTTCTTTCCGCTAATATTTATTGCTCTAACCGGCAAACTCATAGCTCGTCCGAAATAAGCTTCGAACCGGGAGCAGAGCGGCCATTCGCCACCGAAAATGTGTTTACACGGCACTATACACTTCACCGGAATAATTCCCGTGTCTTTTTGCTCTTGACGAAAGTGAACGAGTTTTCTTTGGCGCCCTGGAGGCTATGGTATTGTGGCCACGGTTTCGCGGTATCGGGCGATATGTGAATTCCAGGCGTCGAGGGTGGTGGCGAGAGCTTGCTTTTAGAATTTACTGTTTCCACGTTCCGATCTATTTTAATTATTCCGCCTGCGTGTCGTGAAAAATTCCATAAATCTTCGTTACCCTGGTAATTAGTGACTGAGATACTTTCGACCAGCCAGAGTATAAATTGCACGATTTCTTCCAGGAACCTCGGAACATTGACGACGCGAGGTGTTCACAGTGTCTCTCAAGTCTTCACATTTTTTTGACGAAGGTGCTTCACATTTTTTCACTTGTGACTGAATATTAAAGCAGAAGAAGAAGAAGAAGAAGAAGGAGGAGGAGTTTCAAACTTTAACACTTTATATAAACAATCAGTCGAAGAAGTTTCTTCAAGTTTCTCATGAAAATTGCATACTGAAGAAGAAAAGAAAAATAATGTATTGTCTACTCCTCTAATATTTGATCAACTAATTATACAAGTAATTATACAACCAATTATACAAGTAATATTTTGTATGTTACAGAAGAAAAAAATGTGAAAGTATCGAATTTGAGAGACTCTGGACATCGTGGCACATCGTTTGAAAAATGAACGGGCTGAAGAAGTAGCGCGTAAATCGCTATTATAGAGTTCTGAATGCTTATAGCAGTTCTTAATTCGTGGGGACGTTTATTTGGTGCACAGCCGTACAACGCTGGATGTGCAATATAATTTAACACGTTCCAGGTTATTTTTACGTCCCGTGATTAATTTTCTGCCGTTAAAAAGAATTATCGCCGTCGAATTTCGCCTGCGCGCTACTCTGTTCATTCTTATTTAAGACAACAGCATCTTCAGCCCCTTTTTCATTCAGTGAACATTTCACCTCCTCGTAATTTCGATTTCATTTTGATACCTTCGTGGCTTCACCTTCAAGGTTTCATTGTCAAAAAGGATCTTCCGTTTGTCGTAAATCTTCTCGTATTAACGACGATAGAGTTACGGAAATAGAGACTTTTTCCTGGCCCCCGTAAAATATTTATATGCGCAAATAGTCAGAAAGCGTCAAAAATAGGGATCCTCCGCGAGAAAAAGAAGGAGACGAGACTTCTTCTTTTTTCACCCGGAAATATCTCTTTTGATCGGACTGCAGAATTTCTTCTCCGCCAGAAAATCGTCAAATTTAAATGAAACAAAAAGTAACACACGAAACTCGAGCTTTGATCTTGCTGAAGTTTTCAATTCTTTTCTTCATTGGTTCTTTTCGAGCACTGAACATATTTTCATCACTTCATATCAGAGAACTATTCTTTAATCAAAATCTTTTAATAATTTTCATGCAAAGTTCTCTTCTTTTATAACAAAATCTAATAGTTAAAAAATAAATATAATGCTATTCATGAAAAATGGATCTTTGTATATTTCCAAAAATATACAGCATTTCAAAATGGAGGAAAAAAGGTGGTAAAGGGTAGCGAAGCAAAAATAATGTCCTAAGGCTGTCTTCGCCGGTGGATAAAGCTCTAAAATCCTTTCACTCGACAGATGTTGGAGACTGGAAGCGTTGGAGAATTTGAAGAGGTGACAAAATCGAGCCTCCGGTTTTATTGGAGAAGTGGACCCATTACATTATCGAAGCAAGCGTTGGACAGCTGTTTCCTCGACTGACGAAATATAGTCGACATTTTTGGGAATGAAACTGATCATCGAGACAAGGCTGAGTGGTTTTTTCAACCGTGGACAGCTTGAAGATTCACCTAAAAGCTCGATAAAAAAAGGTCCATACTCTCAAGAGAGGAACATTCTTTATTGATATTTGTTTTATAAAGCTATTGTTTATGAACCGACTCATGTATTTTTTAAGACGTTAATGGCGTCAATGACAGACTTCGATTAAGCGGTGGGTGTAGTCAGAAAATCGTTCCAACTCCATTGAACCCAGCAAACAGAAAATTAGTTGCCGACAGGCGGTTCGAATTATAAATTTCTTAGGAGGCCCCGTAACAGCTTCCTTTTCCCACTTTCCGCTTTAGTCAACCTTATCGGCCACTTCAAAGAGAAGCGGTTTCGTCTTTTTAAATTAGAATTGTATTCTTTTTTTCTAACAATTTATGCACTATATTTAGTTGTTAATTATCTGAATTTAGTTTACTCTTTCATGTAAATTATAATTAGTTATCTTTTTTGTGTTCAACAAATTAAAAAATATTTGAATGAATATTTCGATTAATTTTGCGTACTTCTTGTATTTCGTTTACGTTACGAACATTTCTTTTTTGTGCAAGCTCTCTGTGTGAGAGGAGAGAAACCGTCGAGGGGACACGTCGACAGCTGCCACGAACGTAAGATCCGGTTCACACGGCTCTCCCCACACAGTCCATATCTTTTTATGCTTATATAAGAGTTATCTAAGATTTTACTATAACTAATAAATTAATAACAAAGTTTATGTTAAGCTCGAGGATTTGTCAAGTTCACATAGGGAACTTGTGCTCGGACGTACATGTGTACGTCCATATTTAGAAGAAAGAAAGAAGACTGTTCGTGTGAAACTTTTTGCTAAGCAACACTTATCAAGGACGCATAATTTGCAATACATTTGCGCGAAGACAGTGTTAGTAAGAATGCCTGCAAACAGGAAAACACTGTCCGCATTCATTCTCTACTGACCCACATTCGCAGAAGTCGCTATCTTTTCTTCTGCTCCTCTCGCCCTCGAACAATCGACCATAACTCAGGCCATGGCTCATTGATCTGTCGTTTCTCTTCAGCATCGCATGTCCGAGATATTTCCATTACATTTATCTTCAGCAGAGGTTTCTTTTAATCATTACTTCATCTCTTCACTATTTTCTACGCGTCTTTCATTTAATTATAAATTAATAATTATCAGTTATGAACATGTTATACATATGTCACAATTTAGTAGTTGTACTGCTTTAATTGTAACATTCCATAGATCTCTATGACCAAGGCCAAAAAAAGAAGCACCTTCAAAGGCAGAGAAGGCAAGGACCGTTTGTCAGTGTGACGTCTCGTTCCTTCCTTTGATGTTCACTGACACGCATACAAATGTATTTCTTTGAATCGAACGCCGTCAGGAGATACTGGCAGTTCCGATTCAAATTAGTAAATTAGTCGAAAATAGTGTGCGAGACACGGACGTCAACGAAAACGAAACGGAAGAAACCCGACGGCCAGACAGATGATCCAACGACGCTATCCTATCTTCTCATCCAATGACAATACATGAAAGAAGAAATTTCAGAACACGAAGCAGACTTCAAGGGGTTGGGACCTAGAAAAATAAAAAGAATAAATTAACTTGAGCTGAAGTAGAAGACTTAGTAAACATTCTTGAGGAAAAAAATGTACATAGTATTCATTAGGAATACTTTCATAGTGTCCCTAATGAATACTATGTACATTATGTCAAAGTCATACAATAATTCTTATTATCATAGTAACTTGTAAACAGTCCAAACACGACAGTCGTATATTCTCACTCTTATGACACATTTCAGACAGCCAACTTGTTTTTCTGCCGTGAAAGATGATCGATTCATGATGGCCAGGTCAAAGGGAAATGTAAGGAAGGTCGGAACGTTGCCATATAGAGAATATTCCATGGAGCTTAGGTCAATGTCGAAACGCCCACCACCTTACGTTGATGTGGATAGTCTGAGGTTCATGAACTTGCACGATGATTCTACAACAAGAAGAAAACATGGTTATCCCTGATTTCCTTTTCTCCAGAAAATATATAGACATTGCTGATTATTTTTTCTTTGAAGGTTCTAACAAAATCAGGGTAGAAGAAGATAAATCACCACCTGTGATTATTAGAAGTGGATGTGCAAAATATCCGAGAGTTAGGTACTTCATGTGCTGCAGTGTGGGACTGCTGATACTTCTTATCTGTGCCATTTTGATTAACGTGTTGTTCCCGTATCCATTGCATGCATCGTGCATTGTAAAATGGTACGAATACCTTTAAACATTAGCTTTTAGCAAGAATGTTATTGGGTTATAATTTTAGTCTCTTTTACGTTGTAATTTTTTGTAAGTCTACAAGCGTGTTAATGGAGCAGCGTGATTGTTTTGTCTTGTCCTATGAAAGCCTGAGAAAAATGTGTTCTAAGATAACGTCTTCTAGCCGCTTCTGCAAACAATCCTGTGCACAGGGAAACTTAATATTGCCTTGTACGAGGTTCGTGTATTTTCCTTTGGCTGGACGACACCGCTTGAAAAATATACGAGCCATACTTTTCAGACTCATGAGAATATCGTGTGTATTTCGGTATACTCCTTTGAACCTTATGAAAAGTTGGCAATAAATTTTATCTTTTATAATTTGAGAAACAGAACAGTTTTTATGATCATCTAATTACTATTATAATTTACGTTTAAAAAATTTGTTATTGTATTAGGACATTTGGAGATTCTTGTACTTACACGATGCAAAAATTCAGATGCCAGATTCTAAACTGGTCATCTTGTGCCAATTGTGGGCCACGAGGTAACAGATGTCTGTACACGGTAAAGTCACTTGAATCCTCTTTGAAAATAATGGATATACTTCAGCAATCTGTAACTTTAAATTATGATTCAGCTCAAAGAACCGAAACCAGATGAAAGCAATGTAATAAGAGCTGTACACTTTGCACCCAACTTGAAAACTATGGAGAACATAAAGATTGCTTTTGAAGAAATTAATAAAACCTGTGCAGCAACGGTACTTCAATATCCTTTTAATTACTTCAATTATTACAATTTAATTTACCGCTTACAACATTATTTATTATCCAAGGGAGAATCTACATCAAATGACTGGTTTAGGGTGTTCGATTATGGCAGAAACTATTGCAATTTACGTAATTTAGTGACTGGAATTGGTTTTGATAAAAGTTCAAAGTTTTTAGAGCTGACAAGCAATGCAGTTTGTACACAATATAACATGGCAATTTGCGAATAAACTTTTTATGAATATATTATAGACATTTTTGAGAGTTCTATTGAATAAAACAGTGAATTATTCTCATACCTTTATTGACTTCAATATTATGCGATTTATAAAAATAAATTACAGATATGTTTGATATTATTACAGTTAACAAGTGAACTTATAAAATACGTCTTTTACAATTTCTAAGTACAAGGTGCATTCAGTGAAAATACATTCTTATTTAACTAAAACATTTGATACTAATATACAATACTATTATATACAACGTAATTTTCTTTTTTATAATTTTGATTTACTATCTAAGTCTTAATAATTCAAGGCAACTCGTCAAAGGCACAGTGTTATCATTAAAAACAAATCCAAAATAATATTCGATTGTGGCACCAAATCGAATAATAGATCTAACTATAACATCTAAATACGACTATCGTTAAAATTGTAATTAAAACGATAGTGAATAAATATAATCTACACTATCTATCCCACTTGTCTGTTCTACATCAAACTACAAACTACCTTTTATTAATTTACAGTTTATAGAAGTAACGTCTTAAAAAATATTTTAGTCACCTAACAACGAGGACCCATCTACATGTCTGTAGCAATAAATGTGATCATTCATTGCTGCTATACGACACCTGCTTCCAGTTTTTGTTATTGCATTGCACAGAATGCGAGACGGCGTGTCCGATGATGAGGTGACACTGAACAAAAATTATTTCATTTTTTGACTTCCATATCGCATTTTAGAATCGTTAATATTTAACCATTTGCGTACCTTCTGGTAGGTGAACGAGCATGAGAACGAGGAGATCTAGTAGTTCTTCTCTTCAAGCGTAATCTTAACTCGTGTGCATCGGTTAATTTGTCAAGATCGTCGATACTTTCGTTTCTTCCATTTATTATATTAGAGTTTTCAAAATCAGTGACGTCTTCGGACATGCTAGGGAACTCTCGCTCATAACTATGAACAAGATCTTCACGGTTCCTTCTTGAAGGTATGTACGAGCAGGAAAGCTCTTCGCGCTGCGTTAAACTTTGCTTGCTCCATGAAGCTATTGACTGCATCAAGGAACTACATTTCTCTGAAACATAATTATTTACTGTAGCCTGAAGAACCCTGAGTCAATAGTTCACGAGAATATTTAGAAACTTACGAATGCCTAAATTTATTTCATATCGGACAAAGTTATAAAATTGTCGTATACTGTTCTTCAGTTTTGCGTATAAAGAGACTGAGGGATCTCGCGATGTTGCAAGATTACTATACGAAGATGAAACATAACTGTGAGAAGTTCCGTTCATATGACCATTTGTATTCATAACTTGAACTGGTTCTGGTCGTATATTTCTTGACCTTAGTCCGCATAAGCGCTGAATTCCGATCATCACAAAATGCACTGAAAACTGGAGCGTTATTCAATCAATTTACAAATATTATTTATTGTAATACTAACTTGTTGTAATCAAAAATATCAGAGCCGTCAATGAAGTAAAATCCAAGCAAGCATCCATTCCATGTTTTAGATATGATAGTAGATTTAATGGGACAAGTCCCATAATCGTGATTCTAGTGAGCAGAGGTGCGTGGAGAAACGAAGCAGTCACCATAGCAAGCAATAAATACACAATATGCAACCCTGCACGATACATCCTGTGCATTTGATCTCCTATAATTGTAAAAAATAGCATCAGTTTTATAATTTTTTCAGTACTAATATTAATAACTGTTTAAATACCAGTGTCGCCTATGTAGTTTGTTAACCAGTTAAGTTTCTCATCCACTTCTGCACGCATAGTGTTTGTTATGTTCCAAACATACTGAATAGTTTCATTAATCTGAGCTAACTTCTGTAACGTTTGTTCATACTGTAAAAGTGCTTCTTCATGTTGTGTGAAAATTCGGTTGGTACTAGATTCTAGTTTGTCCCAAATTACTTGTGCTTGTTCTTGAATGCTCATCAAATCTTCAAGTATTTCTCTATGATTTTCACCACGTTCGATGGCTTGTTGTTCAAGATTTCTATTTGCTTGTTCTATGGAATGATACAAGTAATTAATTATAAGAACTATGATTATTTTTCCACTGCTGATTTACCTAGTTTGTTTCTGAGATCTTCTGTCATTGCAGCAAGTTGTGCATGCCCTGATCGAATCAATGCTCTTTCACTGCTCAATTCTCTCAAATTTGTGCTTACAAGATTATGAGCTGATGCTTGTGCATCCCTTAGGTGCTGTTGCTGTTCTAACAATGCTTTGTTACCTTCAGATAAAGAAGATAATGCTTCCACTGTTTGTTCTTCCAAACGATCTTGACCTTCCTAAAGTATTATTCAATAATTAAAAATAATATAATTGATATGTAATTTTTTATTTGCTTACCTTCAATGAGCTTAATGTTTTAATCTGGGTATGTGCAGTTTGCATTAACTTATTCACAGTCAACTCTGTCAGAGCACGAAACTGTGTACTACGAGCTGCATAACAAACTGCCCTAGCTCTGTTGCTCATTAAATGATATGCATTCCACATATCTGCATCCATATCTGTAGTACATTGTTTCAATGACTAAAAAAAAATATAATATTCAATTTGTATGTAGTAAATATATATTGCTATTAAATATAAACTTCCCCTGCTGTTTCACATTGACTTGGTATAAATGAAAATAAATTAGTATTATTTTTAAATTATTAGAAAACTAATTAGTACATGAAAACAGATTGATGTGTGCACATCAGATGTACTTTATGTTCTGAAACTACAGGAATATCTCAGTGGTGGTCCCTGTCTCCTCTAAGTGGGGGAACTTGCAGGTTTGAACACGCTTAAAATCACCCCTCTAGCACACCCTCTCATACACAATGTATATACATGTATGTATGTAAGATAAATGAAAATCAATAAATGAAATAAATAATACAGGTAAACAGGTACTAGTTGTACAGTAAATTTTACCATTTCTTCAGTGCAAGGAAACATTTTTCTGCCTTCCACTGCAGATTGACAATTCAAAAGATTAACGCTTAGTTTGGCCAGCTCTTCTTCTGTCATTGCAGTACAAGAAGTTTTAATTTTCATGATAACTTTATGTTGACAAGTTTCCAATGGTGATGATGTTTGAATTTCTGTAAATTTTGACGCTTCTTGAAGAAATTTTTCATCTTCAGTCATAGATTCATATGGAATAGAGATCAGTGGTACTCCATCAGCCACTAAAACTGTGGTATCATCTGTATCCTTTTTCCAAAACCATTCTAATACCGAAGCTCTCCCATTTTGACAAGTTAGCATCATAACAAGAAGCGCTGATATACATATATGCTTCATTTTGTAGCAGAATTTCTAAAAATACAGGAAAGACCCTCTTAATAGTTTCAGTTAGTAAATCTTACTTTAACTGAACCACATGGAAATTATCTAAAATAAAAATTTGAAGAAGATTACCTCCTGCAACACTGACAATAATTAAGACTGACAATGTGTCAGATAACTAAAGATTTACAAACTCAGCAAAATTAGTTTTGCAATGTGTCGCCAAAGAATAAATAACTTTTACTTCCGTAATCTTACGAGCATGCAACTTTTTTTGAAGAGTAACCTGCACTCAAAGATCACTTTCACTAGAAAGCAACGATAAACAATTTATCATCTGAATAATTAACTACTTTATTCGTGTCGTTAAAAACGGCATAGTATTATTACATGTCAGACGAAAATAACTGCTCTACAGGTGAGACTCGGTGACAAGTATATTTATTTTATTCTCAGTTGCAGTTTGTAACGAACACAGAGCGCTGTGATGCATTGGCGGAGGAATTTGAAGTGCAAATTTACCTTGAATTTTGCAAAGAACGTATCGATTACTTTGTATTTAATTGTCATAGGTATAAAAATGTCTTACAATAAATGATCTCAACATCATGTAAAGTGTATAACAATTGTTATTACAATTTCTAAGCGAAAACTTCTATTTAAAAGATTTGAATTTGATTTAAATGCAATGGAAGTATCAACCTATCAGGAGCTTGCATTCTTCGACGCCGTTGGCATCATTTTTTAAATGAACCAATCATTGTGCTTCCTGAACACGAGACCGTTTGCGCGCATTAGTTTTGCGCCGTAAGTGGTGCCGCGCGTACGTACTGTACATGTTTGTCAAAAATATTAATTTTTTTTATTAGTATAGTTTAATAAAAACATTTGCAATGTGTACCAGGAGTCCGAGATTATGTTGCAGCTGCCTTTGGTGAATAGAATATGTAAATATTCATTACTATCTTAAAATTTAGTTTGCATTATATAATGTCCTACAATAAATTAAGGTGGGAAATAAATTATTTCAATTGTGAACATTACACGTAATTGCAGTTCATTATAACTGCAATATGTTTAGTACAATATTGAGCATGAAGTTAGTTGAACTTAGGGTTGAGAATGACAAATATTGCATATTATTTTCTCGTTGTATATTTACAAAGAGTAATTTACATGTTTTGTACAAACGATCTCTTATAAAAAAATTAAATACTATATTATTTTTTTTCCGGAAGTACTTCGCTGATTCCGTACATTCCCGCCAATAACCTGCCGTGAGATGTCGGTACTGGTTCTTTCGGCGCCAAATACGGTCCCTTCTCATCCATGTATACGTATCTAAATTTTCGTTAAGGATTCGTAAAAATATTGTTAGAAAGAAAAGTAATTAATAATAAAATAAAAGGATACGGTAATCGCAAAACCCAGTAGGCACTTTGCGAAAGTTTTATCGGTTCATCGCAACCAGTAACAAAAATTGGACACGGTGGAGGTCCTGGTTGAACTCTAGGATTCAACGTGACATGAACGGGTGCTTTTGGCGTCACCACATGAATCCTCATTAATTGAGCGATCAGTGGCTTCGTTTGCCTAAGTAATTACAGAGTTCTGATTATTAATATTTAGATTTTCACACCATATGAATCCTTGAACATACCTGCAAGGACATGCAAAATAAAGGGGCATATCTGCTGTGCTGGATGTGACTTTATTTCCACTGTCTTTAACAATCCCGTTTCCAGTTGCTTTTAATACTTTGTCCGGAGCGGATGCCATGAATCTGTGTCCTCGTGGACATTCGTATTCTACTCCAACGAATATCTTCACTACAAATTCTTTCCCACCTTTGGATTTCCTACCGCGAATAGTGTTCATATTCTGGAAATTCTTTCCTCTTGGACAGTACCCATGAGTTCCATGGTCACCTATTGTAGGCCACAAAGAACCTCTCTCTTTTTGATGTTCTAGTCTAACAAGAAACTGTGTTATACAAAATATACATCAAGTTGAAAACATATAAGAAAGTCTTTCTGTTTCTGTAATTACCTTACAGTCACATCCCAAGGTAAAAGAAAAGCAGAAGTAGGCAGAACACCAGCTTGATGTTGAAGACCCAAATTGTGTGAATACAAACTGCTAGGTCCAAGACAAACCAAAGACCAACTAGAAAATTGCGGCAGCAAGCCAGCTGGTGACTCTGTGTGAAGCATGCCTGGCAAATATTCTGTAGTCGATGGTTGTCTGACCAGAGATTTCTCTGCAACATCTGAGCATGTTAACATAGAATTCGAATAAATATTTTGTTAGAAATAATTACCTCTTGCATTTTCTGCATCACTATCAGAAACTTCTATGACAACTTTGTGTGCATCGCTTGGTGTTAGACTAGTTTTATTACTCAGCTTGGGAACATCTTCATTTGTTTCGCTTGTTGGCGGTGACTGGCCACCGCTTCCATAAGGAGTACGAATGTCATCTAAAAAAATATTATATCATGATCACACCATTGTATTTAATCAGTGTTCAAACATATTACCATTTAAACTATTGTTCACCCCAAGACTACAGGCTTGGGTATTCCCTTGTGGTAGAGGCGAGTCTGCATGACTAAAAGAATCTTTCCGTTTTGTTGAAAATAATTGTGCTGGTCTACAATAAAACATATTATCAATCTTATGATAAAAAAAATACTAGACAAAATACTTTACCTGTAGTTATGTGTACTTGGTTGAAAGACTGGAAATTGTATACTTTCTAATTGTGCACAGCCACATTGTTTTGCTAATATTTGAAAATAGTCATAGTTAGCTTGCCTCAAACTAAAGGGATCTTCCCTTGAGCCTTGACAACGACCACAGTTACATGCACAAATATATCGAACTCCACTGCAATGTTCTCTGATTGGCAAATCACTGTAAAGATATAATTTTTTATTAATGTATTTATGTGTATACAAGAGGCAATAAACCTAAGAGTCCACGTACTTATCGCTGTCTCTTTGATCTGCTTGTTCTCCACCTCCAGCACCTTCACTTCCTCCCCTATGTATTGGATTTGTGCAAGGATTACCTGTAAGGGACAAAACCTCGCACATTTGTCTCCCAGAACGCCAATGTTTCTCGCATTCAGCCTGAAGTTTCTCGCTAAATTCCTCGAAGAGAGGACCTCGTGCATGCATCTCAAAAACAGCCATCGCATGAGCCAGCTTCGTTTCGTGATATGCCCTGGTATAATGTTGTGGTAGATTTTCTTGATATGTTTGTAAAGCTCGTGGAAGAACTTTACTGCATCTGCTTTTGCTGAATTTAACATCTGTATCTAGCAAACTGTGCAGAGTTAGCAGTTCCTTGTCTGTTCCATGTATGAAATAATCGTACACTTTATTTGCCACTTCACAGAATATTTGAACATTAGGTATCTAAATTGGTAAAAGAATAATCAATTTGTAATCTTTGGTCTTAGGCATTGTTATTGATTTAAAAGTTCTGACCTCAAAATATGCAGGCATAGAATGCCTTCCAACATTATCATCAAAACCTCTTGCAAAAGCTAGGTTTATGTGTTGTTGTAGAAATGATCTGAAAGACCTAGTGTCTGCAAACATGTATTGTGTGTTACTTTGGGACTCTGATTGTAATTGAAAATTTTACCTACCACTTTCTGTATCATCTATCTGAATGTTGGAATCTTGACTAGCTAGACTTCTTGAGGTACTACCACCAGAACTGACTTTACAACTTTGCATAAGTTTTCTTGCCATGTACCCTAATATATCTCTGGATTCATTTGTACCAGTATGTACATAGACAAATTCTTGGTTAGCAGGAATTGCAAATAGTGAGTTAGAGCTAAAAATTAATATCTATATTTTATGAAATTGAATTATTATAATCTAAATATCTTAGTACCTGATATTAGTTACTATACGGTTCTTCCTTAACACATGATAGATCTGATCTTCCAAGGAATGTTCTAACTTTTTGATATTAGCTCCACTACTGGAATCTTGAAATACAGAAGGACATGTTTCAAAGTAAAATAATACCCTTGGAGAGCAAGGTCTAACATTAGAGACCCAGTCTTTAGGTAAACTATAGATGCAACTTAAAACATCAGAAAGCTGTGGTGAAACCTTCTGCCTAAATCAGAATAATTACATTAAATTACAAAGTCTTTGTGAAGAGTATATATCTTTGGAAATGTAAAATTCTTACCTTACAATATCTATGGCTCTAAATAAATGTACATAACTATAATCAAATGTATGAGTCGGATGAGTGAGAATAATTACATGAGATATATGAAACAAAACAAGTAATGCTCTAGCATATTTATCCCTCATGTGAGCCCATACGCTAAGAAAATCCTTACAGTCTTGTTTCTCCATAAATCTATCATATTCTGATACTAGAGTATGAGTGTCTAATAGACCTCTTAAATGCAAATATATTGTTTTATCTTTAGTATCATAGTATCCTTCTATTTCACACTAAAAATAACATAACAGATTATGATTGGTAAGACAATTTTTGTACAACCCAATTTCTTACATATGAATCTTCATTCACTTCTGGTTCATCCAGGAGACCAACTTGCAGAATCGAACCTAGCATATTTGTCTTGCATCCTTTTGCACGGTACTGCGACTTTCCAAATACAGATACAATTACCACCTTCTTATCTGTTTGTACAAAACTGAAACATTGTTATTAAATGTATGTTCCATTAATATTTATAAATAATCATTTTTGAGACATGGTATCATTTTCTATTTCAATTTAAATAATAATGACAATATTGTCTTTAGACCTCCTTATACTCAGTGAAAGAAATTTTTGTATAGAAATTAGTTACCTTTCTATATCACATGGAAACCGAAATTTCTGTGGTCTCATTATTATTTGTTTATGTTTCAGTAGTATAAAGGTTATGACATTGTATACTAATGTCAGTGAGAGGAGCAAAACCACAAGAGTAAAGGGGTGATGTTGTCTACTATGTTCCAGTTGGGTGGGAAATTTGAATGAAAATTATTTTCATACATGATGTAGTATGAATGGACATTTTATATCTTGTTATTGTGCATGAGATAAGAGCTTTAGTCAATAATTGATCCATAAATAATTTATTTAATTATTTGAGTAGGAATTTTTACTATTAATCTGGTTACGTTTGCCAACATAACCCACCATAAGGTGTTAAACTTTATTATCGATTTGGGAGACAGGGACGAACTTCATTACATTCTAATGTTTATTGCCTTATCGCCTAGGGCTCCATGGAATTAATATTTACACGACAATTTCGTAAATTCAATAGTCACCTACCAACAGGAAATCGTAACTTCGTCAGCAAGTTATTAGGTTGATGTTATTGTAGGTTGACAAGTATTTTTATTACAACTATGGTATTAACCAAGGAATATCGTATATGTATGCCGCTTACTACGGAAGAGGTAATTTGCTTCTTCAAATTTGAACGTTGAATGTCATTGTACAGTTCTTCAATAAATAAGTAGTAAAAAGGTTCATTGAAAAGTAGAGCCATTCATTTCATTGTTTGATATTTCATTCTTGATAATTTTATTTTAACAATTTATGAATTTTAAAACTTTCTGTATCTCTAATTCTCTTACAGTATCATATAGGCCAACTTTATATGATTGCAAGACACAGTCATGAGCAGTCGGATAATGATGAAGGTGTAGAAGTAGTTGAAAACGTAGCATGTGATCATCCTGAACATGGAAAAGGTCAATACACGGAGAAAAGAATTCATTTGTCTAGGTAGTGTTCAGAATAGTATTGGTTTCATAAATTTGAATTCTTTCTGAGACAGACATTCTTTATTTGTTTATTATATTACAGTAAATTGCCTTATTGGATACAATCAGTTCTTCCACGTATATTTTATGTAACAGAGAAAGCATGGAACTATTACCCTTTTACTATTACAGGTATATTAAAATATAAATTATTGAATATAATTAATATTAATTTGAATCTAATAATTAATACTTTTTTTACATGTTATCTATAATGAAGAATATACCGTAAGTATCAGTATTGTAATTTAGTCTTAAATGTTCTGTTATATTATACAGCTATCTTTTCCAGTGTTCTTTTATTCCTAAATTTCATATATCGATAAGAACTCGATACTTAGATGATAACGGATGTACAGAAAATGTATGTAAATCAATATTTGTATTATGTTAAAAAGGTACTACATCATTATTTATATCACATTTAAAATAGTGCTTAGGTCTTTCTCCTATTGAGCTGTTACACCGTGAAGTCGATTGTCTAGACATTGCATATGATGAAATTTCTGCAAAGCATTACAAAGAGGAAGAGGTATCTGAAAATCAATACTTTTTCACCTGTGCAGAAATATTTGTTTTTAATGTGTAAATAGGAACAACTGTTTTTTTATCATAGGATCCAAAATTTTTCCAATCTAAACGAACTGGTCGTGGACCACTAGTAGAAGGATGGAGGGAAACAGTACAACCAATAATGTGTTCTTATAAATTAGTCCATGCTTCTTTTGAAGTTTGGGGCATGCAAACTCGAGTGGAAGACTTCATTCACAGAGTAGTTATTCTTCTTTAGATAATGTTGTTATTAGAGTGGTTAATTATTTGGTTCTATTTGCTGAATATCAAACTTTTATATGTACAGTGTATAAGGGATATTTTATTATTGGGTCATCGGCAAGCATTTGCATGGATTGATGAATGGTATGATATGACGTTAGAAGACGTTCGGGAGTACGAACAAAAGATGCAAGCTGAAACTAACGAGAAAGTACGTCTTAGAAATATGGGCAGTGAAAAATTATCGGCTCCTACTACGCCGACATCATCAATGCCATCTTCGCCAATACCCAAGTCTCCTACACAATCTACTCGGTCGTGGTTTTCGTGGTCATAGCCGCAGTTTTAGAGGAATCAGATTAGCTATTATGCTAGTCTATCTAGGGAACGTAATTAAAATTGTGCAAATAAATGTCGGCATTTCTGATTCTGTGTGTATATATGTGTGTATCCACATTATAGCCAGAAGGTATCTGTAACCTAAGTACACTTAAAACTTGGAAATTGAATTATGAAGTTCTAAGTTTTAATATTGAGAATTGCTCTATTCGCTATAAAATTTTTTTTACAAATTATTTCGTGCAAAATTGTTAAGGAAGGAATATTGATTGTCTATAATATGTTGAACATTTATATAGTTTAATTAGTCAGTGTTACTGAACGTAAAATTAGTTGCAAGTAGTATTTGGAAAAAAGGAAACCAATTAACTTGGTTGATTCTTCTCAAAATTATAGGTACTCTGTTAGTCAGGTTTTTGTTACATCGATTGTACGTGAATTTATGTCGATAAAATAGCTGTAGAAATAAAAGGTTGGACGCAACTCTAATCATAATAGTTAGTAACACTTCTACCTAGTCAGGGTAAACGTTGTAAAGCATTTGTAACCAATTGATGCATTAACTTATTAATATAGCCACTGCCTTAAATTGGCTTGATGTATAAGATATTGTAAAAAATAAGTAGCATTCAGCCTAAGAACTATCAAATATTTCAATGCCTTACTGTGACTGCACAAAGGTATATACATGTATGTATATACTGTTCTTTAATTAAAATAGGAATTATCATGGCACTACTGAATTGATCTTCTCTTAATTGATGAAACTTACATCAACAGATAGTTGTACTATTTTTTTAATTAACAAGCAAATTGTACATATAGAAGCATTGAAAGGCAGACAACACATTTATTTTTTGCAATATTGGAATACAGTTGTAGACTTAAGTTAAACGGCAATTAGATAATTTTAATTTATCATTTTCAGTTTTTAGTTGAATTTAAGCAAGTTTAACATTTTGTTTAAGACTATTTTGGGACCAAAATCACTTTGAAAATGAAACAAGAGAAACAAGAAAACAGAAACACGTTGCTTACTTGTAAGTTTGAGATAGATGAACCATACATTCAGTAACATTGTTGCTATTGTTTCAATCATTTTGGCACATATACAATTGTATTCATTTTGAAATTCAGTGTCGAATATTTAATTGCCTTTGTATGTACACGTATTTAAATAAATGTTTCAAGTTCTTCTCAGAAATGCATTTTCTTTGTTTGTAAGATTATGCTGCATAAGTCAGATTTCAAGCATTTCCTTGAGAACACAGAATACCAAATACATATCCTATTCCTTCATCATTTAAATGCATACTTTTATTTGCATCTTTATGATATCAGAATAAGAATATATCCATTACAAAACAAACATAGAAGTCCTTGAAACGTCCTTAACAATTCAAACAAAATAATTTATTATTAACAAACAATTTATAGCAACCATTTAATTATTCATATAAATAGAAATTCATTTCTTTTTTTCATTTGATCATTTGAACCAGTCATCATCGTCTCACGGATCAACGAGGAAGAGGAAGTCTGTCCACAGAAAATTAATACATTTCAGTCAACGAATATGAGACGTCTCGTGCAGCATTTCTGGAGTCAGTTATCACTTTCCAATTCATCTATCAGATTCATCAAACAGAGAGAATGAAGAGAGAGACAGGAAGAACCTCACCAATCGATCCACGCTAATGCCATATATTTATTACGAACTTCCTAGATTAGGTTGCTATGAATAATTCATAGAATTGTCTAGTATAGTTGCAAGCTATGCCTATGTCGCATTCTTTACTTCACACGACTGTTTTACGTTTTACTGGCTATGTAAATACCTTACTTACCACTTGTAGATGAAGTGGATAAACACTGTCACTTTCTTTACTACTGATTAAAAGTATAACTTCTTTAATTCTATGAGATGTTCAAACAATAATACATATTTTTTGTTATAACTATGAATAGTATTGAACTTATATGTTATAGAGCCTAGTATAATAATAGGACTTTTATATTTTATAGAAGTTATAAGAAGTATTGGAATTATTGCATATAAGTATAAATATAAATTAGGAATTAACACATCTAATAGTTAATATAATAATTTTTATTGGATCTCTGTATTTAATATCTCCCTTAGAGATTTTCTCATTTTGTTTATTACGTAATGGTAGGTTGGAAATAGAAAGGGCATCGTCATGGGGGTAAGAAAGCCAGACGTTCAATTTTCAGTGGAAGGAAAGAATGCTACCCTGGTCACGTGGCGCGGTATATTGGTCACGCGTTCCAAGGGCCGCGTGAGACCATCATCGACACGTGTATATTCACTCCGCCAACGGGATATTGTATTTTGAAATTAATGGAATTTCTCTTGATCGACACTGATCATCCTATTATTTGAATTAATTAACAGTTCTATGCGTTTCATAATTGGAAATCCGTTTAATTAACACACCGTCGGTTCCTGTCGTCTTTCCGCCCTCACGTTTGCGTAACAAGGATTACAATTAACCTTGTTTACCTTATTTTTCAACGAAAAGCTCCCACTTACTGTCTAAACTGAATACAGAATGTATTTTAGATTAATCACTTAGAAATTAATGTTTCAACATCATCTGTGTACTCCATTGTTTTAGGGAGTACATTCATTTACAATTTGATTATGATCTGTATTAATAATTAAGTTGAAACTTTATGATAGCAAGGGATTATAAATATTAATAAGTTCCTAGAATTTATGAGTATAATCATGTTAAATAGAAAGAGAAATCTGTTTCACCAAGAAGAAGAAGTATTTCAAAAGTTCAATGTAGTTTCCTCTTTCTATTATTAGATAACAATTATGGGAAATCAGATGGATCCTATATATAAATACAAATGACTTCAGTCAGAAAGAAAAGATACTTAGCTCATAACAAGATTCCATTTAGGTAACCCATCTAGTTCAGTCCAACCAGATTATTAATAAAATATGTATTATACACAGGGTATTTTCCTCGTTGCGAGCATTTGATTTCTATAATCGGTCTGCGTGAAGAAGAAGGATTGGGGTGGCGTGAGCAGCCCTTGCGAAGCGATGGAGGGGAGAGATGCAACTCCTTGCGCAACTAAATGAGTTCCTAACAGTTGCCGCGCGTACTTTGTCACGTTCGCGTCGTTCCTCGTGGTAAGCGTTGTCGAGACTGCAGTCAACACGAGACTTCAACCTGTTCATCCCTGAATTAAAACTTGGCCTGGCCTTCACATTTTCCTGTTCGTCGCTTGGTAAGTCTTCCAACCTTTTATTCTTCATTTAATGATGAGAAGACTTATAAGTAAGTCTTTCATTTTTTATTTGATAAACAATTCGTTCTGTAGAGTTGACAAGTTACTGACAGATATTTTGTTTTAGGTATCCAGTGTGAAAAGTGTATGAATGTTTTGCAAAATTATTTCAGTTCTTAATCTGACACTAGGTAAAGGTTTTATTTATGTTTTACAATTTTTTATTTCTTTAAAGTAGTTTATATAAACAAAGTCTTTTTGCTCATAAAATGAAACAGAATATGTATAAGTAAGTCTTTTATTTTTCATTTGATAAACAATTTGTTCTGAGCTGACAAGTTACTGACAAATATTTTGTTGTAGGTCTCTTGTGTGAAAGTTCTGTGGATGTTTGCAGAGTTCTTCTTTAGTTTTTTAATCTGGTACCAGCTGGACGTTTTGTTGATGTGGCATGTGTAGAAGTAGATCCTTTGTAAGGCCTTTTTAAATTTTCACTGATCTTCATTGTTTTTTAAAAGCATAAAAATATGTTCATATACACTATAGTTTATTATATTCTCAATTTAAGTATTGGTGTTATACACCAATTTAGTAGTTCCAATAGACATAAAGAATATTTAAAAAGGATGTTTAGAGGTCCTCATCTTCATGAGGATCATGAAGTGTTTTTTTAAACATGAAACACAAATTTAAATGTTCCATATTCCTGAGGAAGCTTGTTCGAATTAATGATTGCGTGAAATGAAAAAATTCTCTGACTTCAATTTTCATATCACAAATAAAAAAGTAATATTTGCTCGGCAATCTTCCTGCAGGTAATCTCGTTGAAAGTGCACGACTTCGAGTTCTGATTCCAGGACGCGTGATTATTCACGCGTGTACTCTGTGTGACTGCTGCATCATTGCGATTTCCAATTATCCGCAACTCCCCCGACATTTCGTCCTTTCCTCTTTCACCCTGGTTGCCTTTTCTCTCAACAATTATTTTCTTCCAACGTAAACATTTCATCAAAGCAGGCACAGGATGTAATCAAGTTTTATTGCTGTTCAGTTTGATACGTTTCTCCGGTTCATTTCATACATGGACGTTGTTTACATGGCAATAAATTGGACAGTTTGAAAGGGTTTGCGGTTCACGTGGTAGGTCTGATTATTATGAACTAGTTCCACTGAGGACGTCGTAACTGCTATTTACTTAAACTACTTGAGTAGCCGGGAACTCGGATGTCTGTTGTTTCTCTACTTCAACTGGAACACTGTCATTTGCTTTATGCTTTATTCTTATCATTATTTAGAACCGTTTCCACGATTAGGAAGATAGAACGACATACAAGTTTTGAATTGTAGATGAAATGAAAATACGTGATGCGCTTAAGGGATTGGAAACTGAGGAAAAGTCTCACAGTGATTCTGAGCCTTGAATTTAATCAGATAGGATAAACGTTAATGTCCTAAATTAATTTCCTTTGTTGCTGCATTCTGTTCATGATGAATTGGTTGTTCCTTAATGCTATTGTTATTAATTGTTACAAAGGGAATCTCAAAGCGAAAGCAAAGTAGTTGTGATAAATTGAAAGATTTTACAAATTGTTTAATTTGATTTGACTGAAAGTTAACAATGTTATTAATAGATTTAATACTAGATGCTATTGGTACTTATATTACTATTATTTTTAGGAGGTTTGGCTAATGAAAATAGTGCTAAATACTAGAACAAAAAGAGGATTTAGTTATCATCAACCAAACACGTGAAACATCTTCCACTGGACATCAAGTTGAAGTAGGAGTAACGGACTCTGATTGCGACCGACGCGTTTCTTCCTTAAAGTTTTAAGACGGTGTCTCCGGTAATCTCACCAAATCGCGAGAGATCTTGAATTCAGCGTGTTTCGATCGTTAAACATTCATTCAGGTCAAGGCTCGACGGCGGGATACGAAAGTGCATTCGTAACCCAGCCTCACGTGAACAATGGACCTGCGACAGTGGGCTAATCAGCTAGCAAATTTTAGGAAAGCCGAAACATATTGTTGCTCTCTGTTTCCGGTAAATTGTCGCATTCACCTGTACGCCAAAAGAAACCGAGAGGAACAAAATGAAGTATATCTCGAGTCCTCTTGTTTTTGTCAACAAGTTTCCTTCAATTTAGAATTTCTTGAAGTTACTTTGAACATTTCTGAAGCTTATAGAATACAAAGATGAATGCAAAATCAGTATTATATATAATTTCAAAGACTATAGAAGAAAATTATTTATGCTCCAACAATTCCAGGTAACCATTTCAATTTATTTCTATATCTGGCTTCCATTATGTTGGTCACATAACTGAAAACATCTTCCTCGAACGGCTACTTCCAGGAAACAAGGATTGTACATATCGGTCAAGAACAAACCCAGTACGTCAAGCACAGACGGATTTATCTAAACCAGCGCCCTTAGCTAGAAGTCATAATTAAACAAGAACGCTCGGCGCAAGCTCAATTTAATTCCTGATTCAAGAAAAGGAGGACAGGCTTTTCATCGTTTTTCGCTACCCTTCGTGCAACGTTAATCCTGCGAATATGTGGCTGGCAAGTTTTAACGAGACACCCTCGAAATGCAGAAGTTTGCTCTGCACTGGCTTACCCATGAAAAGCTCCTCTTTGGTCGGATTAAGACTGCGGTTAATGTCTGTGACATTGATGTTTAGATACTTCGCTCACCTATCTGTAAAATGCGCTTGTTAAGCACCGCAATATCTTCGCTTCGTTTAACTATTATTTATAAAGTAAAAAGTAGGGATTTAGATATACATGTAAATCTAGAAATTTAAGGACCTAGGTACCTCAGAATCTATCAACTACTTGTCTTTGCAAATCACTAAATTAAATGCAAATCTTGGCAAATTAGGTTTGACGCAAACGAGATTCATAACTTCGTCAAAGAAAATTAACCATCTCATTTTCCGAAATTGAATTTGGTCTCTAAACGAATTTCTGTGTCAAACTTGCGTAATTCAGTTTGGAAATGTGTTTGGATCCCGGGTAATCTGCTTGAACAGAAGGATCATTTGTTACTGTCAGGGTAATCAGGATAGACAATGTTAATTTCTTCCTTACTCGAAACACTCATTAATGTTTAATCTAAGGTAAAAAGTAGTTCATTGCTGCAGCAGAGAATTTGGTCCATGAATGAAACGTTTAGTTTGATGAAACTTCAAGCTTCAAATTGATGTAGACTTTTCAGACTTTTTGAAAATCGCAGCCGTGTATGATGAATTATGACTTGATGGTTTGAAAAGAGTGGAGATATCGATTGGTGTATGAAGACCATAGAAAGACCAGCCTTTGTAAGGCGGTTCATTAAAAATATAATACTGCTACAGTGTATAGGTCTTTCTTCGAAATCTCGCAATATTTTGTAACTATGACTCTCCATAAAATAATGAAAAAGTCTGGCTAACTGATCAGATCGTACGTTGCAGGGTCAAGCGTTCTACCTCTGGGATTTTTTAATTTAAAACGCTGGAAGGCGTAATATTCGAATAAAACTCGACACCCCCCGGGGGAACTTTTAAACTTGGAAATCTGGGTTGCCGCTTTACAAAGGAAGTAATTGGTGAGATACTAACTCGGAGAAGGGATGGCCGTTTAAACGATCAGCCTGTGAGTGTACGCTGATTGAAACAGATGCTCGATCATGCGAGCCAATAACGACAAGCCGTGATTAGGCAAGAGGGCGAATTGCACCTGTCGATTGTGCTGAATCCGGGCTTAGGCTCCCTGTTGCTTAAAGTTCTTCGTGACTGTTTTAAACGATCGTTGTGTTTATTTCACCGACTAATTGACTGGGAAGCTGGGTTTCCGAATCGTCGAAGTTCTATTGGAATTTGACCGTTGTTTATTTTTTATCCGCGCTCTGCTCGCTTTCCCACGCAGATTAAAGCAAATTGATGTGTCGAGTTGCACCGTGTGTCTAAAGAGAATTTTATGTCGAATGTGAAACGAGGTGTAGAATGTTCCATTAGTTCTTGTTACCAAAAGTGTTAAAACTCATAATTGGACCAGCCTTTCTTCCCTTGGTTTGTAATTAGTTAATTAAATGGAACGAGGTGGCCATTACGGCTATATTCAAGTTCTTTTTTAACCGCGGAATGAAAAAGTCCGGACAGATTAAAGTAATACTTTTATCATTTTAACAACTCAATTTTTACACGCTTATATTAACTCATGATTTTCTTTTTTAGTAACAGTTCAAGAATTGAATAGAACACTGTGAAGGTTACAAAGAAGAGATGACATTCTCATTATGTATCCAGTGCGAGCCATGTTGACTGTGTCGTTCAATTAATCCCAAATCAATCGAATCCGTAACCTGAAGGATGAGCTTAATTAAACTGGAGTATATTTGATTGATTAATTGTATTCCGAGAAACTTGCACCGTTACGTAGGCACCTCGCATATAATTTGCTCCTGCATTTAACCAGTATTAATTCTTTTTAGTCTTCGAGTGCCGAGAAAGTTTCGCTTAAACTTTGAAACGGATGTGCTAAAAAAGTAGCTATATTATTGTGGAAAGTTTCGCTCGTAATTACGCCGCCCTTTCGTCCCGGAAATGGTACGCAATTCTTCCTCCGCGTGGAAAGAAGAAAAACATAAAACTTGAGAATTCTCTGAACATCCGTCGGAAGAAATTTCTATGCTAACTTGAAGTTGCGTTGAAATGTAAAACCAAGCAGATTCTTGGCTCCGTAGTCAAGACAGGTGCAAATTAAGATGAGTCAGATTTGGAATAAGTTTCAACGAAGTATAAACCGAACACGTTCCAGATTCGCGCTCGAATGCACGGCAAAAAAATATTTTCTCATCAGATTTCTGTTCCAGTAATTCGGTAAAAGGCAAAGGAAGTAAAGAGGAACTACTTTTGCAGAAGTTTCACAAGTTCCTGCACGTTTGAGTGCATTGGCCTCGCTCTAGGCTGCATTAAGCATTTTTATTCCACCTTTTAGTCGTCGCAAATAAGGGGAATAAGAGAAGAGAAGAAAAACGGAAGACACAAATAGTGGTTTCTATTTTCATCTTACTAAGTCTGTCCAGTATGAGTGGCTCACTCTTTTCCAGCCTCGGTTTGCCAACTAACTTGCGATGAGAATTCTGACCTACAAAAATGCGTTGTCCTTGTCCGCCTCGATCTCTCCTGCAATCGATTGTCCCATTTCAACGCGAAATTCTGGCGTTAGTACACGAAACAGTCACGAATTCAGCTTTTCCTTTCTAAAGCCACTGTTCTAGCGGAGAAAAGTTTCTGGACAATCAGAGGACATGGAACGGGGTTTCATTGTTAAGGTTATTCTCGGTGATTGAAAGACTTTGATTCCTTTATGAATGGCAGCTTCTTTACGTCGAAGATGACCAATTAATTTGTGGAAAATTAAATCTTCAGCCATACAATAGCGTTCTTGTATATAAAAACATGTGCAACATTTGAAGCTTCAAGTGTAACAAAAATGCTAACAGTAACTGCATCAAATAATATCAAAATAAATTTCATTTCTGAAGAGACAATTACCGTCTGAAAAGAACGGCAATGAATATAAAATAATTACATTGCAATTAGAAAACGAGTAGACACCAGGTTCAGCTTTATAGGAACAGAAATCCTTTATGAATTTTATCATGAGCATTCCAGGGAACTTCTGTTCTTCAAGTTCCGCGTACAAGATGGATGAGAGGGATGAGAAGCTGTTACTTTGCAAACTCTCAAATTATTCGCAACTGCATCGTCGAACCTTCGGCTCGCAATTTCGACGAGAACTTCGTTAAAATTTGATCGAGCAGTCGCTGTCTTTGTTCCCACGGTGAATCTTAATTTCACCGTGTACCGCCACATTTCGTCCAATTTAACGAAAGTCAGAAGTTCAAGTAATTATGTAATGACAGTAAACTCGGGAAGAAGATGAGGCTCGTAACGTGATTCTATAGAATCTGATAAACTTGCGAAACTTCTGGTAGCTGGTTATTGCTGAAATGAATATTGCTTTTCAAGAAGGGTAACATTCTAAGGCTAATTTGCGTTGTTCCAGCTTTTGGTTACTGAAGGAAGTTAATTTCTATCTTTCACATTTATTTTATCCTTTTAATTTGTTTCCTTTCTAATTTATTATTTGTATCTTTTTAATTTGATAGTGTGGAGCTTGAAGAGAAGCAATATAAGGGAAGAAAGTTTGAGAAGCGTGGACTTTCTTGTATCATTCTAAAGCTAATTTGCGTTGTTCCAGCTTTTGGTTATTGAAGAAAGTAAATTTCTATCTCTCACATTTATTTTATCTTTTTAATTTGTTTCCTTTCTAATTTATTATTTGTATCTTTCTAATTTGATAGTGTGGAGCTTGAAGAAATATAAGGGAAGAAAGTTTGAGAAGAGTGGACTTCCTTGTAACATTCTAAGGCTAATTTGCGTTGTTCCACCTTTTGGTTACTGAAGGAAGTAAATTTCTATCTTTCACATTTATTTTATCTTTTTAATTTGTTTCCTTTCTAATTTATTATTTGTATCTTTTTAATTTGATAGTGTGGAGCTTGAAGAGAAGCAATATAAGGAAAGAAAGTTTGAGAAGAGTGCACTTCCTTGTACCACCATCTTCTGTAAAGAAGTCTACTCGTTTACATCATACGACAGTATCTTCAATCTAACAAAAAGGCTCGAAATCGATGTCTGATGTAAAATTGATAATTAGCTTCATGAGCTAACGCGGTATCAGTTTCATAAATTTGAGGCAATTGACAGCCAATGATCAGAGGAACCAATGAGGATAAACACGTCTTAAAATCAAAAACTATTCATACACGAGGCAGAAACGCATGATGCATATACGGGTTTTTGGCTAGAATCCAACTGTACCTGTGCCATTTCCTTCTTTTTCTTTCTCTATTATCTTTTTTCCATTGCTTCACTCTCCACGCGGTACGCTTGTTGGCTACGAAATTCCGGCTTTCCTTTTTTAATTTTTTGGGAACATTTGGACGCGAACGTTAATGAAGGCCGTATGTAGTTTTTTTCATCAAACTTTTCATCAAAGCTTCAAATTGATACGGTACCATTTTGTTGTGAGACTGTATAAATTTATATTCGATATTGGTAGATTTTCCTGGGTGAAATTAAAATTTTTGTGGAAAGGATTCTTTTCGTTTCTTGAGATAGAATTACAATTGCGGCATAGATCAGTCGTGGGTTCTTTTCTGGCTTGACGGCTTTCAGATGGTAATGAGGAGGAACCAGCGATCGATCTTTTCTAAAATAAGGGTGTCAGAGCGTCTCTCGAGAGATTCTGAATCGTTGATCCTCCGTTCTACGAGCGATAGCGGAAACAGGAAGCGGCATGCAGAATTGGTTTATCTGCTTCGTAGAGCAGAATTTTCTGCTAGGGAAATCTCGTTTATTATCTTCCAAAAAATGTAATTAAAATTACTCTAAGTCCTAACAGATTTCAGATGGTATTTAATTAGCAACAATGAAACGTTTCAAGTTCAAATATTTTTCATGGCGAAAATGTCAAATCCAGTTTAAAGGTACACGGTTTTCATTTTTAATTTAATTCCTGTTTCACGTACAAACAATTTTGTAACATTTTTCAATTTTATTTTTTAGGAATTTCATTTCCAAGCTTCCCACTTTAATGGCCAGAATATTTTCAACGATGATAATTATTTTCACCGGTAGATTGTTATCGAAATAAAAATTTCGAGTGCTGGCACGATTCTTTAGCTGGGAGGCAAACGGACAAAAGGCAGCGAAAATTGTGGAAAAGAAAAATCATCTAGTAGACGAGTTGTTCAACGGGAAAATCGTTCGAGTATAATTTTTTTGTCAGGCAGTGAAACGGCGGCGTTAATTTCACGCTGGTTGGTTCATTCGTAGCACGGTTGAAATTAAAACTCTTGCGGTTTTCATCGCTTAACCATCACCGCCGGCAAGACACCCTCGTTTTGACATGCACATTTGGCGAAGCAATTTCCACGAAAACCGGCTGCTTAATTGTGTTACAAACCGGAAGAATCTAGTCACGTTGGTTCGCTTGCACATGCAAATCGCGGCTGTAGTGGTCCTTTATTTCCCACGAGTACCAACTCGACATTTGCGCGTACAGAAAACTTTTTTTTTATTATATTTTGACCTTATTCTTCAGTCAAACTATTGTTCAATTTATATTCTTTCTGGGCATTTGAAGAAAATATTATTCATGCAAGATAATTTGCATTTCATGGATAGTTAGTAGGGAAGGGAATTTTTATGATTGAAGAGAAAAGAAATGTTTTACTGTAAAGAAAATTTAATCTCTTTATAGGTTTCTAAAACTACATAGTGTGAAAGTCTTCTAATTCAATCCTTTTCTCTCTTTCAGATACAAGAAAGGAAGTGGACCAATCAACAGACCCTAACTCCAAGAAGCTACAATTAATACGGACATTTGTGTGACATTTAAAGAAGTGTATTTTTTATATGTTTATATCTTCAACTCTTTGTTAGTTCACAATGTGAATTATACTGCAATAAGTACATTATGATGAAGTAATATGAAGTGATCATTTTAATACAGTTGGTAGAGCAAGAAATATTTCACTCAAGGACCAAATACCAAAGCAATAAATCCTTCAAGGATTCATAGTTTGAAGTTAGAAATTCTTGTTGCTATTCTTGGTATTTCCCGTGTCAAATAAAGGATCAAGAAAAATAAAACTGAAAACGATAGGAACTGAAACGTGCCGGATTTGATTGTGAAACTGCACTCGGTTGTGCCTTTTCCAAGAAGAAAGGGTGAAGTGGTTTGAGAAATGAATAGACAGGAAAAAGGTACAATGTGTTCACGTCGCGAAAGGAGTCCCTGTTGATTTGAGAAAAAACAAGGAGAAAAGATGTAGAGGAAGAAGTGAAAATGGACAATTAGAGGAAACATGGACGCCTCTAATGCCATTGGCAATAGCACTGAGGATTTCTGCAGCACTAAATTTAAGAACTTTGTACCTCCAGAAGATGGTAATTGAGAAATTCTAGCTTCCTAAAAATTGCCTTTGTGTTATTGCACTCAGTCTGAACTTTTCTTCTTTGTGAAGAGAGATAAATGATTAAGACACCGGTTAACGAACTTAAAATATTACTTGACAAAGCTTTCAACGTCTTCTACGTAGCACATATCGCATTCAGGATAGAAATTGAATTGCCAGTTGCGCTTCGAGGAAAGCTGTAACCAGACCGTAGATAATCCAGAGTAGACGTATCTCGAGCCAAGTCAGATACCTCGTATCGTATCTCAATTTGAAATTATAAAACGCCAACGCACCCCGTCAACTGGAAGCACACGACAACGATGATGCTGTTCACGTTTCCATTTTTGCAGAACTCTGGTGCAAACCAGTATGGGACTCGTTGCTGTGCTGGCCACCGACCAAAGCATCCGCGACGATCAAGCAGAGATGCCCGTTCGAGAATGGATTCGATACCACCAGTAAGTACACGTGCACTCGTTTGATGAATGCACATTTAAATTGCTTGTTAGCTACATCCACCACGGAGCGAGAGAGATGAAAAGAGTGTGAAAGTGGTGTGGAATAATTAGAACACCCGTGTAATTTACAAGCAACCTGTTCACCGCTGTAGACAGGCTTTGTAACTTCGCTTAAATTAATAAAAAATTATTAGAAAGATTGAGGCAAAGAGAAAAGGAAGAAATGTTGTACTTTGAAAACTGAGAGCATCAAGAGGTATACACAAGTATTTTCAGAGTTTATTGGAAATTAACAAATTTATTAATTTATAAATCATGTTCCTAAATTTCCAGATTCTCAGACCTCTGAATTTTCCAAATACCAAGTTTAATTTGGAGAATATTTTAGAAGGTGGTAAAAGCTCTTCTGTTGAGCTTGAAGGGATGAAAATTTGCTCGTTATTTCAAAGGCAATTAACGCAGAGCTGGATCAAAATGAAACGTGGATTTTCTTTGTTTTCACTTTTTTCAAGTTATTGATTAATTAATTTTACTGTAGGACATCGTGGAACGGATGAGGCATTTACATAGCAAACCTGTTCTATTGAAATGAATTTAGCAATGGATGGTAATTAGAAAATTCCTGAAGCTTCATACTTAATTAAGGGAGAACTTTGCCGTTAAAAGTTCCTGAATTTCATGACTCGTTCGTGCCAAATGGTTGATCGACGTCACTCGATTTGCATAACAAATTTGCCCAGAGTTTCTACGGATGACTTCTTAATGGGATTATTCGGACCATTGTTGAAATTTGTTAATTATTCTTCTATTTTTTTTTGAAATTCATTTTTATGATGAAACAAAAACCTTAGATGAAACTACGTTCTTACGCCCCCGTGGTTAAAGAAACGAGGTTATTTTAGATTCTGTGGTAGAAACAAGTATTCTTGATTGCCTTCAACTTCCGGTAAATTGTCTTGCAAAAGCTGTGTCTAAAAACTGAATGAATGGACTCAGTTGCAGGGATGTAGGGTCGCATTCAATCCTTATATTCATGAGTTGGATATTTGGATACTTGAATAGGTATTGTTTAAATATTTTCTTAGACAGTTATTTATGTATTCATTTTTACACAAGTATATTTAAATAGTAAATATAAAACTTTGATATTTAATATATAAAAGGATGCATTTGGTAAAAAATAATTTGTTTATATTCTTATATCTCTTCTCCGTTAAAGCTACAATCTTCCTACGAATCGATTGGCATTTTAAACTGACAGAGAAATTCAATACACCCACTTTTCAGGCTATTCCGCAGAGAAAAGGTTTTGCAACAAGGAATTACATATCGAAGAAAATAAATTCGAGTTTTCTCCTCCGCTGTGCCGTTTATCGATAAAAAAAAGGAAGCCAAGAATGAGTTTCAGCCGGAAAAGAAGCTATTTTCACCGAATGCGTCTGATGTTTACGTGACCGGCGAATCTAACTGAAGCCTTTTTACCTTTGAACTTACCCATAACAATGGAATGGAGAAAACGTTTCTCTTTATTTCTCTCTGGCAGCTAATACATTTGCAGCAGTCTTAAGTTCTAGTTTCAAATTGCTACAATATTCAGTTGCTAAATTAATACTTAGGTACTTTGATATCTTGCTACTTAGCTATTTGGATAACTTAGTACTTATTTGAGTATTGATATGGGTATATTTATATGGATGCTTAAGAAGTGTATTTAAGTACTTGGACATTTGAGTGTTGAATGATTAGAATCTTGAGTACTTGAACATTTGAGTGCTTAGATACTTGACTTAGACACTGGATATTAGACTATTAGACACTTGTGCTTGTGTACATAGACATTTGTACAATTGAGTACTTGAATTGGCTACTGGTGTTTGAACAGAAAGGTACTCGAATACTTGTTACATGAATAATTGCATACTTCTTCACTTGAGTACTCAAATACCCAATGAATACTTAGATAATTAAATACATACCTGATATTTACTAAATTAATACTTAGGTACTTTGATATTTTGCTACTTCGCTGACTAATTTAGTACTTATTTGAGTATTGATATGGGTATATTTATATGGATGCTTAAGAAGTGTATTTAAGTACTTGGACATTTGAGTGTCGAATGCTTAGAAGCTTGAGTACTTGAACATTTGAGTGCTTAGATACTTGACTTAGACACTGGATATCAGACTATTAGACTTGTGCTTGTGTACATAGACATTTGTACAATTGAGTACTTGAATTGGCTACTGGTGTTTGAGCAGAAAGGTACTCGAATACTTGTTACATGAATAATTGCATACTTATTCACTTGAGTACTCAAATACCCAATGAATACTTAGATAATTACATACCTGATGTTTAAGTAAGTAAAACAAAATTTTATAAACTAATTAATTAAAAATGAACACACATAAAATATCTGAACGTCAATTCTATTTGTAGGTATCTGTACAATGGAGAAGGAAGCTTTGAGAATTTTATCGGCGTAGTCATTTAGAATCGGTCTACTTTAATCGGCGGAACGTTTGACGAGAACCGCCAGATCGATTTGTAGCCGGGATTCGCATGCATCCGCTGCTTATACTTGAACTTGCCCCCAGCATTCGAGATGCATTTCCGTTTTCACAATACCGTCATGGAGACAGTGGGAATGAGAACCTGGAGCATGCCACTCGACCCACTTCTCCAACACATTTTGATTGCACTCTATAACGCGACAAAATGTTACGAGCGCTAACCGCGTGACTAAAGTTGGCCCGACTCTGTAGACGTCTTTTGTGTCTCCGTTGACTTTCTTTTCCTGTTGAAATGCTTGGATGCAATTCGTGGAGTCTCCTTTGACCCTTCAGCACCGTTAGCTAATATCACTTTCAAATATCTTCAGTATTAAAATTAATATTATAAATTTGAAAATTTAAATAGATTAGTCTTCATCCAAAGCATCCTGTGTAGTTTATCTGATAGTTTTTGACGTGTTCGCATTTTGAAGTCGAAGTTGAGACAATTGTAGCCGTAATCTGAAAATTGGACCAACGCTTCTATTTCGCGATGCCCTTGATCTTTGTAAATCCTTTGAAATCGAAGTTTCAAATGGAGAAGGTGGAAACGTACTGTAATGCGGCAGTTCTCTGATTTCACGGGCTTCAAGAAAGGTTTTAAGCAGCAAGCCGAATAGGCTCCTCTTTGAGGCTTCTTCTTTCATAGAATATTCATGGTCCTTCTTTATTCCGGTCTTTTGATAACGCCGTTGCCGGATTCTTTTGGAAGTAATTCGCCGACTCGGCAGTTATTTGGAATCTCATAGTTTAGAACTACTTGTATTCGAGTCTTATTGTCTGAAGGAACTTGAGAGAAAAATTAAGCCGAAATTTTATAAGATTATATGAAAATTCTTCTGGTGCGTGAATTTCTTCTACTTCATATCTTAAATCTGTGTAAAGTTTTTATGTTTCAAAACGGGAGTGCAAACCGTATCCTGAGGCAGAAAGAAAACAAGGTTCATCTGGTTTTGGAGAAGTTTAAATGGCTGGAGTAAACATTTTCAAATGTAAAAATCTCGTTTCATCAAAGGAAATGAAGAAAGGAATATCAGGAAATTCATAGTAGTGGAAAATGTCAGAGTACATTAAAACTCTGCTGCAAACGAACTCGCAAACTTTGAATTAAAAACAAAAGGCAGGTAAATGTAAAAAAGTTAATTGTGAAAAATAATCATAAATTAATTTTGAATTAATTTCATTACAGTTTGTAACTTCAGTTAACTCTACCTGTCCTCAATTTCCGCCTGCTTAAAGTTCAAAGGTTCTATTACATTTGAAATGGTTTACAGAAATTATTCAGAGATGAAGTTCCTGAAATTTCCATATAGACCTGCCCGATTACAGCTTTGCAGTGGAGAGTAATTTGAAGTGCCTTTTGGAAAGCTGCGGACAGTAACATATACAGGAAGTTTCCACAAAGAGCCTTTCAAGAGTATTTGTTCATATATTTAAAGCACACAATTTAATCAAACTATAATCTAAGCCATGAATCAATATTAAAGTTGAATTTTCAAATCCCTGGTAATCGTTCTCCGAAAGTTGCTCTCAAAGTTGAATTACAAAGCCTCGTTTACCAGCAAATTGTTGGGCAAACAGAGCGGCCAGATCAATTCTGTCCGTCCCAGTTTGTCCTTGTTATCGTGTGCCAGAAATGCATGCAAAGTAAACACGTTGTTTGGGCAGAATTCGTGGAGAAGAAGTGCGGCTACAATGGTCGGTGGGAGGGTCAGAACGGCACCACCAACGTGGATTCATCTCACGGATGGGCGAATTACACCACCTGTCTGATACCGGAAATGCTGCGGCTGCACGGCAAAGTTTATACCAACACCGTCGAGGGAAACGTGAGTATCACGACACCGAGATCAAAGTTAAATTGATCTTTGTCTTGTTCATTACAATGCTATTACCATGCGATCAGTTTCACTAACGCTGCTTACTTTCAGATGAAAATGGACATAGTTGAGAAAACCCGCACACTGGAGTTTGTTGGCTTAAGCATTTCTTTGGTAGCGCTACTCGCTTCACTTGCCATATTCTGTCGTTTTAGGTGAATTGATATTACTTCTCAAATATAATTCTTTCTTAGGAGTTTGCTAAGAGAATTGATTTTTAGGTCTTTGAGGAATACTAGGACCAGGATACATAAGAACCTCTTTGTAGCCATGGTTGTACAGGTTCTTATCAGATTGACGGTGTACATAGATATTGAAATTTTAAGGAAGAAGACATATGGTATTCAACGAGGTATAGGAAACACTGTAGGTACCTAACCTTGAATAGAAGTTGCATTCTTAAATTTTAAGTTTGAAGTTAACATGAGCTACTTTCTTCTTGTAGCCTGTGCTGTGTGAGACAAGCTATGCTCTTCTGGAGTATGCAAAGACCTCCATGTTCATGTGGATGTTCATAGAGGGTCTATTTCTGCACAATATGGTTACTGGTAAGTTAAACATCATCTTCAGAGTCAGTCTTCAAAGTTTGAGATAATGAACTTACTGTTGCAGTGACGGTGTTCCAAGAAACGTCTTACTATAGGATGTACAGATTCATCGGCTGGGGATGTCCTGTTGTGATGACTTTAGCCTGGGCCATCATTACCGCATTTTACTATCATCCAAAGTCCAGGTAAGATCACAGAAATTAATTTCTATCAGGTTTGAAATGGATCCACATTGATGATGTCCAATATTAGATTTTCCAGATGCTGGTCAGGGTATAATTTGTCTTCCTACTTTTGGATCCTTGAAGGACCTAGGTTTGCAGTTATATTGGTAAGTAAGATTTAGAGGCTCAGGTTAATCAACTGCAACTTTATTTTGTTTATATCTTTCAGCTCAATTTTCTGTTCCTACTGAACATTGTAAGGGTACTTGTGATGAAGCTTCGACAGAGCCATACCAGCGAAATCGAGCAAGTACTGTGAGTAATTGGTACCGAAGAGAACGCTAGTTATTAGCTGAACAATTATTGTTGCGTTATTTTCACACAGAAAAGCTGTACGAGCAGCAGTGGTGCTTCTACCACTTCTGGGCATCACCAACGTGCTCTTCATGATAGAAGCACCGTTGCATAACGTGAAGAAATTTGCACTGTGGTCTTACTCCACTCACTTCCTGCAGTCTTTTCAAGGCCTATTCATTGCAACACTCTACTGTTTCCTAAACGGCGAGGTGAGATTGTACATGTTAAACAGTGTATTAGAAATGAAGTGATTATTAATTATGAACATATATTGTGGACAGGTGAGACTCGCTCTGGACAAAACCATATCCGTCTATCTGTCTATAAGAGGAACCGACCTGCAAGCGAGAAGACAGCTGACCTACAGTGGCTGCCAACCCCAAAGAATAGTATCAGGTGAGACCTGTTTACTCAAATCTCTAAGTACTTCTCACAAGAGCTAAATCATGTAATTTCAGTAGCAAAGCTATTTTGTAAAAAAGTATCTCTTAATTTCATTGATTGCTCTGAAGTAAAACTAGAGTTTTACATTGAATCAAACATAGTAAAGTCTTCATTAGAGCTCAGTGAATTCAATCAAATTAATGAAAATCTCGTAGTAATTGAAATGGAGGAGGAGGAGATAAGACCGAGCGGTTGGATAAGACTGTGCTGTCGAGGTGGAAACACTCCGCCACCGGACCGACCTGCCGAGTGAGTAATGATCGAAGAAAACCCGCCAATCCGCATTTAGATCATTACCAGCATCGACGGTCGATCCTTCTACTAGTAGTAGGTAAAGATACACTAGATGCATGACCCGTGCACGTTCTGTTCCTTGGGCTTCAGACATCCTTAATCTTAATGTATAAATTACTTATTGTAAAACAGTGCAGTCACTCGTTGAACGTGTTTAGCAACATGTGGTTATTTACAGAGCCATATGGAGAGACTGCACTGAATTGCAATCAGTTTTTATCCTCAAACATTGCTGAGAGGAATGCACTGTTGAATAGCATCATTTTCCTATGAAAATAATATGCATTTTTGATTTCAGAACAGCCGTTTGACCCTGGAGCTCCTCAGGACATACTGACCAAAAGCTTCAGAATTTTGGACGGTGAAGAATTAGGTTGCAAACTATTATGAAGATTGGGGTTCCTGAACCAACCTGTACATTCAAGAACCTAATTTTTGTCTGGAGATTTTGTTGATATGAACTAATTGACTGATTAATTATTACTAATTTAGAATGATAAAATAAGTAATAATTATTTAAGGTTTCAGATAATCCAAGCAAGCAATGGGTGTAAATTTAAGAGAAAAATATTGATGTTTTGGAGTGAGATGAGTTTCTGTGAAATGTGGAGTTAATTGGAAATTTGAAGTGGAATGGGTGAGTGGAGAGTTTAATAATGTTTGGAATGGGATTGACTGGGCAATGTTGTGCGAGATAAATTATTAAAGGAAAATAAGAGACAGAGATGTTAATGTGATGTTTGACGAAGAATAGATATCTTAATACATACAAATTCTTAGTAAATGGAAAATGTAATAGAATGTGAACTAGGCTGTGAACCGATAAATAAACGTCGGATAAGTTTCATATGGATTAATGAAACAGGTTGATAAATAAAAATTTATAATCATTCAGATTTAAAGTGGACTAACTGTATAAATAAAAGATTGACAATGAATGAGAGTCGAAGAAGTTTGTAACAGAACATTACGTTGATTAGTAACGATAAGTTATAATGTTTGAAGAATAATTTTGTAAAGAAACGTCAACTATTTTCAAGTAAAATTACATTTTTTGTATGGAAATGTTTATAGATTTAACTGGTGTAACTGCTGTTTATATACTTTTAAAAATCTCTGTAAGTTGTGAAACCTATTATGGTACACTTTAAAACTGATTTAATAACGTGAATGAGTTTTACCTAACAATTTTTCTTCAAACAGAAAAAGTACAATTTTCAAGATCTATGTTCGAAGTGATTTGATATTTTTATCGTGTGTTCAGAGCGATCATAGCTAGCAGCAAAATTACTACGATCGATAACGTAATCTATTTGCATGCCTTTTTGCAAGACAGAAAATAATTAGTCGTAAGGTTAGCTAATTAGCAAATGCATCGGTGCTTGAATAACTTTGTAGCTGTGCGTTGTTTTAAAGATATAAATAAATAATCGTGACACCGATTGTGCCTGTTGCATCAACCCTTGAAAGAATTATATAAAGGAGCTTCGAAAGAACAGTTTAACATTTACAAAAAGTTTGTATTGCCATGATTAATTGTAGAAAAAACGTATTTTACATGGTATAAAGCTTTGTTGCACAAAGGAACATCCATCGTGTTGTTCTTTAGAACTATTATAAATCAACATAAAACGTTGTACTCTTAACAGTAACAAAGATAAATACATTTATATAAATAATTCTTAAATATATTAATTAGAGCAGATAACGATTACGTATAGTGTCGGAGGAACTTAACTTACTCTCAACCAAATAATTTACCAATAATTGAATCATACTAATCAACAAAACAATTCATATTGTAAAAGCTATCACAGATATGTTTCAAAAGCTCATACAAATTTTATCAAACAGTGATTAAACTAATACTGCATTTTTTTCTTAAACTAAAATAGTAGAATGTGCAATATAATTAATACCTTGAAGTAATATTGCATTAAAATCTCTTTCTTAAGAAACATTGTACAAAGTTCATTACAAATAGTCTCTAAAAGTGTAGAAAATAATTTAAGAAATAATTCTTAACTTTCTGCTTAAGAGCCTCAAAGCAGTATCTGTACCAACAGTCTCATTGGTAAATTATACAACAAATATTATTACTGTTATTAAAACTGTGCTTAGTTCTAAGGACAACGAAATTTCAGCTTCATCTATGAAAGTAGATGAAGATCAGACTTGTTTGTTTCTACTTTAAAATAGTCTTTCTTTGACACTCGTTCAAAACTCGTCGTGAAAACTTTTCTCTGTGTCCACCATTTTACTGCCTAAAAATAAGTCCATCTTGCTTAGGATCTCGGACAGGTTTAATTTCCCATCCAAGTTTGTGTCCGATAGGCTTATCAAGTGCTGAGCTTCTTGTATAGCGTGTCTCGGGTTCCTTGGATCTATGTACATCTGAAATAATACGTTCAAATTGTATTCATGTTTCTTTTTCTTTTTAGATGAAACTGTGTTCTTACTAAGAGTTCTGCCCTGTCAGCTTTCCCATTTTTATTCTTATCGATAAGATGTCGGAACTCTTTCCGCCTGTCTTCGCTTCCACCCACTGCTTCGTGTTTGTCTTCCTTTAAATCTAAACCCATTCCTTCTGAAGGCAAGTCGGAGAACTCGTCTTCTGTCAGCTGCTCATCTCCATCACGGTCTAAAGTAAGAATTTTTTGCAGAGTATTATGTAAATTAAATAAAAGACTTGAAACTTACCAAATTTCTCGAACAGGTCCTCAACCATTTGAAGGAGAGCTCTGTGACTGCTCTCGGGATGGGTGAAAGCCAGGAACTCGTCCAGTGCCAGTCTCTCCGGATCGTTTCTCGCTGCTTCCGCCCACCTTGCTCTATCTCTCATGATATTTTCTTTCAAAGTTCGTGACATGTCGCTGTGCTTCTTGTCATGAGAGCTCACATAACTCTCGGGAAATCCGTGGGATCTGAGAAAGTATGCGTGATATTCTTCCCACGAGACTTCACCTGTCACATTCAAGAATTTATGTCCATAAATATTAATCTACTTTCTTCTGGTCTTTAATTTTTTATTTGACGACATTGTTATTGCTAATGTAATGTCAACAAAGGTATAACTGAACCCAATTTTATTTCTTCATTCTTAAACTGAATGTTTTTGTCATCTAATATTCACATTTTGTTTACAGATTATATTTTATTTCTGTCAGTAATGAATGCAAGCAGAATGAATGAAGTATACAAAAAAGATTTTAGTAAAAAATATTTGCAATAAGGATTACCATTTCGTGGATTATTATCAATAGCAGTGAACAACCCAACATTCTCCCTCATAGCACAACTTATATGTTCTGTGATTTTCATGTGAATCCATCTCGCCAATTCCTGGATGTCTAACAGCTGATCCTGATCAGTGTCAGCCCTCTGAAATATATCTTCAAGTAGGCTCTTTGGATTTTCTCTGTTCTCCGCCTCTTCCACTTCTTTTATGCCTCGATCGACCTCCCGTCGGCGTTCTAAATCCTTGTCACGTGAGGCAGTGACTACCTCGAGTTCTACAAACAGATCCTCGATCATGGAACCGTCCTCGTCCTTCTTCTCCGCGGAAGAGACCAGACTCTTGAGGGGCACGTTCCTGTTGTACTTGACGAAGAGGAGGAACAGGTAGATAATGAGGGGCACCAAGATAGTCCAGCGAAGAAAACGGAAACACCGCAAATCAGACTTGCAGGTGATCTTATGAATCTGCAAACGTGAAGATAGTTAGGCTTCAAAGATGATGTTACAGATTAAATTGATGTAGAGTGAGTTTTGTTTACAGAACACAAAATGTTAGTCTCAGATGTTACAGATTGAATTGATGTAAAGTGAGCTTTGTTTACAGAACACAAAATGTTAGTCTCAGATGTTACAGATTAAATTAATGTAAAGTGAGTTTTGTTTACAGAACACAAAATATGAGTCTCAGAATGTTACTCAAAGCTACAAGAAGTTTCTAATTATTTTCATCAACTGAAAGGTACTCACAAAGTAAGAAAGATACATGTTGACCAGCTAAGCAAAGCAATCCTCAAATATAGCTGGATCACAGTGCAGCCTCAGAACTCCAATTTTCTCCATACGTTGATTTCTTAATCAACCTTCCAGCAATCAGAGTAATCTCCTACACACCATTTCTTATACTTTCACTGTTATCTCAGGTAAACCACACTGTCAGTTACAAGTTATTTTGCTAAACAACACTGATCTCACTGAAGACACTGCATCATTGCTGAACATGTTTAATTGCAAATAAACTTTTTCAGGCAAGTGGGATAACAGGGAATCTGTACGTGGAGGTTTGTTCAGTAAGAACAGGACAAAACATTGATGATGGAAATGGATAATGATAGTCAGATAACAAAGAATGAAGGATGGTGACAGTTCTGGTCTGATTGATAAACGATGTTACTCCGCTCAGTAGCAAAAAAGCAAGCTTCAAGGAGAACTCTAGTCGCACGTTGCCTGGCAAAACGTTAACGGCGTATTGATCCACTTTCACTGTCGTGTCCTTTCTCTCTCTGTTTATCTCTCTCTTGCGCCAACGCTGTTCCCAGAGCCTCCTTGTTGCACTTGGATCGCTCCTCCTATCTCTCTCCGTTCAATCACTAAGATTCGTTCTTTGTTCTACAATTGAAGTGACAGTTGCTGACTTTTTTCCCTATTTAACCTGAGTCGGCAGCTGTTTTTGCCGAGTAGCTCTAATGATATAATGGTACTGAAGAAAGTAATCTCTTAAAAGGCGTCTCTTCAGTTTTCTTCTATTCTGTTTTTCTTTCATATTTTACTTTCTGTGTAATTTAATTAATTTTATCATTTTTTTTTAGTAGAGAAAGAAGTTTAGAAGAAGAAAATTTGGGAACTGAAGAAATGAAAGGATAGAAGCATATAATAAACTTAATTATTCCTTGTATTTTCTCATTGTTATGTACAAATATTTATACAAACACGTAGAAATGAAGAAGCTTACGTTAAAATACATCAGCGCTTATGTATTCTACTCAGCCACTTAAATACGCGAACGAACAAACAAAGTACAGATCCGCAGTCAAATGAAACGAGTGACTTTTCATCCTCACAATATGAAGAAAATAAGAAAAGAATAAGGAAGAAATCCATTCCCAAGACGACGGGTCGCTGAGTGGAGATTCTTAAACGAATCATTGACGTTTCAGGTGGAAGAAGCTTCTCGGGACGGAAGTGTGCTTGTCGAGCAACGAAGAAGCGTAAAAATCGTTCGAAAGCGTCGTCGAACGGGAAAAATATATCTAAAGTTAAAATCATATCTGCTCTCTGACAGAGATTAGATTTTCGAATTAAAAAGGATACTCTTAAATACTTTCTAAAAGCGAATAAAAATATAAGTATTTACAATTGAATTGTAACTTAAAAGTTGCTACGAAACTAAAAGTAACCTAATGAATAAGATGTTACTTTTACTTATAAATTAACCACTAATCTTCTTAACAGAAATCATCTAAACTCGTAGTTAAATATGTAGTGATGTCAAATGATTCGCACCGTCCTCGAAAAATCTTACTCAGGAATGGTTGAAATTCGCGAAATAAAATAAGTACCATATAAAATAGTGCCATAAATAAATTATTCTAAGCCATTACAAATCACATCCTGACAAGGAGTCTTCTCTGAGTATCTACTTCTTTTAATTTCATTGAAACTTTCACTGAAAGTTTTCTTCTCTTTTGTTTACAGTTTTGTATTTTACTCTTCAAACTATTCAGTAAGTCTTCAGGAACCTGTTGTAAAAGATCTCGTTGCTTTGGTTTGTCTTTTTGTACAAAGAGTTTCATTCATCAGGGATTAAATTTCCTCTCACAATTCAGAAGACATTCTTCTCATACTTCATTCTCATAAAATGGAACATTATGAACATTACTTCAGTTCTCAAAAACTAAAACCAGGCATCTTCATTTTAGCTCACTGATTTCTTCTATAAGCAACTAAGAAGCAGTTTCTAGTGCAGTCAGTATAAATCCTCCCAAACTGACTAGATAACCATTCAGTAGCTAAGTATCAACTATTTCTTCCCATTAAAGGTCTCCTCATTCAAGTTCACACTTATCTTTATGAAGTCAACAAAGACTGAATAAATACTTATAGGACTGTTTTAACATTTGTTAACTACTTTGGACTTTTAGTGTTTTCAATTTGGTATTTCTCGTCATCCAACTCCAGAGCAAAGTTGGTAATTCCTTGCACATTGTTGGCACATGGTTTTGTCTGCATACTGAAGAGAGAAGCTATTGGAGGACTCAGTAGATCCTGATCCAGAGCAGCTGGATTCTGAAACCCTGTAGCAAAGCTCACCAATATGCCTACCAACATTGTCAGAATGCAACCAATTGCACTGTACCATAAGTAACTGATCTGGAAGAAAATTAGTGTCATTAATATTTAAGTACATATTACTATTACATAACATTTGTGTATGTATAACTAATGACTTAATTCTTTACAGGTGTTTTGAGCAGAGAGAAGAAAGTATGAAGAGGAAGAAGAAGAAGAACTGATTGTTTAAAATTATTATTATTATAAATCTTTACCTTGTACATAAAGAAGGCTTCATTGTCATCATTATCTGTATGAATTGGGACAGTGGTTGTGGTATTGCTAATGCAAGGACAGGCAGCAGTAGATACGGGTTTACTGTCCAAATGGATTTGGCCATTGAAGACGGCAATTTGAGCTCCTAGTCCAATCCATAGGACGATTAGCAAACTGGTGATGGCTCCTGAAATTGCTCCTTTGGCGTTTGCCCATGGCACGAACATGCCCAAAGAGAATAATCCTAAGGTAATGCCTCCAACCATACCGTTGAACGATAATGCAACCTGCAATTATAGATATTAGCAATCAAGATATAGTTTCAGATATAGTTTCTAATTCTTATAAATTCTTACAGCAATTCAATGAGAAGATAAAATGAACAAGTTAAAGGAAGAAAACAAAATGCAATTGTACCTGCAGAACACTGCCAAGACGTTCTACAACAAAAACCAGAGCAAAGCTAAGTGCACCAAAGAAGATACTGATCCACCTGGCATAAACTGCTCCCTTCCTGGCTGGCAGCTCTATCTTAAACAAGCCTTGAAATATGTCTTCACAGGTAATTGCTGCTAAAGAGTTCAAAGCACTGGCCACAGTCCTATTAAAGAAATTAAGTTACTTTATGTTTTCCTTTAAACAGATATTAAATGAACATACCCCAAGGAGGCAGCAAAGATTCCAGCCACGAAGAGGCCAGGCATACCCTTGAGGCTTCCCATAAAGTTCATTACATACAGTGGCAGCAACTGATCCTGGCCACTTATGTACTTAGCCAACAGAGGATCGCAGTCTTTGTACGTGCTGTAGAGTACCATACCAGTCAAGAAATTAACAGTATATATTATAGTCATGCCAGCAGCGGATACCCATAAAGCTCTGTAAAAGAAAATATATATAAACTTAATGAAAAGACTATAAAGAGTAATTTTTTTTAGGACGCTCACGTTCTTGCTTGACCGATGCTCTCAACGCTAAGGTACTTCTGGATGGATGCTTGATTACTGCAGAACATGGTGGTCCAGTAAATAGTCCCACCGACCACAACGCTCCAGAAACTGTGACGAATCGTTGGATTGGGGTTGACGTTGAAGAACTCCATTCTTCCAGATTCCTCGTTCACTTTCCACACCGAAGAGATACCGCCTTCCCAAGACATACCGTATCCAACGATGAGAAACAAGGATCCAAGCAGCACCGCTGCCTGGAAGGTGTCTGTCATTATGACAGCCTTCATTCCTCCCTAAGAGCAGAAGAAAGAGCTGAAGAACTGGTAGAAAAGTGTGAACCTTCGGAAGAAGAATACCAACCTGGGAGGCATAGAAGATACAAACTACGTAGACTAGAGTGACAGCTATATAAGTGTTCAGACCCGTGACTGTAAGCAGAGAAGAGGTGTTAATTAAAGAGTACGCAGATTAATTGCTTCAAGTAGTTTTACTAGTCTTACCATGACTCAAAGCCAACGCTGGCGCGTACACAGCCACGGATGTATACAGAATCATTTGCAACATATATAGACCACTGGCGAGCAGTCTGCAATGACGATCGAAACGAAGATTCAGATACTCGTAGCTCGATGTTAGTCTGAGCTTCATGTAAACGGGCAGGTAAAGGTACGATGTGATTGGCACCACGAGGATGAAGGCCACACAGGTCATCCAGAATTGGGTACCCTTTCATGTTTCAAGAAAACTTTTATGCATTGATCACTTCAATGGACATTGGAAAAAATGTTTCGAAGAAGAAATAATATAAAGATAGAAGAACGAGGATAGGTTTAATTTAAATCATTTCTTCCTTGGGTTTAAAAGGTGTTAGCATTCAGAACTGTTAATATTAATACGTTGACCTCGATATTAATACATTTTTAACATACCTGTGCGTACATCTCTGCAGGATTGCCAAGGAGCTCAATAGCCGTTATAAAACTGGCAGCCAGGGACATCGCCATAGGAAATGTCCCCATGCTAGATCCTCCTAGCAGAAAGTCCTGACTGGTTTCCTGCTTCTTAGCGAAGAAACCGTAGAAGGTACCGATCAGGCAAGAGATCAACAGCATCGCTGCGAGTACCATATAGTCGGGCCACGAAAAATAGTGGAGGAAGATCGGGTGCTCCTCCAAACATTTTTCCTCTGCGTCGGATGGCCGTTGCTCCGCGGAAGATACCGCCAGAAAAACGAATAGCACTAAAATACGCGACCGCATTTTTCGAGAGCTTGAACAGAAATTAAATTGCCTCTTAATAATTTTCTTCTTGAATTAATTCTTTGATAGTCTTATTAATTTAAAATATTTTCGCAGGTATGAAAAGCATTTGAAATCAAGATGTACAGAAATCAATCTGGATCTTTTACGCGATCTTAAATATATCGGTGATACTCGATCAAATATCGTTGAATGCGGCTCAAGGATACTGAATGCCAAGTACAGAGATCGATCGAGTTATTGGTTTTCTTCTCAATTACCTTGCAGATTGAAAAAGACGAGAGTACAATGTTGCTTTATTTTATTATCTTGATCTTTTAAGTAATGTATTGCCTTCTGTTATTGTTAAGAATGAATTATTTAACAAATTTTTAAAAAATTGTAACTTCATTTCATCGATGAAGAATGTGAGATTTTAAGATAATTATCTTAGCGTGTTTACTGGAGTATAGATAAAGCCGTAATTGATTCAACGTGCATATCTGAATTATTGGTCGATTATTTCTACCTTACGTAAGCAAAGTGTAACGCACTATCCTGTGTCATCTTTATGGCTATTAACACCAGCTTTCGATCATCATTAAAATATCTGGTTGACACTGGATAGAACCGGTTAATTCAGAGTCATACAAATTTGGAAATGCACGGTAATGCCTTTCTAATCTCTAACTACAACTAGACATCATTTTAATGTTAATCACGTTGTTTGTTTCGTTTAGAGCCACGATGAAGTAACACCGAATGAATATTCAATACATTCCTTCTTTCAAGGGCAAAGTGACGAAGGGCAAAGTGATAATTTTGAAGGTCGAAAAAAACATAGAGAGTTCATGGGAATTCACCTGAAGATTAAAATCTAGAAGAATAAAGTGTCACTGTGACTTCAACTTCATTCAAACACCGGATCTTTCCTTACATACAAAGAACTGAAAGACAAGCTGTAATCGATAATGAATTTCATAAGCATTTTCGTTATTGACACTGCATCTATCAGTGATCCTCCACGAGCATTAAATCTGGTCATTTCTAGTTGAAACCGGTTTCATTGAATTGGAATGAATGTTAAACCTCAGCAAACAAGCAAAGAAACAGATCAATTTTTTATTTTTTTGTCACCTGACATAAATTAATTTAAATTATCTTCTAAATGAAAGAAAGATTTTAGACAACTTTGTGTTTGGTATCCCAGAATTAATTACATGTTACAAATTTTTGTATGGGTATCATCTGTCCAAGAGCAGTGTTGAAAGTTGTACTTTTTACTTCATATTTTCTTAAACAATTTCAAGGCCCATTCTCTAAGTTTCAAGAACTTCTTCAAGTTCTCAAGATATTGGATCTCTAAGATCTTTGCCTCTTCAGCAATATTCTATCTTAAAATCTCTTTGAAAATAAGAGGCTCAAATGGTGGAGATGAAAGTTTCTCAATATTTATATTTCTAAAAATAATTCTATGTTAATAAGTATTAAAAATCTGATTTTCAGGAAAACCAAGATGATGAGTTCTAAACAAGATTGCCATAAAAAGGTGTAGACAAAAAGTATTGACACCCAAAGAAAGTATTCTTTGAAGTCATAAAATTTCTTACCTCAGGCTGAAATTGAAGTTGAAGCTAGAGATCCAGGAGCGCAAGAGAAGAAAAGAAGAGAGGTTCAGTGACAACAGAAAGTTGGCAGAAAGGTACGAAACTGCAGCTGAATGATTTTGCTGCTGGTCTTCCTAACGTAACGCATATATGCTCGGATTTCAGCGTCGGACAAAGGCTGAAACGAATTCACTGATCGTTCAGCGTCTCAGCTCGGGCTGATGAAGCAAAGAAGAAGCGACTCGAGGGCGATTAACTAATTAAGAAAACGTCGTCGGCTTCACGCGTCTCGTTTGCTACGGAGCCGACGAATTAAGCGCAGAACGATTTCAGACTGTCGTTTTAATTGTCACATGTGCCCATTTATATGAAGCATCCCCTTCCAGACCGACAAGTTTCTTCCATTCCGGATATTCTTATGGAAACGACAACCATAATTATAAGTAAACTACGATAATTGAAAGTGATCTATATCGTCTCTTTTTAAATTTTCTCTTTTATATTCACACAGGATGGCATTGGGTAATTTCTTTTTGTATAATTAATGTCAAGTTATTTGAATAAGAGTAAGGAATACTCAAAGTTGATTAACAATTGGAAATTGAGTGGAAAAGAAGATTAAATGAGTACCACCATTAATCCTTGAATGAAAAGATTTAGATCTGTTTAAATAATTAGTATTGAATATCTCAACAGTGATTGAGTAGCAACCCTCATAATAAGGTAATTTAGATTAGAAAAAAGAGAACGATTGAATTGGAAGGATCTCTTAACTAGGGCATAACTTAATTAGACCCAAATAGAATTACTGAGTTCATAATCGATCCACGTTAGTATTGTAAGCCTCTTTGCATTCTTTTAAGTAGAATTAGACTCTTCTACAGTTTCTGATTTAATAGTTCCACTTTACAGTTTATGACAGAAATTTAAACTAAAACTTCTTCCATATTTTTTAATAAATTTTTATTAAAAATCTTGTTTTTTCTTTTTACTAATAGTAATTAAGACTTCTCGAGTTTCTTTAAATGTAAGGTTAACGATGAGGGTATAAAAAAATTCCTTTCATTAAAATGTCGCATAAGATTCCAGAGCTTCAAAGTCATGGTAAACACAATGAAAATTACATAACTGGAAATTGATCCTCGTTGGTGTTTGACGCAGTTTGATTATGAAGCGATTGTCCTCCTGTCTCTGAATTTATAATTACAATGGATATCAGGTAACACTGAATATGAATTACAGTTTACACTAAATTGCATTATTGAACGCGGTTAGCATCAATTACATGTTTCTGAAATTCCAAAGAAGTATGAAGGAATCATTTAATAGAGGACCATTCCAAGAAGAAAGAATAAATAAATCAGGGAAGAATATTCTAAATTAAACTATGAAGTTTCATGCAGAAAGAAGAAATATAATTATATCTATAGGAAAGAAGTCAACAGATGAAAGAGTAATATAGAAGAATATTAGCACTTAAATTATTTTATCTTCTTTGCTTTCTTCTTAATCTTAGACTTACATTTTTCATATTTTCCATCCTGATCGTTTTGCAGAAATAGATTTTTATTCGAGAGATGTACTTTTTGGGAGCAGCAGAAGCACCAAGAACAATTGCTAAGATCACAGTACTCTCTATGATAAAGAGGACTGATAAACTACCACTAGTGGCTCTATTAGGAGAAGATTGGAACATGAAAAATCGTCTCATGTACTGAAATAGGCCTGAAAACCATGTCCACCGTCAGTTGAAACGGGATTCAACCGGTTACTGCTCCACAGGGTTGTAAACAAACCACATTTCTTAAACTTCTGTGTCCCTGATGGTTTCACTTAACTCATTCTTTCAAGATCCTCATATTGACCAACATATTTAAATTTAAAATATTCAGTAACTCATCCATTGCATTGAAGGAACTAATCTTATACAAGAACAAGATATAATTTTTAAAAACAAATTAAATTATTCTTGATAATCATGTACAGCATGTTCTCTGTATTCTTTGTATATTGGTTGTATCAACTGAAGAATCATAGGTTTTTCTAGATGAATCAAAGATGATTCTTCATTTCTCATTTTATTGCCTTTCTTGGACTCAAGGTGTATATATACAATTTAAGCAATTAAACTGATATATCTGACTCACTATACTTGCAATTTAATGGAGCAATAATCCAAAAGAAAGATTGTAAGGAATAGCTTAACTTTTAATTCAATTTTATAACTTCAAGAGTCACCATATGAATGGAACATTGAATAATAATGTTACTGTACTATAAATCAGTTAATGGATTCTATATTAAAAAAAATTTGGAAATATTTACATTCTATCTAAGTAAAAGTTTATTGAACATTTTAGAGCTACCTTAGCAGCTTCCTTCAGTGTAAAATATGTTTCATACGCTGTTGTCACATCAATTTTTTGTGCAAATATCAGTAAAATACAACTTTACATATATATATTCCATGCACTGAACATACAAATACTACACACACACGCGCGCGCGGTTAAAACAAATTTCGTATTAAATACTCTATATGATCTTTTCCGTATCACATTTTTCGGATCATTAAACTATTCTACGACTCTCGCTTAATTTCACTTACACAATACTGTGGCATTGAAGCCGTTAATTTCAAAACTAAACTAAATATTCTATATTGTGAAAAATACCATAAGAAAGAGGATGTAGAGAGGAGGGGAGAGAGTCCTACAAAAATAAACAGAAGCACGTGAAACAGAGGTGAATATAATATACTACTAGATTGATAATAATGTACAATAGTTTGATTGCAATCAATCTATAATGATTGTTTTCATCGTTGTACCATTTCAGAAACTATTATAGTATAATTTCATCTGTACCAAAACTTGAAACTGACAAAGAGTCATGGATGCCAAGAATATTTGTCATAGATAAAAAAACCATTTGTAGAATTTCTTAATAAATTAATTGGCCATTAGACAAAACGACGTGAAAAATGACGACTACGTTTCGCAAGAAAAATAATTAAACAAAGCCCGGTGTCGATCGAAGCGCAAGTTGCAGATAAATTGAAACTGGTTTCAACTAGCCACTAGTAGTTTGATCTGGACTTATTAAACTTCTTTTGAACCGCCTTAGACCGTCCTTTATCTTCTCTGGACAGTTTGAAGTTATTACTTCATTGCTTCTTTTTACCAATTAAATTTCATAAAATCAATTCCTGAAAATGTATACAAGTACCATTAAAAAATGTAGTTAAAGAACAAGAAAGTAAATGAAGAGTTAAATACCTGATAGAACTAGTAATTATCCTTATACTAATGGAAGTCATAAATATCTCCATTGTGATGACAAAGCAGTTAATAATGAATTATTATAACTTGCACTTAATTGTAGTGACTTTATTCTTCCTTAGGACAATGAAAAAAAGATCAGAAGGAATTCGCATTCTTAATACAGTTCCACACAGTGCTTTATTAACTCTTGTTGTATTATACAGTTTAGTTAAAGTAGATGTCGTAAACGATATTATTACACTTCACAAAGTGAACGACAATTAAGTATTTCGTTTATCACATATAATAACTAATAGATATGTTATAAATATATATTTCAAAAATCCTGTTTTGAAATTATAAATTATTATCTTTGTTTGTAATACCTCTCTTTTTGTACAATATCATATGACAAAAATACGTGATTTTTATTTAGAGGATCTATTAAAATTTTCTATTTTTTACTACAGTATTGTACTTTTGTTATCACCATGCAATAATAGCTTGCAGTGCACTTAAACAGGTTAGCGTGTACAAAGAAACTTCATTTACGTTTCTTCCCATTGCAAACTTTAGTACGTCGTTTCATTGCTAAAATATATAGTGTAAATAGTATTTCTAATCCTTAGCTAACAAAAAAAAATATAAATATCATTTTTATGAAATTCCTATCAAAAGCACAGTTTCACTGGCTAACTTTTAAAAAATATAATTATCACCACTGACGTGTAAAACAAATCTAAAATTTAAGAATTTTCACCTAAATTCCCATGCATTATACAATAAAAAATAAACATGCCCATAATAAAACGTATCCCATATTCCATCTAAATTTATACAGATAAAATACAAAATGGCAGTTTTTGAGGCAACCAATGGAAGACATTTTGCTAAATATTTGTTAAGTAGCATATAAGTACCATTGAATTAAGAGCACCAATATTACGAACTAGAATAGTTTTCGATGCTTCATCGGTGCTTACAGTACATATGTCCGATAAAAAAAATAGTTCAGACACGTTACTTTATAGACAACATCCGGTATTGCTTAAAATTACAATAACTTAAACATTGTTTTAGCCATGAACATGGAATGTCTAAAACATAGAATGACGCACGAAGAAAGGAAGCGGCTAACAGAAAGTTACATTAAACTTTGGTAATGTTAATATCCTCCACATTCTCTGTATCGTGGGTAGAGTTAATAGTAAAAATGTACTTCCTCTGTGCGGTTTTATCTTTTAATACTTCCTCTTCGCTTGTTTCTAAAGGTTCTCGTCGTTTACGGCGTATACGGTTTGCCACCACGGGAAAGTATAAGTTGAGATCCAGCTCAACTTTTGGCTTCTTGAGCATATGATTCAAACAAAAACTGAGGAACAGTCCTATGACAAACGTTATCACAAATCCAAGGGGACTGTACCACATATATGAGATCCGATATAAGTAAAGATAAGACGAATCGCCTGATGGTCTAAATAAAAAAAAGAAATAATTTTAACAATGACGGCAATAATATTTCAACGATACGAAGCATCAACGTTACGAAACATTTTAATGTGCAAGAGTTTGTCCCTTACTGAGAAAACTGAGTATCTAAATGGAAAACAGTTGTATTTGTACAGCCGATATCTGACGTCGGAAGAGTTGGAGGAATTGGTCTTGGTTGACCAAAAGCGATCCAGAATAATAATACTAAGGATATAGTAGCGCCTGTAACAGATCCGATTTCATTCGCTGTTTCAGTTAGCATACCAAGAGTGAAAAGTCCTAAAAGTGGACCACCCACTACACCAAATATTGTCAGGCCAGCCTGCAAGGATTACAAAGTTTAATTTTACATATACTTAATGCTAATTATATTAGTATTAAGTATTGGTTTAGAAAAAGCACCTGCAAAACACCGCCTAAATACTGTGCCAAAAACGCTAAAACAATACAAAGAAGTCCATAAATAAAAGCAAGTAGCTTGGCTAAAGTTGTCGATGTTGTAACTGAGAATTCCTTAGCACAACATTTTTTGTATATTGGTTTCAAATAATCTTCTAATGTTACTGCTGCCAAAGAATTTAACGCCGCTGAGATAGTGCTGAGACCAGCACTAAAGATACCTAAGCAAAAAAATACGTGAACGGATCGTATAACATTTGTAATTGTATTCATTTACATGCCATAGGTAAAGCCATAAAATATTTGCAAATTCTACCTGCTATGAAAAGGCCAGGTAAACCTGGTTTATCAGACATATTGTCCATAACGTAATATGGCATCAACATATCAGTAGATGTGATCTTCTTCTGAAGCATTGGGTCACAGTTATAATATTTACTATATATTGCTAATCCTGAGAAACACGTAGTAACTGAGAGTACTGATAAAACTGGCCATGCTAACCAAAGCGCTTTCTGGGCTGCTTTTATATCTCTGAAAATATGATGGAAAACAATAATGTAATTCATATTCTATAGTTTGTAATACATACTTCACAGTCAGCAAACGTTGCACTTGTACTTGATTTACACCATATAGTGACAGAAATGTAAACAGACCTCCAATGATCAGTGACCACCAAGTATGTCGAACTGTGGGATCTACAGAAATACTAGAAACATATTATCAATTAATTTTTACATCTAATACACTCTACATATACACAAATATTTTTTTATCTAAATTTGTTTACAATAATAAATATAGTACCTATCAAATTCAATTCTATGTCCTTCTTGTGCTATCTCCCAAATTTTGCCTACACCTCCAACTTCAGCAGCTGCTGTTACAATAATAATAAAAACACTAACAAACATAAGCAACCCTTGAAACACATCTGTTATTAGGACCGCTTTAATGCCTCCTATGCTCGAATAAAAGGCACAAACAAGACCAATAATTATAACACTGCCTTTTTTAGAAATTCCTGTCGTTGCTTCTAATGCTAAAGCAGGTGCATAAAGTACAACACCTGAGTATAAAAGCAGTTGAAGCCAATATACAAAACTGGCCATTGTTCTAGCTTTTAAGCCAAAACGTTTCTCTAAATACTGAAAAAATAAAAGTGAAAGTTTTAAATAAACCATGTAATACATACTTAATACATTCAGTTAAATTCAATGCACAAACCTCATAAGCGCTTGTTGCTTGAAGTTTAAAAAATACTGGTAAAAATCCATAACAAACAAGAGGAGTTCCTATGAGATATGATATATTAATTACTACAAATTGTGTTCCATATGTGTAATTTTCTGCAGAAACACCTAATAATGTTATGGCAGACATAAAGGAAACTACAAGCGCAACACCTACAGGAACAATGCTCATTGATCTGCTTGCAATAAAATATTCCTATCAAAAAGACAATCTCAGTATCACTAAAATTTAACAGTAAATATCTTGCAATCTCAAGAAATAAAAATAAGTTTGTTAAAATGCATACCTCCATAGTCTTTTGACGTCCACCACTGAATCTGTAATAGATCCCAATACCTATGCTTATGACTAAGGTAGCTGCTATAACTAAGTAATCTTCCCATTGCAGTGTTTTTTCCATACTATTGTGCTAAAAATAAAAAATATTGTTAATTATTACCAGATTTAAAAAGTAAAGTTAAACATAAAATCCAGTTTCATAGATATTATATGAAGTGAACACAAACAGCCCAATTTACTTTATCTATTCTTCTCTATTAAGCTCGATATCTTTATAGTATACGTTTAATCATATTTGCTAACATAATCCATTAAGAACACACTTTAGCAGTGCAACTTGTTGCAACTTTTATCACATTCAAACCTTGGAGTTATTGATAACATTGAAAAACAGGTATAACTGTTAATAATGAAGTTGTCCTAGATCACAACAATGATACTTAAAACTGGAACAATATATATAAACTTTCCTAGGTATTAATTGATAATTAATATGTATATATATATTGTGTGATAATTATAATATCATCTGTTGATTCTTATCAAACATCATGCTACTTAATATTAGAATTTCAATATAATAAATCATAGTTATTTAGCTGTATAATTGGTGACACTCTTTATCAGCAATTTTTCTACATAAACATTTAGCTAACACTTTCCGCCCAGGGTAATTGTTTAAAGTACTCAGTAATTCTTATTCTAAGAATATTATTTAAAAGTATACATTCCAAAGGGTAGATTTGCGTGTTTGCATCTACGGTCCGTTTTGCAGATAGTAGATTTATTACGTTCGGGCGGAACGTGTCAACGTGTTTACACCACATGGATTTAGTACTTGCTGTCTTGTGACTTGAGTCACCAACTCATTACATAGCAAATCTGATAAAAATATGATGTATTAGTAACGAAAAGTAATGCCTGCAAGGATGTTGAATACCTTGATAACTTACCGGTATCCAGTGTCACTATATTATTCACTGATTCAACTGATAGACGCGTTCCACCAGGACGGATCAGTTGAACCGCTTTGCGGCTCTGACCCTTCTTAACTGTCGTTAATGAATTTCAGCTTGCTGAACGTTTCTTGTTAAAAAGCGTGCAGCCGTGGTACGAGAATGAAGACACGTGCAAAGGAGACAGACAGACGTAAAGAATGCACTCGCACCGGGCTTTCTCCGCATCATTCTAAAAACCTCTTTAAATTCTGTCTATCTCTAATTGGTCAATTACATGATAAGAATTATCAACCTTTACGTAAAATTTTGAACCACTGACATTGGATTTTATGTTTTTGAGAGATTATAACCAGTTACTATGTACCGATGTAAACTTATGAGAAGCCGTATCAGGGCCGACGCGAACATTTGCGGACCGATTTCAAAGATGTGAGCGTAATCTGAAGGTATCAGATTTGAAATAAGTTTAGAAAAACCCAAAAAGTTTCCGACATATGATTCCTTAGAATTGTGAAACTTCTGGGAATCTCGAAAGACAGAGTATGTGGCAATATAATCTGATGAAATAATTCACGCTTTGGATTCAGCTTGAGCCGGCCCTTGATCGTGTAAACGATCATATCGCTGATATAGTTGATAATAAGTTGACAATATAAAGTATTAGTTCCACTTCCTTCTTGAAGAAAATTATTAATCTTGAAGTCTTTAGAATCAATATTTAATGTCAGTCACATGGATTAGTGCGTAGAATCATCGAAAATTTGTAGTTGCTTCGTGACGTTTTTCAATCATGCTTTAACACCTAACAGGGGCCAAAGGTAAAGCAGTATGTAAATGACCGATTTTCATTCTAATAAGTACATTCTATAAAAAAAGTTAGTATACTTCCCATGAAGAACAAATGCAAGAGAATTTTGAAATTTATTCCGCTTCAAATTTTCAAATACCTTTTATGTAGCTACTGTACTCCAGAATTAAATATATTATACGTAGTAAATAAATATATATTCCATTTGTTATGTAAAACTTATATAATAAATGTATTCAACATTCTGTGTACAACAATCATTTACCTTGAATATTATTTATTAATCACGAACTTAGTCTGATGCGACTGTAAACGAACAGAAAAATATAATAATGATATTAACTGAACAAACTTATAAATATACTTCGATAATCGAAAGCTGAAGACTTTTTTAATATAACATTGGACACTGTTGGACACATTATTTGAATTGAAATTTTGGATTTTCCTTAAATTTTACAATTAAAATATTATCATTGTCACAACATTCAATTAATATGCAATGTTTCGTTTTTTTAAATTTTGATTAGCACAGGTCACTAATGATCGATCTCTTGCATTTCGATACATTATAACATTTAAGATGGCAGAGTACAGTGAAAAATGTACCGAAGATTGTTCATTCGATTATAGCGAAGATAAACAAAAAGGTGTATGTTTAATTAAAGAAGAGTAAGTGAATATTATTATACTTCTTACAGTTATTTGGTCTTTCGAAAATTATTATAATCTATTGTATTTTTATATTTCCTAACCTTAAAATGCGAGAACCGCGTGGTTTCCTGTCACGATTTAATTTCCTGAATTTCATTGTTTTTCAAATAATGAAATCATTGCTAATTAATTGTTACATGATTGAATTGCGCATAGTAATTCTAAGTAGTATAACAAGCGACATCATTAATGTATTTGTAATTACATTATTGCAGCTATATTATTGGAGATCACAAAAGACTTCTGAGTGAAGAATGTTTAACAAAAACTGATAAAGAAAAAGTATCACCTAATACAACTAATACTGATGAAGATGCATCCGTATTGCATGAACCACCATTAAAAAAATTAAAAAGCGATGATAAAAGAGAAAAACTTAGAGGTCAAAATAAAGCAAGACCTCCTCCATTTAAGGCACAACGTGAACTGAACTTATGTCCTTGGATAGCAGATCAAGCTGTAGGAGAACCTGAGAAAAAATGTGATAATAAACGATGCACATTTTTGCATGATAGATTTGAATATCTAAAAATAAAGCCAAGTGATATTAGAGATGAATGCTTCTTGTTTAATGTTACTGGCAGATGCTTAAGAGGCACTGCATGTAGAATGGGCTCCAAACATTTGACAGAAGATGGTTTGAATATTGTTGATAAGGAAAAGGAAGAGGAATTTAAGAAGAAACCACCTTCTACAAAAAATCATTTAACAAAACAAATTCAAACTCAACTGAGAAAACACAAATATGATTTTTCCAAAGCAGAAAAGATTGTTAAAGCGAATGAGCCATCTAGAAAAAAATTAGAAAAAGTAGAACAAATTCAAAAACTCTCGGAAGAAATCAAACCAGAAATAACAAATGATTCTAATTCACATATTTCTGCTGTTGAATGTAATGACAAAATTCCTGAAACAGATAATACAATACAAAAAATAGGTCCTGTTGAAGACTATGATCTAATAAAATGTAGAAATTCGGAAAAAAAGAAAATAGACTGGAAAAATAAAATACTGTTAAGTCCTTTGACAACTGTTGGTAACTTACCTTTTAGAAGAATTTGTAAAGAGTATGGAGCTGATATAACTTGTGGAGAAATGGCTTTAGCACCAAGAATATTAAAGGGAGCTCATGATGAATGGGCGCTTGTAAAAAGACATGAATCAGAAGATATTTTTGGAGTTCAACTTTGTGGTAATAATCCAGGTGTGTTAACAAGATGTGCACAATTGCTAAACCAAGAAATCGATATTGATTTCATAGACTTGAACCTGGGTTGTCCTATTGATTTAATTTATAGACAAGGAGGAGGTAGCGGAATGCTTAATCGATTAAATGTCCTAGAAACTGTAGTAAAATCTGTTAATTTAGTAATGAATATACCTTTAACTATAAAAACTAGGACAGGTGTTTACATAGATAAACCTATTGCTCATAATTTAATGCCAAAATTCAATGAATGGGGAGTATCCATGATTACTGTGAGTAAGTTAATTACTTGTTCAAATTCACGTTCTATGATTATCATGAAATACATTGGAACACTTTAATCATTGAGCTTTTTTTTATGTAGGTTCATGGACGATCTCGTGAACAAAGGTATACGAAATTAGCCGATTGGGACTACATAGAAAAATGTGCAAAGGCAGCACAGCCTGTTTCAGTATTCGGAAATGGAGATATTTTATCGTATGACGATTACAAAAGGGTACAGGACACTTATAAAACTATCTGTGGTGTTACTATAGGTCGTGGTGCATTAATAAAACCGTGGATATTTACTGAAATAAAAGAAAGAAAATTGATAGATATATCAAGTAATGAAAGGTTTGAAATCTTAAAGAAATATGCCAATTATGGTCTTGAACATTGGGGTTCAGATACTCGTGGTGTTGAAACGACAAGAAGGTTTATGTTGGAGTGGATATCTTTCTTGCATAGGCAAGTTTATTATATTATAAAATATTACTAGTATTTTATTTGTCGTATAAATAAATAATTCTGTATTTCTTCAGGTATGTTCCTGTAGGTATCTTAGAAAGACCACCGCAAAGAATTAACGAAAGACCTCCGTTTTATCGAGGTCGGGATGAAATGGAGACGCTTATGGCCAGTTCAAATTGCGCAGACTGGATTAAATTATCGTAAGAACATTTTCATTAATCGGTGGCATTGAATACAATAATTATTTTGAAAAGCAATTTTATTTTTCAGAGAATTATTGCTCGGAAAAGTGCCTGAAGGATTTCATTTCTTGCCAAAACATAAGGCGAATTCGTGGAAATAATGTATAGTAAACTGTCAAGTAAACAGAATACTTTTATATTATAATTTTTTTAAATAAAATATTCGTCAGATGGAATAAAGATTAGAAGAATTATGAAGGATCTTTTGTTTTTTTTTTTATTAAGCATTTGAAGTCACAGATAAGGAAACCAATTATATACATTATCTAATAAATAGAACTAATAATAATAATACAGATTATAAATTGAAGCAAATTATGTGTACGATTTTGATGCGTTTCATCGATCGATTAAAGTGTTACTAGAAAAGAGATGTAAGTGTCATTTGCATGGCATTTTCACTCTTTAACCCTCTGCACAACCTTGATCTCATCTAAGTGGAAATTAATAATGATCAGTTATATCTCCGAGGATAGATACGGGCCACATGCAATCACAACCACTGGCGATCTGTTTGGAGAAGGGTTCCCAACATTCTTCATCCCATCGTCGTCGCATTAGCAATAGCCTTCTACTTCTTTGAACGCAATGAAAATTTGGTTCCACACATTTCTGGAAATAAGCACGCGTTTAGTATAATTCTCAGTGAGGTTCGTTGCTTTCATCTACATTCAACTGTTCATATAACAAAGAATACATTACTATACAAATTTATAAAACAAAATTATCCTTCTTTCTTACTATTTCATTAATGCAACTTGCGCATATGATCTGTTAAATTAAAATACATTTTCTAATGGAAGCTTTTGTTTCTAGGTTTTGCGGTAGAAGCTTTTTTTTACAAACCAAAAGCAGTTTCACAAACACATATATAAAAATAAATTGATCTACCTGCTTTGACAAGCTCACAGGCTGTTGAATGTTATCTAGTAAAGAATAACTTTTACAATAAATTTCGTGATAATGCGGAGGTTGGTATTCATAGTCAGAGTCATCTAATTGTACTTTTTTAGTGACGGTTTCGCAAAGACTACGATATTCCTACGAACAAACACAGAACATCATACATTAGTTACCATACAACTCTATTGCTTTCCGTTGATTACATTGCTGACCGGCAGTAAATTGCGATTATTTCTATTAAAAGATTGCTGCTCCGCCTGTTCACGTTCCTCAATATAATCTTCTTCAGGTAGATAAGAGATGAATTGTGCAGCAGATGGAAGCACGCGAGAATGGAGTACACGTTGCCTTTCCAGCATCTCCGAGTAACTTCTGTTGCATTTCCTACAGACGTCGTAAGAAGCATTTCCTAGCACTGCCACAGCAGCGAACTTTATCGACAAAAAGAAATAATTAAGAAAAGGTAATTATAGGAAGGTTAATTAAAATATATGTCTAAGGTTTTAATACAAATTGTTTGGTCATATTACAAAGTTGTAAGCTAATAGAAAATGTAGATAGCTCATTGATAAAGAGTTAAATTTGTGGCAAACGCGAACTATCAATAATTGACGATGGTTCTACCGTTTTGTCAGTTATATTATTAAACGACTGATTCACATTCCGCTTCCATTCCCACTTGGCAGAACCCTCTGCACGCGATTTATGCATTATTAAGTTTGATGGGTCTCTAACACTGGCTGATACCTCCGTGGAAGTTTGAATTTTAACGATGACGCAATATAATACCATACAATTTGAATAAAAAACAAAAACCTAAGACATCTCTGACTTAAAGTGTGCTTTTAGTAACAGAATTCATTACAACTTTCAGCAATGTATTTACACGAATCATGGTTGTTTCTATAAGATCAGTAATTAACTTTCATACAGACTGAGCATGAAGGAAGCAAGAAAAGGAATAGAAAAATTAAGCTTGAAGCTATAAATTAATATCATGACATTTGTTTATTATAATAATGATTAGACATATCTGTAATTGTTTATAATCTTTGTTGAAATTGTAAGTAATTCTTAATTGAAGAATCTTGTGATCCTCAATTGAAACGTGATGTCAGAAATCAGTGTAATATGTTGATCAATCTCTGAAGACTATAACACTGCCACGAAAAACAGTATGAACCAGTCAGCAAGGTCGATCGTGATTGAGCTGACGTGCTTCGCGTCGTATGATATAAATTAGTCTTCCCCATGCCGATCTCTATGATTCGCGGTGCCTTCAAACTGCCAATGAAATAATGCCTAGCAAAAACGATGGAAGAATTTGGAAATTGGACCTGAACGATATTCTTTATATTCTATAAATGATTATTGTGTATATTATTTCCTAAAGTTTTGAAGTTAAAAAATTAACAAATCTTAAAATTATGAAGACTCATAGTTCTGACATTCTAAAGTCTCAAAGTCCCAAGTTTCAAAGTAATGGACTATGAAGGTGATTCAAAAATGTAGAATAGCTATTTTGTTTTAAATGATAAATTATAAAGCAAAAATGAAAACTGGATTATGATTTTCAGGAGAAGAAAAGGAGGCTACCGTGAGAGGAGGCTGGTCGAAACAATATTAACGCGTATTCTCGATGCAGTGACACGTCGGTGTGTGGTAGGTAGTTATCCAATTGACAGTGCCCCCGTCTGACATAGTTCAGTCGACGACGAACTCAGGATGATTCGACTACGTCTCTGGTATCAGTGACGTTCTTTCGAGCTTGCGTTCCGGTAGCCAACAAATTACGTTTTACCGTGTGTCGTTCGTTCAACGGTATTACGAATCGTGGAAGAACATTGTAACGTTGAAAATCGAGATGAAGATTCCCATATGGGTGATGAGAGACGCGATTGTGTTTTGGGACCAGATAACTGGTCCGGTAACAATGAATACGGTCAAGGTTGTCCGTTGTCAGTGATCCGGTTCTTTTTCTGGGTGTTAATAGAGAACTTCGTCCACGAGGGAAAGGAATCGATCGCTTCTTTTGGAATAAACGCGTAAGCGTAGAAAAGGGGGGATGAGATGCGAACGGATCAACGCAATTGATATGGCAGCTGATCTTTGCGCGAATGGATCCGTGAAGTCAACGTCCAGCAGGTGAGATAAATTGATAAGGGAAACGTGATAAGGTATTCTCAGTACTGTGGTCTGGTGTTTGACTGGTCAGCAGTGGAGGATAAAAGAACTTCTTTTTAAAACCTGTAATTCAAATTACGATTACAGAACTTGTTTGAAGCTTAAATAAATTGTGGACCGTTAAGATGGATGTTCTTTGATATATTTTGATTTTGGAATGATTCACTCGGAACATGTAAGCGTGATTTCCCCACATTTTTACATAATGAAATGCTTTAACAGCCGCCACTGCTGTCCGAGTTAACAACCAATTGACCCTCGACCGCTCGTGCAAAGGTTTCATTGATGAATACCGTTGGGCAAATGTTAAATAGTTTACAACTCAAAACTTTTAATTTTCATATCACAGAAAATTTACTAGTTTGACTTTAGAGCATATAAAAGTAATAAAAATTGATATTTCAGGAACTTAAAAATCTAGTAGGCAGCTTTTAAGAGATAAAGAAAATCAAGATTAAGTTCACTGTGATTTAATTTGAAATCATCAAATTGTTTGTTGGTTTGAATGCCACTTGACTCTGTTTCGATGCAAAGTCATTTTAATAAATTCACGTGATGTCTAGGAATTCATGTTAGTAATGATCTGCTACTGTTGAAATGAACATGTAGGTGTCAAGGGCATGTGACTGTCCTCTTCACTTGTTTCTTTCAAGTAAATTACAATTCGTATAGGAACTGGAATATTATATAATTAAATTGACTGAAGTATAGTTTCCTGTGCAGTGTTATGCAGTTTTTCAAGTGATAAATTTTCATTTTCACGATTGCACTGTTCCTTGGAGTCTGTCTGTTCATCAATTATCTGTGTAAATATGCAAGGACAGAATGATTTTGACCTCGGTGTGAAATAAAATATGGCAAAATGAATGTTCGTGTGCTGCTGTCAAATAGAAAAACTGAACACAAACAGATGCTCTATTTGATAACATTGATGTCAATCACCAAGTGTCGTCCTATTTCACCAGTCTTCGGCGAACGTTCTTCGCTGACGGTCACATTAAATGACTCATTTTATGGAGTTTTATAAAACATATTAGACATTGAAGTTTTATATTTAATCAAAAAAATTTCACGTATCATTTGTGTAGTTGACATTCACATAACTTTAGATATTTAATCAGGTCATAGTTGTTTACTTATTTTAGTCAAAGAATGCTAGAGATTAAACTGAGGTAACTACTATTTAGTTTTTCAATTTATATTACATTGTACAGAATTATAATTAAACTTCAATGAACAGTACAATTGCCATAGCAAATTGTGTTGGATGCTGAGGAATTGTAGAGATCAGACGGTTAGCAGACAACTTAGAACATGAAATTGTGAACAGGACAAAGCTCATAAATGGGAGCGATTTACAGAGAAGAGGCTATTAGACTCGTTAGTTTAGGGAATCAATTAGATTGTTCGTTCTAAGTGGCAAGGACGCGCCAAGAATCCCATCAAATATCTACGTGATGTGTTTACTATTGTTCTAGTACGTTATTTGCTCCACATTGGTGGTCACGAAACGGCTAATGATCGTTCTGTTTTTCGTCGTTCTGTTTTTCGTCGTTCTAATCATTCTGTTTTTTCCTTCTACAAGACGGAGACCCTCATTTTCCAATTTGCATGTTATTCCGGCTCAGTCAACTGAAATTAACAGTCGGTTATAACTGAAGATTAAGAACTATGTTAATGTTACAGAGTCAAAATTTATTATTCTTAAAAGCGAAAGAGGAACAGACGTGTAATTTGTTTCTCAATTACAGTTGCTTTAAAGCGTATCATGCGTGAAACGGTAGACGTTCTTGTGGTAAACCTTCTATTTAGGTTAAAAGTTTCATTTCCTGAATAGAACAGTGACTTTAATTTACGTTTATAGCCGTCGTGGTATTCTACCTACGTTCATTTTGCGTCTTCTTTACAAATTTTTCGTTTATTCCCATGTACACGCAAACTTACATTAATTTTGATCCACTTTAAAATATATGAAGAATATCAAATATGATTAATTGTCTTAAATTCTGCTAATCTTACAAAAGTTTCCATCGTGAAATGGAATATTTTTTGTGATACCTTTTTCTTAAAATAAGAAGCTTGTGTACCCATGTAACTATACAGAAGAGGAATGCTCACAAGTAGCTGATATTTGAAGAGATAATTAGACCATGCTAGCAAGATATTTTCGCGAAGACGGATTTAAACTTGTTAGCAGATCACTGATGACGTGCAGTAAAGCCCACTCAGTATTCATGAGATGGAAATTATTCCTTAAAGTTCTTTAAATTCCATGAAATTCACTTGATTATGCTGTGTCTACATTTCTCAGATTTTCAATGTTAATTGTCTGTCTTCTACACTTTTCCTTTGACTTTTATTAATAATAATTTATATAATAAGAAATATAGTTTCTTGAGAGACAAAGAGAACATACAGTTGAAAACCTCCAAGGGTCCATTTGCTATCAGATTATTTTTAGGTAGCAAGATAGGGGCTACCCCTCGATGCTAACTAAAAATAGCCACTAAGGCCAATCCAGCTCCAATTATTCCATTTAGGTATTTAGGTGACAATCGACTGACCGCCAATTTAGAAATATTCCACACGATGACAACCCGGGGACCTCTGCCACTGTTGTCAATGAATATAAATAATATCATAGCATGATAGAAAAATATCTTTGAATAACACTATTAATTAAAACCTCTCTCTTCTTTGTAATACTTTCAAAGTATCAGTTCTATGCAAATTTTAAAAACTGAGACTTGCAAAAGCTGTATAAAAAGTATTGAATATATTAACAAAAAGCTATATACATGTTTGAAGAAATTTCATTATAGGTAATCCTAGTTTAAGAAATTCCTACCATCTATTTTATCCTCCTTTTATCATCATTTCTGTCTTATGTATTTTTCCTCCTCCCAAAGAAACCTGTTAATAAACATTGAACAGTAAATTTAGTGTTAGGTTAGGAACAGGAAATGTAAGTTCTATTCTCAATTAACAAGCAAATGTAGCAGACTGTTAATAGATTTGCAGTTTATTTGTGCTTACGTATGACGCCTGAAAGAAGGCAACTGTTCTAACAGAGATGTTACTTTGTGTACAGAATTGCGGGCAGCATGAGGCAACGTAAGACCGGTACGTTGGGCGCCACGGCGCCTATACCCGTGAAGGAGGACCGATTGAAATTCCAAGACAACAGGTTCTTGACGACATTCGTACTCGGTCGAAATAGGTTAGTATTTTTTAGGCCATTTTCAATATTTCTACATCCACCAATTCAATCAAGAAAACGTGAATCTCATGATTTCAAACATCGATTGACGATTATTAAATTAGATTGGTTAATTTCTGCGCATGCCCTGTATCGTCGAGTGATTAATACAGATTTCTAACTTTTATAATTTTGAATCGTAACAACAACAATTTATAAAAGTTATATACTGCGACAATGTACTGTGTCCATAAATTCCTGATTCGTAATTTCAACATTTTGGCGCGTATTCGACTAGTATCGATAACTCGATAATAGCGATCACGTGACCTGTTCGATAGTCATATTTTATTCACGTCATTTCGATATTTAAATTCAACTTCAGAAAGTCTGAATTGTTTTCATCAATCACGATAATTGCTTCTCTATTGGAATTATGCGTAGTACAATAAATTTAGACGGAGAATCGCTAAATTTAAGCGCAGTTTGCATTGCAAATTAACACGTGCAGTTAACATCCTTATAAATGAGTTATTACGAACCGACAGACGTACTAATAGTTAAACGGTAAACAGCGTAAGTTTTCTTAATGACGTAGTAATACGTGTATGATAATTAAAACGTTCAAAGTTGTTGGCGCGCGGTACAATTGGAAGATGCAACCATGTATACGCTTCTCGTTTTAAAAAATATTTGGTAAGATCCTTCAAATTTTCTATTTTTAATTGATAAAAATTTGTATTAAAAAATGATATAAGTCACTCTAAAAGCACACTTTAGTTCGCGAATGAATATTTATATGTTTTAAAATCTTACCAAAGCGAGGTAACCTAGTCGATACATCGCTGCCGAATTTTCGATTCTTCGCGCTTCGATGATTTTCCACCGTTTGATATCACGAATTGAATTACTATTCTAGCTACCCTTGCTTGGTCTTTTTATATCTTATATAAATTCTGATCATCTGTCACTTCGAAGTTAAAATGTCAGTGGCATAGATCTCCGTGCAAATAATAAAATCTGATAGCATGATAGTCGTTTCGTTCGTTTGTTAAACGTTTTAATTGAATTCTGTAATCGTACCGATCGAGACGAGTGTTGATATCGATAAGTCGACAGTTCGTTTGGCGCCATTGCGGTTAGTTACTTTTTTCTTTCTTTATTTTTTATAATGTTTCTTTATTTTTGCTATTGGAAATTTCGTGTTGAAATTTCATTTCTTATTACAAATTTTGATATTTTAAATTTACAAATTTAAAAATTTTGAAATTTAAGAATTTCGATATTTTGAAACTTTCGATTTGCAACAATCGCAAATGACAGTTAATCAAAATTCGATCTCATCGCCCATCCCGCATTGAGTTTCCCCCTCAAGGATGTATTCTATGCCTGTTTTCCTAAGTCCATGTTCTTAATATACGCTCGAACAACGATGAAAGCACTTCAATTATTAATTGCCGTGAACGTGCTGCCGACGCGGAGTTTATGGTGGGATTCGACTTCGACAGACGGACCGGGATTAACCTTAATATCGCGGTCACGTATCACGCGACAACTCGTTCTTTCGCCGAAAAAAACATTTCCAACTGTTCGGTAGTAGGTGGCAGACCGCACGCACCAGACTGCTCTACTTATGTTGGATAAATTTTAATCCCCGGTTATTCAACGCATATATCTGGAAACGTGAGTAAATCTTTGACAGTGATATTCAAGGAAGATTAACGGGATCGCGTGGGTTTAAGTTTATTCGATGCTTTTATTTAATTTCATTCGATCCACGCACTTGTCGGTCGATGCAAATCGAAGCACGTGACACTTTTTTGAAATTCCCTCCAATTCTTTATTACGAAACTTGATACAACTTTGTTTTAAAAATTATTTATTTAATAGTATCATTACATCGCATTTGAAATTTCTCTGGATGTAGTCTTTTTTATTATTGAATAAGACTTTTTAACATATTACATTGTTCTGGATTAGAATTTATTGCGCGAGCAGTTCTTTTCTCGAAGAAAGATCAATCAGCTTAATGAATCAGATTGGGGCTTGCGTAGGTTGAGTCGACGTTTTGTCGACGCATTTATTTTGACAACATTACATGTAATTGAGACTTAATAAACACATTAGTGACTGCCCAAATACATGTGTATGTATTACATTGAATATAATATATCTTTAGTAAGTAAGAATGTGGAAACTTGTAGTTTTGGAAACCTGAAGGTTAAGGAATTTTACAAAGACAAAAATTTGAATATTCATGGACTTGTTTACACGTTTTGTAACTTTGGAATCTGACGATCGCTCATAGAAATATCACTTTAAAAAATTAACGCAAACTTCAATGTTTCCATAGAAAAATTTCACCGGACGTCCTGCCTTCTTGTTCGCCGGGGATTTTCCGACAGAAGTCCTTTCGCGCTTCATCGCCGTCGAAAAGTGCTGGCGCAAAAAATGCATCAGTGACGAATAATCACGAGCACGCATGCGCTGATCTGATCAGTCCACGTGAGTCAAAAACGTCTAACAGCAGTGCTCGGTCAAAAAGTGGTGTGTTGCTTCTTGCACGGGGCACCCGAGGTACCAGCAAGCACGCACGTCTTGGCACGGCACTGGCGAACAAAATGGCGTCCTCGAGCTCTACCACGGTGGTGCAGGGCTGGCCAAACACCAAGGACGACTATGAGCTGAAAGAGGTTATCGGTGAGTAATGTTTCCACGACGCTTTTCTCATTTATCTCGATGACGAAAACTTTTCATTGAGCTCTTCAGGATGACGATCTATCTCGTGGAACACATTCACCGGGTCTCAGCGGCCAGCTACTTCTGCTTCTTGATATTATCTAGAGAGATCCTTGGCTCGGTACCTGAACGTTATATAAAACCGTGAATTCACGGGTTAATGGTTGACGAGCTGTCGATTATTTTATGATCAACAGTGACGAGGCTTAAATTGACGCATTGTCCTTATCCGTGTTTACGCAACTGTTTCTCTCGCTCTCGTTCCCGATGTTCGCTATCTCCCTTGCTCTTGACAAGGCACGTATACCGGTGCTTCGAACATCCTAACCTCGTTAACCTGCTAAAGAAACGGAACTGGCGATTATGTTGCATATACACTGCGTGTCATAACTATAAAACTGCCATAAAATTTTCAGTTTTTGCACAAGGTGTTCCACTTTTTTCCCGCAATTCTTTATGTACCCATTCTGTAAGGTGATGTTCAAACTTTGACCCTTAGGTACTTTATGTGGAAATTATAACAGGAATACAAACTGATAGTGAACTGCTTTCTTGCTTAATATCTTGTAAGAACAGATTGTTGATTCACATTGAGATCTGATTCTAAAATGATGTCTGTTACTGTAAATGTAGGACTGGCATTTAGAACTTACTGCACTGTAGATTTTCTCTAAAGAACAGTAGATTAAATACACTAAGAAAAGAAAACTGATTTGTTGTTGTTTCACAAATGAAAAATCATTGAGTCTTATGTATTTTTAAAATTGTATTAAATAGTGACTTTCTGCTTCAATTTCAGGGGTGGGCGCGACCGCCGTAGTCCACGCGGCATTTTGCATTCCGCGGCAAGAAAAATGCGCGATCAAAAGAATAAATTTAGAAAAATGGAACACAAGTATGGACGAACTGTTGGTAAGAACTTTATACTTATTTTTATCTGTAATCTGTATATCTGTAAATTACATGTACATACATTTCATTGATTTTTCACAATAAATGGAAATATTGATAAGATAATGATGTCAGTTATTATAGATGATTACAATCTCCATATTTGCTCAAATAACTGTTGAGATTTTAATGTGTTTAATATTACTTACAAAGTATTTCTCATTGATAATAATTTTTTATTTCAAATAGAAAGAAATACAGGCCATGTCCTCCTGTAACCACGAAAACGTTGTCACATATTATACATCTTTTGTGGTAAAAGAAGAGCTCTGGCTGGTCCTTAGGCTTCTAGAGGGTGGATCCCTTCTTGATATTATTAAACACAAAACAAGAACCACAAATTGTAAACATGGAGTATTTGATGAAGCTACAATAGCTACGGTGCTACGTGAAGTACTCAAAGGTCTTGAGTATTTTCACAGTAATGGACAAATACATAGGTATATGAATGATTATTTGTATACAGAAAGTAAGATATTACAAAAGAAAAAAAGTTTCTTCAGAGTTTAACATGAATATATATGATTCTCTTATATATGTGAACAAATTTTAATAGCAGAATAATAATAGGGATATCAAAGCTGGGAATATCCTACTAGGAGAAGATGGTACCGTACAAATAGCCGATTTCGGCGTAAGCGCTTGGCTCGCAACGGGTCGAGATTTAAGCAGACAGAAAGTCAGACATACGTTTGTGGGCACTCCATGCTGGATGGCACCTGAGGTCATGGAGCAGGTGAGAGAGGAAAGTAACATTACAATTTCTTAGCTTGCGTTTTTTGTGCCTCTATTATGTTTATTTGAATTATATTATTTATTAACTTCAGAAAATCATAGATACGATTTTATGTTGCAAAAATATAACATGATAGCTCTATGTAGTAGTTACATGTTCAGTGATGTAGATTATGCAGTTATGGTACTTGTCAATGAACCTCATTAGTTAATATAAATAACAAATAGTTAATAGGTAAACAGTTATTTTTATGGTACAAGTTTTACATTTCATTTATGTTATGTTAAGGTGAAGCATGTTGCCGTTTCAAAGCATGTCTTGATCTTGCTATTGGCATTCCATCTCAGTGTGTACACTGTAAAATCAATTATGATATGCGTATAATTTTGCAGGACCATGGTTACGATTTCAAAGCCGACATCTGGTCACTTGGCATTACTGCAATCGAAATGGCTAGTGGTACTGCTCCATATCATAAATACCCACCAATGAAGGTGCTCATGTTAACATTGCAAAACGATCCTCCTACTCTGGACACTGCCGCTGACGATAAAGATCAGTACAAGGCATATGGTAAAACATTCCGAAAAATGATCGTTGATTGCTTACAAAAAGATCCAACGAAAAGGTGAGTTTTTTTTAACGTCTTTAAATTGATGTGAATACTACTTCAAGCTACTTTTTAGACCCACTGCGACGGAGTTGTTAAAACACCCATTTTTCAAGAAAGCAAAAGATAAGAAATATCTGCAACAAACTTTGGTAGCTATTGGGCCTAGTCTTGAAACTCGTGTACAAAAGGTACATCTCGGTTACTGTTGGACCACAACGATATTTGGGGTTTTGGAATACCTCTGATAGTGCATTAAATATCTTGTAGGCCTCAAAAAGACAACCTGGCACATCAGGTCGTTTGCACAGAACAGTTACGGGAGAATGGGTTTGGTCATCGGAGGAAGAAGATAGCGATGCGTCTAGCGGAGACGAAGGCAAAGAAGCTTTACCGGTCAATACGATTGAGAACCCTAGCAGCGAAGAGGAGGAAGAAGAATTTTATGGAGTGGTGAAGTCGGCACCTAGTCAGCTTGTTGTGCAAGCTACAGACCAGAACGTTCCTATCAATTTGGTGCTAAGATTACGGTACGTAATGTTAACCTTGCGTACTTTAATTCTTTGTGCATAAGACAAGTTGGAAGCTTAAACAATATATAATCCTGTGTTATGTTGTACCATTATATTTATTGCAGGCGTCCTGAATCACATTTTGCCACCGAAGATAATTCCATGTATGCATGTCTTGTCCTATCCTAAATCCAACCTCCATCTGTTAATTTAAATACTTAAGACTGCGCTACAGTATATAAATTACGGAAGAATTAATCAATTTTAGAAATCAGAAACGAGAACTTAACGACATCAGATTTGAGTTTGCTGTTGGAGTAGATTCTGCTGAAGGCATTGCTGCAGAACTAGTCGGTGCAGGTTTAGTCGACGGCAAAGATATTGTCGTAATAGCAGCGAATTTACAAAAATTAATAGACAGTGCCGGCCAATTACGAACAGTAACATTTTCATTGGTGAGTTCTCAACAAAAAGACAGATGGTTTTTAGACTAATTGAAAACTAATTGAAAATTTTTGTTTAGAATTCTGGTCATGCAGCCAATGAAGTGCCAGATGATAAAGCGTTAATAGGATTTGCTCAGATCTCTATCACCGATTAAACACTTGCAGCGCATTCAGAAATTTCAGGATACCGTTCTTGAGCATCGTTCAGAGAATGGAAAGTATCAAAAGCTCGTTGATATTCTCATAGTTGAGAATAGTTTGAAAGATTTACAAAATTCGTAGCATTGTCCTTTATACTACATTTTTTCTACAGCTTTTGCTACTTTCACTTCTTGTGTGGGTTTTAACAAAAGTGCAATAAAGTACGCAAAATGCAAGGCATAAATATAGAGGACTCACTTTGTATGGACTGTTTGAATGCAAATTCAAAGCTACGTACCGACACGAAGTTTATGGGAAACAGATTATTTACGGAATCTAAAGAATTGTTCCAAAGAACAATTTAAAAAATTTTTGAAAAATATGTTCTTATGCTTTGTTTTTTTATAGAAAACAAAACTGGACAGAAGTTGTTAACTTGTTTGGAATAATTTACTATAGCAAAAGGATCAATGAATTCCGTCATCTAAACTCTGAACCCATGGCATCGTCTCACGCATACCCTTTTGTGTGCACGTTGACAAGGCAAGAGAACGGATATTCAAAACAGAAAGAAACAGTATCACTTGTACTGGCTTAAGTTTTCACTCGCTCTAATCATTAATGGCTGTAGTTCCACGTATTCAATTTATATCACTCATTATCGCATTAATTTCTATGTAAATATTAGTAATCGAATTTCAAGTTAAGTAAGATGCTTACCGTGAATGAAAGACAGAATTTCAAATAACTAAGCAAATGCGAAACAATTTTGTCGAAGGTGCTTAAACATCTGACTTAATTATTTGAAATACATTCAAATGAATATTCTTTTTGCGGTTAAGAATTTTTTAGTTGACACCGCACGTTAAACGCCGCATCATGTACTAAAGAAAAAAGCAGTTGTCGGTCTTTTGTACCGTATAAATCGTTTAGCGTATTTTCCTTATGCTTTAAGCTACAGGATCGTAGATGATACGAAAGTACTAATGAAACGTATTTTGTACTTAATTAAATAGAGTTATGAATAGTGGATTTATTATTTTCTGGCTTTATAGATGCGGATTAGCCAGTCGAGAAGAAATTGTTCACGTGTCTTTGAAAGATTTAATAAACGAGCACAGGTATTTTTAGAAATGGTCTATAACCGTTTAAAGTTTTACTCGAATCAGATTCAACATTATACATATATTGTGTACAGAATTATTTATGTTCGATAAAATGATTTCATAATGTCAAACATACCTATGTATTCATTATTTTTTTTTGTTTACATTTTTTTCTTCTGATTCTACCGGACAAATATAACACCTAAAAATGTAACTGTTTTTAGAATAATATTTAAGAAATCAGTTTACTATACCATTACTAGATTATCATTTTTTTGTTTAAAAAATTTAAGTGAAACATGAAAGACTTGGATTGTCTGATACAAAATACACGAGAACCGCGTTAACAGATGGACTACTGTGTCATAGAAATTTAACTATAATTAGGAAAGATCGATATTGAGAGCAGAATTAGTGATTTATAATAGAACAATGACACATGTATAAATCAGAAAGAGTAATGAAATACTCAGACGACGTTACTTGAATTATTATGGATACTAAAAATTAAAATGTATGCATAAATGAAATATTTGTGGCTTAAAAAATGGGTTTCACAAATAAAACCTGAATTTAATCTTGTGAATGAAACTTTTTAATTAAACTAGAATTCCTGCAGCTGTTGTAAGAAGTGGTTCATTTTTGTTTTAGATTTACAGTAGATTTTTACGAAGCGTGTGCAAAATAAAAGTCTATTTGTATTTAATAAGATTGTCATATCACAGCAAGAGAAACTGTTACTAAAAGAGTGAATAAACTTCATTTTAAAGCTAATATAAAACTGGTTTATTCATTCTGTATGCCTTATTTCTAAGTCTTCTGTAAATTTAAATTTACCCTCAATTTCGGAAAAGTACAAGTAGTGCCATTTATTGAGGAACGGCGGAACTATAAAAATAGAAAATCGAAGGCTCCCTGTATTATCGATTATGTTGACATAAAGGCAGTAGCTTGTCATTAGATGGCATTTGAAACAATTGGAAACTTATAGTAGTTTGATCAACTAGGAAAAATTGGTTCAGTGATCAATATCTATTTCAAAAAAGAAAATGTCTTCTCGTTATGATTTAATGTAATCTCACTTTCTTGATTTTCAGAAATTTTTTAGAACGCGTGACAAGTGTACGATGTTACATTTTCGTAGTCTCTTTAGTTGTTAAAGAACAACTGTTAAAATGTTTGGTTTTTAATCCTTTGTTCAATCGAAAAATTGTTAAGCAGATTAGTATTTTAAGGTTATGAAGTTGCTTCATATATTTATAAGAAAATATTTCAGTTTAAGCGTACGTAACAATTGAAATACAGATTATTTGCAACAAATCAAGCACAGTATAGTACGGGTGGTTTTTTTATTTTAAATTACATGTTTTCAGATATCCCCAGTGCGAATAATATTTTCAAGTTAACTTATGTTTTATTATGAAGCGTCGTCAGAGAAGGCCTGTTTTAGAACTTAATCAGTCGCATTCTGGTTCTCACGGGGAATATGTACAAAGTAAAAAGATTTATTGATCTAAAAATTTATTCTTAATTATATATGTGATGGTCATTCTACAGTTACATTTATTTATATATATTTTGTATTAACAACATGTTTTTATTTGGCTTAGATAAACGTAGACAAATAAATAACGATTATCCTGGACAAAATGTACCTGCTAATTCTTTGGCAAACATACTTTGTCATTACAATTCAGATAGCGATACCGAGGAGTCTAAAAAGGATGTTTGTAAATTAGATGATCAGGTCAATAATTTTTTCAAGGTAAATTTGTTGTATTATAATCTTTTGTGAAATCTATCTATGTGTTTAATATTTTGTACTTTATAGGAAATTCAACTTATTGCTCCTAAACAACCAGTATCAAGTGAATCTCTTGTTAACTCGGCTGTGAATTCAAATACATGCCAAACAAACCACGTAAACCAACAAGCACTAAGTAAGTCTTTGTTATAAATATTGTAATGTTGAGGATAGAATTTTTTCAAAATTTGTTTACTTATGTGTGTTTGTTTAGTGTGGAGAGAATGTTTAGATGAGTCTTCAGGATATCCATATTACTGGCATGTTGAGACTAATGAAGTAACATGGGAAATGCCAGATGAGTTAAGATATTTGAAGAACAATGTTAAGTCAAGTTCTATTATGAAACAGTTGCAAGAATCTCATTGGGTTGATTTTTCGTCTGTTACATGTAATTACATCTCGATTATTCACTTCTTTTCATACAACTATAAGAATTCTAATAAATAGTGCATAAATGTTTAGATCAACAATCTCATGAAAACATACCAGAAGGTATGATACCCAGGGAAGTAGTGGCACGCAATCGCAATAGGTATATTTGCAATGAAAATACTAAAAAACGAGAACCTCAAACTGAACAAGACACTGCAAATACATCTGATACAATGGATAACGACTCTGACGATGGGTATGCTGCAAAATATTAATATTCTTCAGTCTAACAGTATACTTAAGAAAAAAATAACTTGATATTTTAGGAAAATAGAAATGATAACATCCTATGGAACCGAAGAAAGCGATTCTGACACAGAAGAAGAGAATCATTCGAAAACGAAATCAACTTCGGTGGCAGAGTCGACTAGTGCAAGTTCAACGTCAAAAACAAAAAGTACTGATACATATCCTTCATCGACATCGGTAATACAGCCCCAACTACCGATGGTTTCTCAGACTCCAGGTCCAGATTATGAAAATAAGGAAATCGTGGAGTACGCAAAACCAGAAGTATCATTAGATGTAAAATCGGCCGAAGATACAGAAACTAAGTACTTAAAGTCTCAAGTTAAACAACAGAGTGCAACTCAGGAATCTGAAGAATGCACAAGCAGTGATAATCAAGTAGTCAAGGAGTCTTTTATGAAGAAAAGTATTAGCAAACATAATACTGAGGCCGAGTTAGATTTCCGTATTTCTTTGGTACCAGGATATGACGAAGATTCAGATGTCGAGGAAGAGTCTGAAGCTAAACAAGAGAGAAAAACTTTGTTCCCAATTCCTTTGACGGATAGTACTAAAGAAAGTACACTTGATGAAAGTCAAGTACTAAATACAAACACCTTATTAAACAGTACCGAAGAGAGTAACTCCGAAAGAAAAAATAGCCACGATCAAGAGGACGAACAACCTTCAGAAAAGACAGAGTCCAAAGAAGAATCTACTGTGAAGCCTGATGATGACGCGCAGAAGTCGAATAAATTCCTTGATAACTTGTCCGGAAGGAATAAATTCTTTCAAAGAAAGAAAAGAATCGCGTTTGATGGTAAGAATATTATCATTTTATATAGATGTGTACCGTTACTGAAATCTGTATCGAAATGTATGTTTTAGTTACGTCTACGAAAACAAAGGTGGACGACGAAAATGAAACCAATAAAACAGAAGTCGAGATTCAACGAGAAGAGTCGAATTCATGTGATGAACACGCTGCATCTCATACTGATCAGCAAGAGCAGTATGATACGATGAGCGAAAATACTGTGGAGAATACTCCGAATTTTAAAGATGAACCAAGCAGCACACTGGAAGAGGCAAACATATCGTCTGAAACGTCTAACGAGTCGAAAGAAGATGAGGGAGAAGTTAATTTATTATCGCAAATCGTTCTTGAGAAGTTGAAATTCTTGTCAGAAGGAAAACCAAGCGTGTCTCCAGTTCAAATGATGTCTATACAGTTACAAGTAAATTGAGTTTCTCTTTATTTTTAATATTTCTAAGATAATGTCTCTTAAAAAATATCTCTTGTATTTTAGACACTGTGTATTGCATGGGAAGGAGGTTACTTAGAAAAAAGTTACTTACGTAGATGGTTGTCTGATACTAGTCATGAATTGGAACGCTTGGAACAAGATGCAGCACCACCTGGATGGCTTTGTCAATGGGATAGGTATAGTATACCATCTAAAATTTATGTATTATTTCGTACCAATAAACATGAATCGTTCATACAAAACACCGCGTACGTTATACACGTCATTATTCTAAAAAATCTTCGGGAAGTAATCTTTACACGTACCATCGTAGCGAGATAGTTAATGGTATTAGTGGTGATTTAAAACATTTTATTTTGAATTTTTCTTAAAGCAGTAAATCAAATTTCTACATTTTTTTTGTACATTTATCTGATTGTTCTTATTAATATTTTTATGTTCAATTATAAAATTTTCGTATCTCTCTCACTTGGTGTAATAACTCGAAGTAAGTCGAATTCTCTGTAACAAATATTTAATCAATTTGATTTTATCAATTTCAGAGCTAAAAAATTACCGAATTCTTTATCAAATTTGTAGGATCATTAATTACATTGAAACACAGGTTTTATTTGTACATAAAAGTATCTCTAAAAATGTCGCGTTATTTGTGTTGAACGATAGTAAAAATAGGTCTGTGTTCAGTACACAGTAAAGTAATGTACGTGTTACGTATTTAAAAACATAAAACATCTGGAAGATAAATAAACATTAAAAATGTTAGTGGTTCAAAGCTAAATTCAATGATTAAACGAAACCTAAAGTGACAAAAATCGAAGACTTGTTTTAGCTAAGTGAAACAAGAACTGTAATTAAGTAATGCAATCGCAAAAGACGTCCCATTGAAAATGCAGCCTCGAGGCGAAGTCCAAGCGCTTACTGTGATAAATAACGAGAAATAAAATTTTTTGTGAGTGTTAAAGATGCTATTTGATAAATCGAAGAAATAGATGAGCCTTGAGAAGATAGCCGGAAGAAGTTAGAAAAGAAGCTCAGACCTTTAATTGAAGTTGCAGCAGGGAATTTGGATTAAAAAGAAGCAGTGTACAACAGAAAGATTAAACGAAACGAAGCAACAATGTTTTAGAAAATCGTAACATACCGTGTGAAAAATATTTTTTTATACATACAAATGTTTCACATTTTATATTTTCTTACATGTTATATTTATGTACATACTTCGAATGTCATACGTATACGTCATTCGATTTTCTTATTTAAATACATTCCATTAAAAGTTGTTCGTTTCTTACATACAATAATGTGTTTAAATGTGATAGTCGAAGCCGTTCTGTTTCTGTACGAGTGCTCGCCGTTGTTATCTTAAAAAGTCATCCTGACTATTGCACTCTCAGTACACGCATAATCAATTCGCTTAATTTCGCTAGCGTAACGCAGACGTTGTCGACGTTATCTCGATGATCGTGTTGCGGAAGAGAGCGCCTTCTATGTAACCGCTAAGTAACACTTAATCCTTTTGTAATAAAAGGGTCTTGCTGAGTAAATGGCACGCCGAGTCGCAGGTAGGAGTATTAACTGTTTTTTAGTTAATAAGTTGCTTCAGATATCGGGAGGACGTTTCCTTTCATGGAGTAACGTCCCTCGAAAGTTTGTCAATGTAAAACATGCAAGTATGTCCATTTTCCTCCTCGTTGTATTATATTCCTTGCTGACCATTTTTTCCAGGTCACATAAGCGATATTATTACCAGAACACCTCCACTGGAGTTACACAATGGACATATCCGGACACTGGCATCGCTGGTGGTGCAGAAGAAATGGAGATTTGCTCAACGCCTCCTCCAACGGAGCAGGAAGAGATGATTATTTCTGGTATATAGTCATCATTTTTACAACTGTCCACTCCCATACAAACGTGCTGTTCTTTTTCATAGCAGAAGAAGAAGGACTGAAATTGAAATCAAAGAAACTGCAAGAAAATGGAGAGACAAACGAGGACCCCACAGCTCCAAGGAACAGTGACATTGAAGCTCCACCTCCGCCACAAATTTCAAACCCAAGCCCCCCACCACCACCAAAAATATATGCAGAGGATTTGAAAAGGGATAAAAGAAAACAGGATAAATGCAACGACAAGCTAGATGGTAAAAAACAGCGGCTGAGAGAAGGTGAATTAACTAAATTATTAGCTGTAGCAAAGATATGTAAGTTCACTTCAATATATTTTCTTTCACAGAGGGAACGATACTAGTTGAAGCGAAGCAACTGGAAGATCCCGTTGCACCTTCTCATTCGTCAGCTCTGTTGTCTCCTCAGCCCACGACTCTTGTCAACGTAACGAACGCAGAGCCACTACCGCCAGGTGTAGACTTAACGGAAGCGCCATATGAAATACCTGCAACTGCTCTGAAACGAATTATATACGGCGCTGTGCAGCCTCAGGGTGGTGCACTCTACGATGCAACTGCAAGGGATCCGACAGTTCCTATTTTAAGTCATCCAGCGGCCATAGTACAAGAACATTATCTTCAATACCCAGCTTATCATCAGCATTTACACGCAGTAAGTTTCAAAAAAAGTAGCACTGGCACTTTGCGTTTCCTTTCTAATTTCATATTCGTTGAACAGCCAGCGGCCTTAGTACTTCCACACAAACACAATGTACAACCTGCAATTCAGCTAATACCTGATTACACACCAATATATACGAATCACAAGATCATCGAGAAACCGCCGGTTAAGACAGCCAAGGAATCTTTGGTGTCCGCTTTAGATTCGTTTTATAATGATATAGCTCGTATAGAAAATACTGGGATGGAAAAACCACCGCAAAGACAGGATATCCCCATAGCGGAACCTGTTTCTTTGCCTATGGAGGAAACTAAAGCAGAGGTAGAACAGGAAGCTCTTCCAGTTGAAATTGCAGTGAAAGAGAGAAAGAGGAAAAAGGTAGACACACTTAAAAGTGACATACAATTTTTGTTAACTGTATTAAAAGAAAGAAAGAATCGAGATCATCGTATATTATGATTTCAGACGAGAATCGGTATCAGTAAGAAGCATAAAGAGATGTCTAGTATGGTAGCTAAATGGCAGAAAGTGCAGCAAAATTTCGAGAATACATAAACTGACCAGATAGTTGTGTTCCACAGGGATGAGGTAATTAGAAATGTTTTACTATGAATATTAATTTGTATTCCCAAAATTATGAAATAAATAATTCGTTCCTGTTTCAGATACAATTTTGCAATATTTAAGTCGTTGAACATAGAATAGTGCACTGTACTTCCGTCAGTATAGTGTTCCTGTACCTGCAATTAATATTGTTATTAATGTATGCTCTTTTTTTATTTTTTAAATTCAATGAATTTAAATCGCGAATCAGTGGATCATGCGAATAATGTAAATTTTGAGATGTTGTCATCGCAGAAACGATTTTTATTATTTGTATAAAACGCATGCTGATGACTTTTAAAGCTCACAAAGCGTTATTGCAATTTATAAGCATTTAAAATAAAAGAAACGTAAATTAATAGTATCTATTATCTTTAGATAAGTTAACGGTATCTAACTCGTCTATATCCGTATATTAAATTGTTCTCCTTTTTCATGTTATTTATATAAATCACGATGAAAGAAACAATGCTTATGGGAATCTGGAAATGTTGAAATAGATATTTAAGTATTTTTTACAAATAGATAGTCGATTCTTTTAAACGTAACAAAATCGATGAGTTTTAAATTGATTGCCATTTTTCAATTGCTGAAGGTTATGCGTGACTTGAACAGTTTAAAATAAGCATTGAGTGGTACATGATGATCTTAAATGAACACTGAAAAGAAAAATGAGATATATAACAAATCTCTAACCAGAGACTATTTTAGATACTTCCATGAATAGTTGAATATTTTTTAAAGCAACTACCCAGAATCTAATATGATAGCGAAAGTTTGTTTATAAAATTGTGCATGTTGAAGAATTGTTTTTGTAATAATATGTAAATATATGATTGATGAAATATATGTATGAAGAAGAAAATGTAATTATCTCACTCCCAATTCTTAAGATAATAATTTTAAAGTTGAATATATTTGATACTGACGTTTCATTTCATTTATTTTGTATCGTCAGTCATAAATAACGTACTCATGATACAGGTTAACCTAAAAATTCATTCATAACATCAAAACAGTATGACCGATGAGATGAAGAAACATGTCGATAAGACAAAACTTAAACGTGATCAAGAATATTACAATGCTTGCTGGAAGGTATAGTTTAATAATTAAACGTTTAAGGTTATGTAAGACCGCATTTAAATATCTAATAAAAACTTCTTGGCCTTTTATCAAACTAATTTACGATTGTCATTTCAGGAACATAATTTAAGTCTAAAGTGTCTAGATAAGAACAAGTACGACTACGACAAATGCATGTTGTATTTCAATAATTACAAAAGTTGCAAAAAGTTTTGGGTAATTTATATTTCGTGTATTTATATTCTTTGTACCATTCTATGTACGTATAAATCCTGTCTGCCTTAGGCAAATGTATATTCTGAACGAAGAACAAAGGGTATTACACCATTTATGCCTTCACCTGAAGAGAGGGAAAAAATAAAAGCAGAATATCTTGCATCTCGTAAAAGATAATTATATGTATATATATAATGAATTAAGAAATTGAAGTATATATATATATTGTATAAATTGTAAGCATAGAAACTAGAGTGCACTGAAAATAAAGCATATATCATTTTTAAAGTAAACACATTTTACATAAAATCATTTTAATATCTTTGGTAGGAACAAAGTTTGGAGAATTCTGTTTGATTACATTTTACACGAGAAATTCATGATGAAAGCTATAAATAATACACGATAAACGATAAACTGGTATGCAGTTACATCGAAACAAAAAACATTAAATACTTAGAAATTAAAGTTACATGGAGGTATTATAAATAGAATCGATTACATATTTCGGTTATTAAAAAATGTAGCATCTTAAGATTATCTATAATGTAGCTATACCCTTGCTGAGACTACATATGTATATACATTAAGTTTTACAAAAATGTAATTAGTTCTACAAATATTTAATTCTACTTAATATTTAAAATGAACAGTTTTTGTTACAAGTATAGTATGTTACATTTTTTGTGACTAAGGTTACATATGTTCTGATTATATAAAATAGACTAGTAATGCATTAAATACACATGTACGGAAATGCACATGTAATTGGTATCTTCACCTGGAATTTATCAATGTAGAAATTTTAACACACAGAATCAACACAAATCCACGAACATTTGAATCAGTCAATTATTCCACATTAAATATATTACTATAATATTGAAACTTAAAACTAAATGCTGAACTTTGAAAGAATATTTTTATTTTTACAATGTGGGAAATTTTGAATTTACTTAATGTACGAAATATATTGACAAATATGGGCTGAAACATAATTTAATTAATAGTTACAATTTACATACTCTACATTATTCACCAGTGCTACGTTGGATAGACTTTTTACATAGAAATTTTTAAATATGATTTATAGTTTTAAATATTTTAGACAAATTTGGATAAATTTCGTATTAAATCGTGCCTAAGGTATTGTACATTATTTGCCCCACCTTGAAAATAATAAATATAATGAAATGAAGTAATAATAACAAATTTAAATTACTTTCAAAAAAAGAAAAAGTATGAAATATTCATCGATGTCTTTTGTTAAATAATTTTTGCGCCACTCGTCTGGTGACAAAAATACAAAGTCCACTGTTCTTTCTGGATTTAGGAATTGACTTTTTAGTATTATTCTTTTTCATTGTTCGTTATGACAATGAAAGGTTTTGTATATTAATTGCAAAAATTTTCAGTTTAACGATATCAATTAATGTATGAATACAGTAACACACACATGCATTCTCACACAAAATTACAAATTCCTATTACAAATGTTCACTGACGTTACGTTTTGTCTCCTTTAACCTTTCACTTATTGCTTTAGCTTACTCAGAATTTTTATGCAATGTAAAATTATTTTTCCTTTGAAAGATGCTTCACAAAGAAAAATCTATAAAGGAAACAAATTATTTGTCACATAATAAAACTGAGCAAACGCAACTTTTTACTGCACAGACAATACATATTAAAAACGAAATCCACGAATAATAAGATGTTATGCGTCTTAAAAAAAAATATACACGTGGAATTAAGCACAGAACACAAAAAGACAACGTAAAGGGACGGTAAGTCTCTAAATTCATAGACATGAGCAAAGGATCGTACGAAACAAACTAGCGAATGATTCCGTAACTATATCACAGCAGTATGAAATTTAAAGGACTTTACCTCTGCAAACAAAAAATAAGATTACTTAACAGGTACTGTTTGTCAGCATTGTGATCAGCGGTCGTGACACGTTTAAATGTATTGTTCAAAAGTCATAGCCAGTATTTTTGATACTTGTTTTGAAGAAATGGTTGTTTAGGCACCATTTCAGTCGTGACATTTGAAATTTGATGAAGTTCGTTTACATTATATCGTTTGCCTTACGTTTGTCTGCCCTGTATTCAATACTTTGCTCTAACTTGTTCTTCGTTTTTAACATGTATCGTCGGCAAGTAGTCAATCAGTACGATCTTTGATACGGAATGTATGGATACGGAAGTGACGACACATCTGACGTACCTAAAATAACAATATATATTTTGAATGAAGATAAATAATTGTAGAAGTATTCTACTATTTAATTTAACAAAATAAATCTTACCACGCAAGTTCCATAATGTATATGTGCTAATAAAGCTACAATGGCAACAATGTACGTGGCTTCCAGATCAGTGTTAGGCAAGATAAATGAGAAAGCTGCTGCGATCGCTACAGGTAACAATATCCATGACAGCAGCTCGCATCTAGTGTTGCTCATTTGTGAAACAATCAAACGGCACTGAAAATTAGAAATGCCATTAATTTTTGATAATCAAATGCGTGAACTGACTCATTTGTTCATCAACTAACACATATATTTGAAAAAATGGTTCCTATAATGAAGAAAACGACTCGGGGATCTTTCTCTATAATATTAGTCGGGGAATGAACAACCCAAATTGTTGAAATTGCAAAGAATACTGCCAAAGGTATTAAAGGTCTTATAGCGTCTAGGAATGTTCGCATTTTACCAGTCTTGTCCCTGTATGACCTGAAAATAAAATGAGAACTTTATTAGATTAAATAAAAGTTACTGATATAAATCATAAAAGTTGCACTAACTTGTATATATTCCAGAGAACTACAGGTAAACTAGATACAATTGCAGTAACATAAAGCAACAATTCGAACATCACTCCAACTGGTATACCACCTGGTAGTATAAATTTCCAAGCTCTATGTCCTCCTATACTTGTTATAATAAAGACGACAATAGTACCCTGTAGATCATGTCAATTATGATAAAATATCCTTATAAGTCCTACATTTTATTCAATACAATTATACAACTTAATACTTACTACCATAGATAGATCATATCCCCAGGGAAGAAATAATACTCCTGTATTATACTTTTCCCAATGAGTTAGATAGAAATTAATAAACACATTCCACAGAATAAAATACATTCTCAATGGAGACACACTGTGATCTGTCCTGCCAAACACAGAAAACATACAAACAGTGATGAGCATAGTAGTCCAACTATCTAACCCATGATCGAATAATTCTCCTAAGGGACCAGAAGTCTGTGTACGCCGTGCTTGTTTTCCATCTATACCGTCTATAAAAAAAGAAGTTTCATATTAAACATAAAATGTACATTAATTGGGTTTAAACTTTATTGCATATTGCTTACCAAGTGTATATGCCATAAACACATTAAATGCACCTAAGGCAAAAATCCACCTTGGGATAGGAGGATATTGAGGTTTATCATTGCTTGATGCATAAAAATAATAATCATAACTCGCAAATAGAGTAAAATTTAAAACAGTGAAAAGAAATCCAGAAAAAGTTAGTACATTTGGAGCAACCCATTTTGGACAGTACTAAAACAAGAATAGATTATTACATAAAATAACAGCTAAGATTTACCAATATATATTTATCCAGAAACATACCTGAACAACTTTGTTCCAAAAAGGGTGCATAACATACACGCTCAGAGGACTTGTATCCACAGAATTATACTAAAAACATAATTAACATTGATTTATTGCAATATGTTCTAAATGCTAGAAATCATTTGGGATTTAAATAATTATATCACTGTTAGTCATATCGTGCTATGATGTCATAAAACCTGATCTGCTTAAGGAATACTGATTCATACAAATGTAAATATTGTACATTATATTTTCAGCTAAACTTTACACGCATTTATAAGGCAAGAGCTATATCTTACATTAACAATTATAACGTAATACAAACTATGTATACCTAATTTACAAGTATCTATATGTAAATGAAATTTAAAGTAGGAAGATAATATAAATTAGTAACTATAAATAAAAGATATCTGAAATATAATACTTTTGGTGCATTGATTGTAAATTTGATTGTGAATTGTAAATGTTAAATTAGCATACAAAATATGTTAATTTTGAAAGATTGCAGGAATAATTTTAGGAGATTTATGAATGAATTTCAAACGTATTAAAATAATCCGCAGAAACACGAAAAGCAGTAAGATATGAATACTTATCTAATCGGTAAACTTACTTTATAATTTTCGAAGCCGGTAAGATGCTGCTCCGTGAGATACTCGACCTCCAGTTTTAGTTTTTGATACATTGTTAATATGAGGATTCGTTTAATCGCGCTCTGGGAAATTGCTTCAATGACTTTTTGGTCGATTTTATTTTATTTCATCAGAACATAAACGCGTTTTCCACGGTAATACGATTAGATTGGAGGAATTCTGTACACGAAGAAATTAGTCTTCAAAAACACGTGCGCCTCGTGTAGTCTGATCAGACGTCAATTCATGGTGATACTTAATAAATGATGGTACTTTGAAACAATTCGTTCGAGTAAAACGTGAAGGCCGATTTCCACGCACGCAAAACTACGAAACAATAAGCGGTTGATTCGCCGCGCAATCGAAGGAGAACAGATACACAAATCAACGGCTACGAGACTGCGTATGATACTGTATTACTTTTAAATTAATTCGATCGAACGCAATTTCTCTGATGACAATGGGATGTCATTAAATAACGAATAAAAGTCAAAATTAATGTGAAACCATTTATATACGATAAATATAAAATAAAACGGATTTGAATATGAAATTTAATAAAAGACTTGGTCGTACCCCTTTGCTGTAAACTTGAGTTTGACTCTAGTTGTGATAAAACTGGGAACTAATAGTGAAATATATTGTGTAGTAGAATAGTAATATAATAGAATATTAGGGTAATGTTACATATCTGGAACATTTATGGAACTTATTTTTCCATTGCTAATAGATCTTATTTGAAATCCATTTCATTTACTTACAGTAGTTTCATTAAATATACATATTTTGGAAATTTAATACATAGTTTTACGTGTTACTAATAAATTATAATTGTGATGAAGTATGGATAAGAATATTAAATGCAACTTAACATTTATTTATTATAAATAGGTACATTACATGTTGTTTTTATAACAGTTGTAATAACAACTTACTAATACCATTATTGTAAACCTGAAATGCAATAATTACAAAATCAATACAAAGTAAATAGATCACATATTAAGATGCCCAAATACTTAAAGATAACTTACATAATTTACTTTGTTAATTGATGACGAAGAATGAGGAAAGGTAACGCGAATCCACTGCCAAAGAAGAGAACGAACAATGCAGTGAGCTTGTATCTGTTTTGAATGCTGAAAGGGAGATTCTGCAAACATTAAATTTATTATTTCATACACAAAATCAGCTGCTTAAGAAAATAATCAAATTCGTAGCAGAAAATGTTAAGCCTAATTTGATAGCATTTGTACTTGTACAAAAATCTGATTTTTAAACGTATCGATGTGAAGCGAAAACCGTAGTTATGCAATAATATTTTATTCACTTTCGTTTATACTTACGGCACCGGGAAAACCTTCAGGACCATGATCTTCCCTTCTTGCTGCGGACGTTTTGAATGTCCTAGCGCATCGTTGCAAAATTGTTCTTGTACCTAACATTTTTCTGAACTCCTTGCTGTTTGCTGCAATGTACTGAAGTTACGGCACCATCTAACCACAATGGCAACTAGCTGTCTGCTCTGCGCATATTCAAGGCGGGTTTACAATGTGTCCCTGGCACAATGCCAATTGAACTTCATGTAAACAGTCATTAATGTTTTCAAATGAAGTATGTCCGCGTACCGCGCCTTTGCTGATTTGTAGTTACGTAATATCAAAACGCAGTGTCATTACTCTATTTGTTGAAAGACATCTGCATTACTTTCAAATTATTACTGTATAAAAATGATGTAATTACAACAAAGCGTGTATCATCTAATATGTTTATTAAATATTTGAAAAATGATAACATAATGCTGTCTTCAGTAATGGGTTTGATATAATGTAACAATTGATGAGATGCGTAACGATCATGTTTAGGACATTGAAACATAACAAACGAAAATAATCAGCCTTAGCACATCTAGAAAAGTCTTATTTATTTTATTACATTGGTTACTGGTTGCATTTGATACATAATCATACCAATTATTCATATTTATATTTATATTCATTCAATCACGTCTGCACACATCCAATCACTCTTAATCTTTTAACTGCAGCGGGTTTCTTTTAATATGCGCGTACACTGTACGGAAATTGAAATATATATGTATATATATGTATATATGTATAAATATATATACATATAATGTATCGTTAAATTACATTTTAATTATCTTTCAATTGTATATAAAAACACTTGACAAACAAAAACGGAACAACTTAGTCTTTTTATGGAGCTGTGTCATGGGGGAGACACGGGGCAAGATGACTATTTATATAATACATATATACTATGTATGTGCTATTATATATATTTCTTTTGAGATTGTAGCGTACTTCTGGGTAGCACAATGAGCACTTTGATTTTGTTGAACACTCGATGTTCTTAACACCTTTCACCGATGATTTTTTGTAAAACCCAAATGAACAAACGATCGAAGACTAGGATAAAATGTTTAGGCTTTAAACACGAGGCCATATTTCAATTTTAAAATGTTACTTTGCGACTCACTGTTTCAAACTTTCCAAGATTTGAGAATTTTTCCCCGTAGATTTGTTTGATCGAAAGGAACCATTTTCTTTTTTATGACTTTTTTTGCGTTTTATGGAAAATAGTGCGTGTCGCGGCCACACAGCTCCTGGAATACAGTCTGTGTTCGTGTCAGTCACGACACATTATTTACAATTCATCATGCCCCTGAAACAAAGAACCAAATTTCATTAGTAATCATCATAGTCGTTGTAACAAATAATACTGAAAATGATTGACACTTACATCGGCGTCTTGGACAGTATTGTCCTCTTCATCCCCCTCCTCCTCTTCCTCGTCATCTTTATTATCCTCGTTCTCTTTACTCTCCTTTTCTCTTTGTTTTCTTTCTTCTTCGTTTTGAGCTTCTTTCATTTTCTTCTCACCTTCCTGAAAGACAATAATTGTAAATAAGCCTCACGCCATTTTCCATTTAACGTTTAACGATTTCAATTATGAAACTTCAGCAACGAGGAATTCCAGCTGTTTATCGCTCATGAGAGTCAGCAATGCTTTTAACATCATTGAATACCAGTTAATAATAGTAATGAACTGTGTGAATAGTATTTTATACGTACAAAAGTGGGTTTCCAAACATCTTCGCCAAACTTGCGGGCGACCTCAGGGTCGTCCGTGATGAGTACATTGTCGAAAATAGTTCCAGACTTCACTTGCCAGAGATCGAAACCAATGGCACAAATTTCATCCCTTTTGTACAATTCTGGGTCAGGTGTGTATTCAGGATTATCAATTTCTGGATGAATCCAGGGTCCTTTGTAGTTAGGATTATCGATTTGTTTCGGTTTCCATTCACCCTGAAAAGAGAAGTAAAATTAAGTAAATAAACGAAATCGACGAGATGACGATTGTTTAAACTTATTCAACTAACTTTGTATTCAGGATTATCGATCATCGGAGCCTCCCATTCTCCGTCCATCTCGTCATCCCAATCTTCAGGTTTACTAGCTTCAGGATCAGGGATGTGTTCAGGTTTATCCCAATCCTCTGGTTTTGTGTCGTCTGGATCGGGAATCGTGGGTTTATCATCCCAGTCATCGGGTTTGCTTTGAGATGGATCCTTAATTTTCTTCGGTGGCAGGAAATCCCAGTCTGCCTCCAATTCACCGGATTCTACCTCTTCGTTGTCGATAAGAACCTTTAAAAACATATCGTGGTTAACTATAAGAAGGAAGACAGAAGATCCAGTAATTACATCAACTCCAATAATACAATGTCGTTCTTTGTTACTACATAAATAAGTAATATATTACTTATAAATATTTTGTGAACAAGATAATCATTACTCTACGAGATTCTCTAGCACCCGTCCTCCACGGTTATCAATGAGAACATGTGACTCTAGACTCGACATAATTATATAACATTTTGTGGTACGATTTTCCTCTCAGTTTTCTTACCTTGTACGTGTTATCAGGTTTAACAATTAAAGTATACAAGTGAGTATAAATGTCGTCTTTGCATCGAATATCTTTGTTGATTAAAAGATTTTTGCCCTTGTAGCTAAAGATCACATGAACTTTCTTGGTTCCAGGCCCACAAATATCAGGTCCTGTAAGAAATAACTATGTTAAAGTATAAAATTTGATAGAGATTAGACTAACTTATGGCAACAACATATGAAGCTACATGTTGTGATATAATGTCTCTTTACTGGTACCTGAAATATCTATAACAACTATATTCAGGGCATAAGAAAGACTTTACTCTCCGAGTATCATCAGCACCAGTTCACTACAGAGTGTAACTGGTGACTCTGAACTCGGGTTCCTACAAATTTTTGTCAATAATTAAATAATTCTTACCAAACATAATTTCATAGGGACTTTCTCCATGCATATCTGTCTGATCCAGTGAACAGTCAAATACCTTGACATATCCACCACCACAGTCAATGTTCTGTTCATGTTTAACACTGAATTGGATAACAAGCGGTTTATCTTTATTACTGAAGGGCTTGAACTTCCTGCTTAATGCATAAAATCTAGCATCTTGGGAAGTCTGGATACCTATTGCAAACAAAAATAGTATCAACAAGTTGCATATTTATAGATGCATCATTTTCAATTCAGATGTTTTCCTATCTACCTTTGTCATTTTCAGGATCATTCCAGAATTTTCCATGACTCAAAACAAACTTTCCAAACTCTTTTCCAGGATGTTCAGAGTACACCCAGTTCTTCTCCCAGGAATCTGTAAAAGAAATCATTCACATAAAATGTTGTGATTGTTTGGCTAAAGTTCAACAATAACAAATAAATGTTTCATTAAATATTAAAAGTACTTCTATAATAGTTAGCTTCATTTAATATTCTTATTTCTTAAGCTGTGACAACTTATGAGAAAACGGTCTGTAAGAAAATTCTGTTAAAAATAGAAACAACTGAGATATATAGATGTGTATATAGTTACATCGAATCGACACATTTTCTATGAAGCATGGGCGAGTTTATTTCACGAAGCAGAGAGCGTTCAACACAGATCAACCAATCGATTGCGCGTCATGTCGGAGGAAGCGCAAGCCGTGTGCTTATGGCCTTTGCCACGAGTCGGAATTTCAATTTTCCCTGTTCCCATATGGCATCGTAAACAATGTCACGACACTCCATTGTACCACGGGCTATCAATTATGTAGTTATTCGTGCGTATACAAAGGCACACGACATCGTAGAAACGAGCGACTAAGGGCGTGTGGTTACTAAGGAGAAATACAGTGTACCGCCTCGGCTCGAAAGCATCGACAATATCAAATATAGTAAACTTAATAACATTTTCGCACAGAAATGGAATACCGTGGGCGTGGTACATTCGAGGAAAGCCAATCGGAAATGTATACCGACTTTTTAGGACTTCCTCTAGCTGAGCATGCAGTTTTCCCAATGTGCCATGGAAAGATCACGAATGAAATTACAAGCTAAATAGACGTTTCTGGAAACGGTTACTTACCATCGAGGAACTTCTCCTCGAAGTAGATTTCTGCGGTGGCGATTGTAGCCGCCAGCAGAAGCACGAACGCGCAGAAGGACCGCATTTTTATGCCGGGACAATGAAAGTCCGGTCGACGAAGACGTTCACTCTACAACGAACTAGCCGATAATGTCCGAAACGTAGACGTGGTTGGTGAGTTAGCGGCTACCGGGGTAGACAGATGGAGGGCACTGATTGGTTCTCGTCTATCAACCAATCAGAACTGACCACGCTCGACCAACGAGGCGCCGCACCGTGGCAACATTATAGCCATGCCGCGCGCACATAACCTCACGACAACGATTACCTTATATTATCTATCGTCGATATGGCAGGTGATAGGAAAGTAATCAAAGCAGAATTCTTATTGGTTAATTAACCGATAACCATTTTCGAGAGCGAATTTAAATATACTTATCACTGCTTCGAATGTTTTAGGAACATTTTAAAGTTGTACAAAGAGGTCTAATGTATAATAAAATACTACCTAAAAAACACTATGTTATTTTTTATACTAGTCTTCTATTCTTAATTGTATAGAACCGTTTCTAATTTCCCGCACACTTCATATCTCCGTTTACATAAATTGCAATACTAAGAGCGTTGACAGATAGCGATACTACAATCACTTTATCATTTTAATGACCATAACATGTTTCTAACATTCTATAAATTACACAAAAAATTCGTTACACTTGTTTCCCGCTAGGAATAAAATTGAAACAATGTCTCTTTACACAATCAACTAAATGTTTTATTATACTGTAGACACTTTATCCACTGAAGAAATGGAATTCTTCACAATTTTATATTATATCCATGTAATTATTCGAAGAAGATTTAATATTTTTGACGATGAAATCTCGATAAACGAATGGCGTTCAAAAGCACTCTTGTGTGTCGAGTTTCAAAGTGGATTGTGTACAAATTGTTTCCTTAGCAACGATTGCCAGCAAGCGTGTTTCTCCTTGATCAACCGGCTAAAAACTTAGAAGTGAAGCTCAGTCAAGTCACAGAATCATGTACCGTTGAATTTCGAAACAAAAAAATAATTGAAAAGAGAAATGTTACACTCAAGGGCAACAGCCGCGTTGGAACGTCTCAAAGAGATGGACAGGAAGTATAAAATCAAGCTTAAAGAGGGTAAATTGAATCGAAATAACGTGAGTACTGAAAGTTCACTGGAAAGCACGCCCAAAAGCAACAGCAGCAGAGTCGAATATATTCAAACTTCGAAAAAGGAGATCGCATCGAAGGTAGTAATGGGTTTAAGCGTCCACTATTCTGAACAAGTGACTTGTTTGAAATTTCATTCTACCTTTCTTTAAGCTTAATTACATATACTTTGTAGGTGTCACCTAAATTCAAGAAGACAGCAAGTCCAGGTGAAAAGTTTTCTGACGATGAAGTGCATTCCAAGAAGTCATCCAAAACGTCTCCCAGAGAAAAGGTACAACTGTCATCTGAAATTGAAGCGAATAAAGAAAGTGCTTCAAGGACCGAAGAGTCTGTCAAGACAGTTTCAAACCCGGAGGATACTTTGAAGTCCAGTTCCGAGATCCGGGATGTCGTATCAGGATCTGAAGACCCTCAAGGGCAAGATGAAGAGTCTGTAGCTACTATCTTCTCCAGACAGACTGCTGAAACAATTTCAGAGGCGATTAAACCGAGAAATGGAAATAATGTAATGGAAAAAGTAACGACCGAAGACAACCTTGAGGCGTTTAATCCTGGCAACGACGAAACGACTATCGACGAGGTCATCGAAAAGAGCGAAACCATTTCAGAACTGCCCAGTGCGTTGGACAAGGACAATATCGAAGGTGAAGATTCGTCAAGTGCTTCTTTCGCGGACGAGCAGAAGCTGCAGTACGAGAACACCTTCGAAGAGGCTACTAATTCTACTACTTCGTCTAGCTCTGTACGGTCGCAGAAGAGCTCGGAAGAGGCGTTGCCACAGGATACGCTGATATCTGGAGTGAAGCAGATCAAGATTACGTCGCATAAGCAGGAGATCGTCGAGGAGAAGGTGGTCGATGAAGAGAAGTAATTGAAACGATTTATACTGTTTAGGTTATAGAGTTTTAAGCGGTGAGGATGTTTCAAACTTGAGGCGATTCGAGTTCCAGCAGCTTCAGATTTGAGATGCTTTGAGTTTGAGGCCTTTCGAAGTCTTCCAACATTAACGCGTTCCAAACTCGAAGTGTCTGAGCTGAAAACATTTAGACTGATTATATATTTGCTTATCTTAGCTTCGCGATTAACTGTAACATTTCTAATTTTATGAAGCCGAATAAACAGGAAATATTGATTCAACTGTAGTTTATTTTCAGAGATAAAGAAATCGTTGAACTGATCGCGCCGAAGATAATAAAGAGCAACAGCGTGTGCGACGTCGACCTCGACGAGGAACTATCGAATTACGTGAAGACGACGGAGAACGTGGACGAGGTGACGCCGATCAATCTCCTCAGGTTGTCCAAGCAAACAACGCCGACGAAAAAGCACGTTCGAAAAAACAAGAAGCACAGGAAATTGTCGAACGAAAACGTTAAGGAAAAAACCGACTCCTTCTCAGATGATCAGAGATTAACGGAATCCAAGGTCCACGATGGCCTACCGTTAAAGGAAAACAGCTCCTCAACGACGATGTAAACCTGAAAATTACAATGCAATCTTATAATTTTGAATAATAAGTTTGAATAATTATATTTAATATATAATTTCTGTTTAAATTATTTATCTGATTACCTTTGTATTATAATAACATGTACTATATATTATATGTGATATGTGTTAAATATTTCTTTTCTTTACGGCTGCAGGAAAAGTGCCTCAAGCGCAAGGAAGGTTCAGAAGGAATCCCCGAAAGCAGAGATGGCGTCTTTGTCTAGCGAACAAGCTCAAGTCGAATCCGTTGAAGTAGAAAAAGAGGCAGCCAAGAGTGAAACAGAGAAATTGATGAGGGAACCGGAAAACATCTCCAGCGAGAAGCTTCTGAGAGAGACGCCAAAAAAATCGGACGTCACGAGTACACTGAGAGAACTGAACAAGGACGCGATTAATGCTATTGTCAGAAAACACAGAATCCACGCGACGAGGAAAATCTCGGATAAATCTCGACGTTGTAAGAACTGCCAAGCTGTCGTGAAGCTGCCTTCCGTGGAGTACGAGGAATCCGAGAACATTGAGGATGAGAGTTTAACGTCTCAAGAAAATATTAGAACGGTAAAATATTTCATACAATAATAATAATGTCGATATTTCTAGTAATATTAATTTGACAAATTGAAGCACTCCAGCCACCACCAGAAGATGAAAATTAAAAGAGGAAAGTCGAAAAGAATATCGAAAGCTTCCAAATCACGAAGGGTAAATCAAGAAAAAATTGAGGAGCAATCTCGATTCTGCAGACAGACGCGTCATCTACAGAAGCAAGCAGCTATCCTCAGGATGCAACAGGAACGCGAGGATATCCGTAATTACTTGCTGGAGCTCCAGTTCACGCAACTGGAATTTGGTCCCGGAGAAACCTCGTCTAAGATCGCTGCATTTAAACCCCTCGAATTCCCAAAAATTTTGGGGTACAAGAGACCTGGTAGGTCTTTAACGCAGATAAATTAAAACTGATATTGAAGAGTTCTGAACTTTTTAGATATTGAAAGCTCAAACTTGTTAGCTACCGATGCGATAGCGATGCTACAAGAGAAAGTATCGACGATAAGGCAGTGGCTGAAGGATCAATATCTTCTTTACAGAGACTACAGCAAGCTGGCACAAACGGTGAACGCAAAATATGTTCCTGCCAGCTTGGAAGATGCAAAAAAGGTATTGTTTAATGAAGCATAAACTGCATTATTCTACGTTTACTCAATAAATCCAGAAGATTTATGTAACAATTTTTTATCGACCACCTCTGCATCTTATCGAAAGATATAAATATGCGTTTAACACAATGAGAGAACAATGAAACTCCCCGCCGAGATATGAACAAATTGGGATTCCCTCGGAGATTCGACGTAGAAGTTGTTCGCTCCAGGCTACCTTTGCAAACTTCTAACGAGATAATGCTGTTCGGTTTTCAGACGATTCGCCAGTTACAGCGAGCGACCATTTAATCCGACCAGTCGTTTCCGTGAAGCTTTCAGCAAGAACCGCGTGCAACGTGATTCCTCCACGTAACAAAGTGAACGGTGCAAGCTGATGTGCGTCCTCCGGTTGATCATTCGTTTTCTTCGATTTGGTTTGTTTAAATTTAAACCTGAAAAAGATTGTACTGTGTTCATTGTTTGTTAATAAAAGTGTGTAAAATAAATAACATATGTTGCATTTATTATTAGGGAAGCTAATATAAAAGATAAACTAGTTAATATTTTTTTCTCAAGAGTTTTCTTGTGATCCTCTCTTAATCTTTGAGGGTTAAGTATGCTGTATTAATATAACATAATATAATATAACAGTTAATATTTTTATCTCATGAGACCTCTTCTGACCATCTCTTAATCTTTGAGGGTAAAGTATGCTGTCTTAGGGAAGCTAATATAAAAGATAAACTAGTTAATATTTTTTTCTCAAGAGTTTTCTTGTGATCCTCTCTTAATCTTTGAGGGTAAAGTATGCTGTATTAATATAACATAATATAATATAACAGTTAATATTTTTTTCTCATGAGTTCTCTTCTGACCATCTCTTAATCTTTGAGGGTTAAGTATGCTGTATTAATATAACATAATATAATATAACAGTTAATATTTTTTTCTCATGAGTTCTCTTGTGATCCTCTCTTAATCTTTGAGGATTAAGTATGCTACATTAATATAACATAATACAATGTTATATTAAGGCTTTAATATTTAAAATTTCTTGCATTTTTACATTGATGTAAAGAATGAGAACGAGGTTTGGTAAAAGTAAAGATTATTGAAATATAGAAATGGGTATCCAGGTACCCAGTACACGAGGGTTAAACGAATCGATACTTCCATATCATCCCCAAAAAAAAAATAAGGGAGGGTAAGTTCCACGCACCCGTCACATTGGTGTACACGCGTGCGTGTTGCACGCGCACGTGCAGGCGATGCTCGAACGAGCGGCGGCGATTCCCCGGCGTTCTTTCATTGACGTGCCAGTTGATCGTGTTCCCCAGTTCCGAGCGAACCTCTGCACGATCGTGACCGAAGAATTCGTGCTCGTGAAGTTCTCGATCCATATTCAGTCAGTGTTCCAAGATAAATCAGAAGTTACTTTTACTTTGAGGAATTAGCAGCTGTGCTTTATGAAACTCTGGTGAGTTCCAATAATTTTTCTCCTCTTCTTCTTTTTCTAAAAAATAGAACAACTAATAAATTGTCTGCACTGAACTTCATAATAATAGCTTTCGTTTTTAATTAATAAACCACTCGTTTTTAATTTTGAAACACTTAAGCTTGCAAGTTTGCAACTTTTTAAATGATGTGGACAAAGATGTACCACGTGACTTATTCATAAGCAAACATAAATACAGTAAAGTATTTGCACAAGTCCATCACAGTCTTTGAACGTTACTGCCGAGCTAATATTTGAGTAAATGACAGACGTCTGAGACTGCACTTGATTCTTACCTTATAAAATATACACTTAGCTTGTACGTTGAAAGCAAATATACTATGTCAAGGTTCAGCGGATCAATTGAAATTGTGCAACCTTAGAACGGTTTCTATAAGTAATTTGCTGACAGCTAATTCACCTTCTTGAGGTTCAAGAATATTCAATCAAGGTCCTCTCTTCTTTAACCTGTAATTTATATTCTATATTAAACTGGGATCTTAAAATAGCACCTATCAAATTATTAATTAATTTTCAACATTGTTGCTACTACTTTGGAGATGGAATAAGTTCTACAACTATAGACTTTGACAAAATATGAAAACTGAGGAACTGGTCTCAGCTATTGTCAACGTACCTTGATAAAACACCTCGAATTTCGTACAAACTGAGAATGCAAACTTTTGAGTATCGCGAGAAATCGCGGAATGGCTGCGATTCCCACGAATTTCTCTCTAGCGTCGATCGCGTCAAACGAGGGAAGAAAACGGTCTTCTTAGAAATTCGAGCACGTTTAGAATGGCGAAAGTAATCGAGAGCTCTCCCGGGATTCGAGAGACCTTATCCTTGAAGGAATCGAGGCCGAGATCCGTCGTGATATATTATTGACGTTGATTCGTCAGTCTGACGACAGAGGCGGAAAAACAGCCTCGAATCCGAGGTTTTCTAATATCCGCTTCCGTCCAACGCGGCTCGCCTTTCTTGATACTGGATCGCGTCACTCGTGTGAAATAGAACAGGGATTCTGATGACAGTGGGAATAGAACATGGCGGGGACCGCGTCCCTAACGATGCTGAGCCAAAAAACGCGTGAAACTTCTTTGTTTCTTCTTTGTCTAAGAGTTTATAGCGTTGATTGATGTCTGGAACCAACGGGAACTCTGACGTCTCAAGTTTTGGTACCAGTCCGCCATTTTGTTTTACGTCTCTGAACCTGAAAAATTTGATAACATCAGTATTTTTAATATTTCTTACTTTCTTCCTTCGAATTTAAAAAGTAGGCATAAACTATATACAATTGTACTCTTTTCTTCTCTGTTTCTGTGATGTTCCACCAAGCATGAACTTTGACCCGAAAGAGTACACACACGCTTGGTCGATTTTACTCTGGCCCATTGTTGTGCGCTAATTTACTTGAAGGAAGTCGGAAATCTGCGGATGTTCCACTCCATACGATATCGGTACATCTCACAAAATTAATTTCGTCCTGAAAAAGAAGAAAGTAGCTGAGCTATCTCATCCCATTAACCAATTAATCGCGAATGACCTTTACGAACATCCACCTTTTACCTTGAAAATCGATATCTCTATCTTTATCAGCGGTTTTACACCCGATGATTTAATGACCCCAGATAATGTCATCCTCTTTCACTGAATGTCACCGCACCGACCTGTAATTGTGGGTCACGATGACTCAGAGAGCCAACATCCATGGGACTTTAATTACCACGCTTGAACACCGTAATCGATACTGCCATTCCGATGACATTAAAGTGTCTACTGTTTACTGACCCGGTGTTCGCTTGCCATTAAGAACTTCCGATCGATCCTCTTTGAACTTCCGGTTACGACCCGTCTTCTGAGCTATATTTGTTCACGGCGATTGCGGACGCTGATTATCGATGCCATGTGATCTTAGCCACTCAATGGTGCAGGTGTCTTCTATAGGCACTTACGGTGATCTTCATTATACAGTAGTGGTATAGTACGCGGTTGGTACTATGAGTAGGATGCAGATAGGGTACAATGCGAAGCGTATACAACGCGTGGGCGATACAATATGTGGGTGGTACTATGGGTAGATGATACAGAGCGTTGGAGATACAATGCGTAGTGATACAACGCGTGGGCGATGCAATATGTGGGTGATACAACGCGTGGGTAATACAACGCGTGGATAATACAACGGGTGGGTGATACAAC